ATCTTGCCATCACCTTCTTCGGCCCTTCGGTGGGTCCGGATTGTCCTGAAACCCCCGTCGAAAAGGGGCTGCACCGTTTCACCCTGGCGATCTCTTCCCAGCTCAGCCCCAACTCCGTCGACATTCCTTCGTCTTGCCTCAGGGGCTCTTCAACTGTTGGACCAATCTCTGCTCAGTGTTTTCTTTTTTTCCCGTCTGACCACCGTCCCAAGCGCCCATCCTTCTGCCCCAGTCGAAAGCTGCTGTGCCCAAACCCCGAACAACTTAAAATCCCCCCATCTCCACCATCTCGTGCCACCATGTCATCAGCAGCCCAGGAAGAATTCAACCAGCTGGTCAACAGCAATCGCGAGCGAGCCTCCCGTCACCCCGAGGATATCGACTCTGACGACGAACCCCACCTCTCCGACGACGAGTCTTCTACCCGTAACTTGCGCCAGCGCCACGCCGTCGATTCCTCCGACGAAGACGAAGACGAAATAGACAGAAACATGGTCTCCTCCCGCAACTACCACATCCCCAACACCGTTTACGACGCCAACACCGGGCCTAAGGGCGTCATCGCCGACGCCCAGGCTTTCGAGCGTGCCCGCAAGAAGTCCTTCCGCCAGACTCTCCTCAGCGCTGCCGGCTTCGACTCCAATGGCTTCGGCTCCAAGGCCACCCGTGACGAGACTCCCCCGCCGCCTGTGGAGGGGTCTTCGGGAAGCGAGGATGACGAGGACCGGTTTATGCGCAAGTGGCGTGCCTCCCGCATGCACGAGCTTCAAGGTCGTCCTCGCCGGGCTTCCCCACGCGGCCGCCGCTACGGCACCGTCGAGACCGTCGATGCTGCGGGGTACCTCGATGCTATCGAGAAAGTCACTCCCGACACTGTCGTTCTAGTTTGTATCTATGACCCGCAGGTATGTTATCTCGTCATTTGCAATTTCCCAATTGCATTCCCCTGTCTCGGTCCTTATCCTAACCGTATGATTTCCGTCTAGTCTGATGATAGCGCTATCGTGGAAGAATGCCTCGTCACAATTGCCCGCAGACAATCTTCAATCCGCATCGTCAAGCTGCACCAGGATATTGCCGAAATGAGCCACATCCAGGCCCCGGCCCTCCTAGCCTACCGCGGCGGTGATGTTTTCGCTACCATCGTCAATGTCATTCGCAGCATTCCCAAGGGTCGTAGCTGCAGCGCTGATAGCCTGGAAGATCTGTTGAAGCTGTACGTCTGATCCTCAGAAAATATCCCGATCACATTACGTTACTGCATACTGACTACCCCTTGCAGGAACCGCGTGCTATAATTATTCCGTTGATCGGATCGAAGTGATTTTTGCACAGCAATAGGCGTCTTGGGTCTTCGTCTCCCACCCCCCTCATCCCTCTCTCCCTACTGTTTCTTTTTTTCTCTTTTCTTTTCTTTTCACCTCTTCTCTTCTAGTCATGTCTTTCATCTCATATTTTTACAATTGCTATCTTGTCGATACCAAAAAGACACGGTCTAGGTGGATATTGCTTTCAATGGCGTCGGAGAATTTGATAGATTGCGGATCTGGGCTCCGTTTTGGGTGGGATACTGGGTTGGTTGGTTGTTTTTTTTCTACTTCTTGCTTGTCTGTTGACATTGTTTCTCCCTTTTTCTTGTTTGTGCCTTCCCTCTCACTGTCTTCCACGTCTCTCCTTGTGTTTCTCTCTCTCTCCTCTTTCCTTTGGTCTATGAAGACTAGACTGCGTCTTGCTGGTCGGGCCTGTTCTTGTCTCGATGTTGATTTAGTTGAGATATCCCATGCTGTTTTTGTTTCATGATATCATTTGCTCTCGTAAAATTCGACTCTAGTTGTTAATTTGATTCTGGAGGTGATGCCTCTAGCAGAATTTCATGAAACTAGTCATAGAAATACAAACTGGAGCCTACTATCTAACAGACAATTTCCGTGCCAGTCTTTTAGTTGAACCTAGATTCTAGGACGATGCCTTTGATTCCACATGTATCAAGCACCAAAGCAACGCAAGCGAAAACTAGCCACGGAAACTTGGGGGGGGGGGGGGGGGGGAACAACACGGTATTTGGCAATCGGTATCAAATTCTCTCCCCCGATTCACAGAGAAGAGATACTATAAAATAAGACAAGAAAAATGCCACCTTGCTCCAGTGCGCATTGCCTATTTTGAATCATCGGTATCGTATCACACTCTACGCAAAATAAAGGGGGGAGGGAGGCAACGAAACAACAGACCCAGCCAGGTTTCCTTTCGAAGGGGCCCACGAACTCCCAATATCCAGAAGGCAGGGACGTAAAAAGCACAAGCAAACAAGAGAAACAGGAGAAAAAGAGATGGAATAGATGACGACAGAGATAGATGGGAAAGAGAGGGAGAAAGAAAAAAGGAGGTTGTAGCCAGTTATTGTTCAAAGTACCCGAACATAAGCTAATTCAAAAAGATGTGGACATATCGGTTCCCTCCTTCTCGGATGGGAAAGTATTAGAGGGCATGTCGGTCCGATGCAAAGTCCCACAGCATCTTGATGAGGGAATCGGGCAGCGTGTAGAGGTCGACGTGGAACTCGCCCACTAATTACGTCAACGGAATTAGCATATGCATAAGTTCGGAGGAAAGGCGAAGGGGGGAGAGGAGGTATGGGGACTCACGCTCCATATCGTTCTTGGTATACGAGTCAGGCGCCTTGTTGTCGTGAACCATTTGCACAACTTGCAGCAAGTCATCCTCGTTGAGCTTTTGCAGGCCATCGGCCAGCTTGTCCATATCAACCTAGAGGAACATGTTAGTTGGTAGGTCAACTGGGTCAAGAATTCGGTATTGGCAATCCCTTACATTCTTCTCAGTGCGCGACTTCTTCTTCTTGGCACTCTCTTCGCCAACGGCACCGCGCTTGTTCTTCGATCCGTTCTCGTCACCCGGAACAGGACCGGTTTCACGCAGAGCCGAAAGGAAGTTCGCCTTGGGGTTTTTGAATGTCTATTGTCCCGGAATTCACTCAGTCAACTATCTTCAATGGCAGTAATTTCCAGGTAGGCGACTTTTAAAAAACATACCAGGACGTGTTTGGACTCGTAACGCTCCTGAGCAAAGTTCAGGTCATGGTTGATGAAATGCGATTTGTCCGCCACCAATTCAATCTGCATGTCGAATTCACCCCATCCTTCTTCTTGAATACGGAACGGCGGGTTCTTGAAAGCTGGAAATCACAACTGCAATTAGCCATGGCCCTACCGGACAGCGAAAGACATCCCGTTGGCGCAGCCAAATGATGACTGTCCCCCGCAGAGGGTTCGAGACCAGGGTGACTTACTCTGCGTGGCACGAGGTCCGAAACTCGGGTGCAGGTGATAGACCACCTTGTCAAAGAGGTTGGCTTGCACCAAGTCGCCCTTTTCGTTGACAATGTAGACCTCGATCCACCATTCACGTTGCGGGAACCCCTCAACTTTGGAAGGCTTATCACTGTTGGCGGGGAAAACAATGCAAATTAGCCTTTGGTTCTTATATCTCATGTCTGACAGAGTTCATGGGGTATTTGGTCGGTCTAGCGCGTCCAGATTCGATCCTCGTGTGCGCATTGCTTTCATCGCAGTTGAGTAACCCAACCGAAACAAAACTTCGCGGTATAGATCAAAGAGAGGTGCGATGTGGCCGTGGATGATTGGCTTTTCCGAACGCGAAGGGTCTGAGAGGATGGTAGGTAGGGCGCGAGCACACGTACATGATATGTTGCTCCGTGACGAGACGGACGTTTCGCTTGACCTATTCCATGAAATGTCAGTTAGTAGATAATTCGGCAAAAGATGTTGTCAGAGCAATGGATGTTATTTTCCCCCTCCTTCTTTTTGTAGAAGTAGCTTCTCCCGTAGCTTCTGCAGCGCAACCATGAAGACGCGGTGAATAGCGCTTGCGTCCACAGTGGGCAGGCCACCGCGGTTGGAGATGAAAAAGGTGTGAAAATAAGACAGCGGCGGATTGAACTCAACTCACGTCGGGCATTGTGGTATTTGGTCGTCGGGATCCTACTCTTTCAGAGAGCTTTGGGGTAGGTTTGAAGAAGGAGAGGGGAGGCGCGCAAGGAGGGTCGGGGAGCGTGAAAGCTTGCGCGGACGGTTCAGCTGAGGAATTCTCCTTGAGGTCAGAGGTCAGAGGCGAGAATGGATATAAGGAACTCTTTTCTTTGGATGGCGCTCAAAGGTATATAGAACGCAAAATGTAGCGCATTGGCAAGAGCTAGTGAATGGGCACAAAAAGAAGACGTGAACGGGGGAGTGGGGAGGAATGAGGTCGACGGGGAGATCGGTCTAAGACCGCCCACAGCGGCGGCCCGTTTGGTTTGGTTTGGTTGACTTCCGTTGGTGGAGAGCCTTTCCACCAAGGCTGCTAGAGGCTTGTTCACTGCTTGTCCTATTTGCAAGGTTTGGTGTTTGGTAAATACTGAGACACAAATGCAAGAAAGAAAAATCTCCCTTTCAAATGAACCACCGGGTTGGATGCTCTCCGAGTTATTTGCTGCATAAAGCTTCCCAATACAACGTGGTTCTATCCACGTCTATCAGGTAGAAAAAATAAGGAAATTTTACTACAGGCATACTAGTAACATCCAATGATGTGCAAGGTGTATATTCGATGGAGAAATGTCTATCTACTGCCGACAGTGGAACCAAAGATATCGGGAACTGTCCTCCGTTTCATCATCACATCACGATAATATGCGAGCAGCATCTTCATCACTACTGCCCTGCTCGTCACGTCGTAGGGGGAGGGGGAGTGTTGAAATAAAAAAAAGTGAGGGGGAGGGAAGGGGAAGGAATATGGGATATTGTGTAATTGATTGATGTAGGTGTTGGGGGTTTGGGAATGGGATGGGATCTAGGGAGTTTTCGAGAGCAAGATTCTGTTCCACAGGACTGAGGTCATCGGCGACGTGCAAGTCACTCTTTCTTGACTTTGCAATCCGTTGGGTCGGAGAGCGAGGGGGTAGTGGACAGCGCAGGGCGGCTCTACTTCTCAGCGCTGAAGAGCTTCTCGTTCTCCTCCTGGGCCTTCTCGAAGGCATCCTTGAACAGGTTGGCGTCTGGAGATGACCGGTTAGCCTAAATTGAATTCATTGTATTGGAATATATTGAACTCACTCTCGCTGTTGGCGAAACGGATAGCCAGGGTCTGAGCCTCGGGCTCACCCTCGCTGACATCGGCGGCCGCGTTCCAGACCCAGCTGCGGTCACTGCCGACGTTGGGGCTCAACTTCATGTCGGGGACGACTACGCGTGTTTGGTTAGTCAAAAGATTATTTTAAACAAAAAAAGAAACCAATTATAGGGTGCCTTACTGTAGTGGTTGGCGCAGACCTTCAAGGTCTTATCCCGACGCATGACGAGACGGGTCTTCTGGTTCTCCTTGTGCTTGAGCAGACGAACATCACCGGTACCACGCTCCTTCCACTCCTTGCTGTCACGGTCGAACTTGAAGAGCTTGGCGCGCATCTTGAAGGACTGCTCCTCGAGCTCCTCGTTGGTCTTGGTCTCGACACGCTCGGTCAGGCGGATGACGGGCTCGAAGTGAACTTCGGGGGATTCAGGAGCATCATCCTCGGGGTTCTATAAGACATTCATGTTAATCATTCGTTCAGCTATATGTCTCAGAGAGGGGTTTCCGGAAGATCAGGACTGAAGGATATGACCATTGTGCGAAGACCACACAACGCGCGCGGCGGGGAGAGGGGAACACCCCGCGTTTTGACATTGTTTGGTCGCAAAATGGCCAACTCCTCAACCCCAGATCTCACCCGAAATCCCCCTGAAGAAAATTTGCTCACCTCGCCCTCCTTCTGGGCCTTGGAGGAGCCGGAAGGCTCGTCCGCACCCTCGTCGGTCTCTTCCTTCTTCTCCTTCTTGGGGCCACCACCGAACATCGAGAACACGTTGTCGGAGGTCTTGGCGGCAGCGTCCTTGACGGTATCAGCGGCGTCCTTGGCTGTGTCGGCAGCAGCCTCAGTGACGGTCTTCTCACCCTCGCCAGTGGCGGGGGTCTCCTCGGGCTTCGCGGCCTCAGGAGTGATGGTGGGGTCGGGCTTGGTATCCGCGGCGTCAGACATAGCGAATAGAGTTATGTGTGGTATTCGGGGGAAAATTTGCGACGGCGGAGGAATTAAAAAATGGCAGGACACCTGCAACAATGATGATCAGGGGAGGGGGTGATAATTGGGTTTGTTGATTGGGGGGGCGTTCGATGAGGGGGGGAAAAATATTAGTCTGGGTGGGCGCGGGCAGAATCGCCCCACCGCTTTTTTTGCCGGAACGCGAGGGGTTTCGGTGGACTGGAAGGCACTACAGAAACTACCAGATATACTATTGATGGAGGCGTAGGTAGAGTATACTACATATGTACCATTCGCCTACGGGGCACAGACCACTACACAGTTAAGGAATGAATGGAGTTGCATTGCGACGTAACTATTCGTGAGAAACACCAGTCCAACCAGGGAGAAAAACAAACAAAACATAGACACATCCCGCCCTCATTAGCCAAATCGTAAAAAAGCAAGGATACCTAGGGTATTGAGAAAAGAAGAAGAAATGAGGGGTAGGTTAGCATTTCAGCAATTCAAACTGTCACGCCCCGGACAATCCGCCTTTTTCTCTTGACGACGTCCGACGAAGTGGCGAGCCCGAGCCTGAGCACGATCTAGCGCGCTCCTCACACTCCGCACTCGATCCAGCGAGCAATGAACATCAATATTCGGGGTAGATTTACCCAACCGACTCCAAGCATTACTCACAATCCCCTTGGCCCCCCCGATTCACTGTCACGGAGCGGCTTTGGAGAACGGAGGAAACGCTCTGAAATCGCTGCACAGCATTACGGGTGATGACTTCCGAAAGCTGCTTCGACCGGGCCAGAACAATATCGCCAGCGTGTAGGCCCTCGCGCCGGAAACGCTCGGCATCTTCCCACAAGAAGTGTGATCGCTTGACAACATCCCCCATAATTACTTGGAGATCGGTGGTGAGACGGCCATAGACTTCACTGAGCCCCGTTTGGGCAACCTGCAAGTCCTTCGTGATTTGAGAAGAGATGTTCTGTGCCGCTCGTCGCCAGTTGGCAATCTTGAGCCATGGAGTTCCGAAGTCAATTTTCATGGTTTGGTTAACTGGATGATTGAACTTGGATGTGACGGTCACATCAACCAAGCCATAGGCGTCCTCCCGATCCAACCTCAGCGTATAGACGCCATCGAAGAGGCGAGATAATTCATGAGGGAGAGATCTACCATTCCGATGGACACTCACGTCGAATCGTCGCTGTTTTCTGAAGGTAGAAAGGCTGCGAGGGGGCTTGATGACTACATGACAGTCTCCAACAACTTGAATCTCAAAGTCATCGGTGCCCACAGAGGAGCCTGATGTCGCAATGGAAAGAGCCGATGGCGAAGAGACAATAAAGTCAGACATCGCAGAATTTCTCAAATCGAGATCTCCGGATGGTCGAATGGATAGCGCCGTCTGTCCCACACCTTCCAAAGTCAGGGCTGCAGTCGGAATCGAGGTGGTTGAGGTCTGAGACAACGAATGAGACAGTGCTGAACCGGCAATCAGTTGCGCAAAAAAGAGAGAGACTGCCTTTAATGCCGAATAGCCAATTGACAGGACCACGGCCGAGATGAGGGTCAATGTGACAAGGCGGAGGAGAGGTCCCAGTTCGCGGGTCCAGGCGGCGTATGTTGGTGGGATCCAGTTGCGTGAATACTTCTCGTGTTTTGCAGGCGAGTTCCCCTCTGCAGACTTGGGCAGATCAGAGGTTGCTTTGAGTGTCTTCTTTGGGTATATGTCCATAAGGGACGCCAGGTTTCGATTGAGCTGGCTCGGTGTGATGCTCTCAAACGTCTTTAAGTCGATGGGGTAACGCTTGAGCACCGCTGTCTCCCCAGTTTCTGCGTGACGTGACTCCAGGCAAGTATGGAGACTGTGGTGGTTAAGAGGGATAGCCTCGCCGGCTCGTCTCCAGATAGGCTCTTCCGAGATCACCATTGCCGGAATCCCATGTCGTTCCAAGAAAATATGAGCGAGACGTCGTGTCTTCACAGCAGCTGCGTTGTCGCGGGTAGACACGAAGATGATAGCCACATCTGGCAAAGTCCACTCAGAAGGGGACGAGACTTGATATCTGTTGGCGAGCCATTGCGAGCGGCATGCGGGGCGGTTCTTGAAATTTAAATGCAATGTGCTCGGGCGGTCCGCATGAGCTTCGGAGCTAGCTTCCGTGCATTCATCTACCACAAGCTGAACATGAATGGGAAGAAGCTCTGCAAAGTTGGGAACTGCTCCAACTCCGAATGAAGTCGGCACAACGTGATATCGAGAGGACTCGGCAGAGCTAGACTGCGACCCAGTAGGTGAGCTTGACACCAAGACATCGCCGATCTTATCTAGTATAATGTTCCGGTACTCCGAGTTCCCAAGGTAGAGAACACGAAAGGGTTTATCAAGATCAAGGCTTTGCTTGGTCATGGTTTGCTGAACTGTCGCTAGGAGTATCGAGTTGATCGGGTTGTATGGGAGTCGGCTCATCATCTCCGAGGCTGTTTCATCGTCAAAGACATGGATGGTATGCTTGAGCTCAACTCTTTCCATCTCGGGCCATTTCTCTGGCTCTAAAAATTCGATCGAGTTCAGGGACTGGCGGAAGGGGGGTCGGGCGGTCAGGTTGCTATCATCAATAGCAGATCCGGTATGAGAGAATCGTGATGGAAACTGTTGTGATGTCGCGAGTGCATGTAGCTCTTCCTGGTCCCGGTTGTCATAATCATGAGTGTATTCCTGCTCCGGGTTATCCTCATCGCTGCCACTATCTTGATCGTCCAGGCTAGCCACATCGTCGGGGGTAGATTGATCGAGCAGGGAACCGATGTCAGTCTGCTCGGAACGGTTCCCATCCTCGGAGTGCAAGTCGGACACACTGAGAGTTGCCCAACTTTCGCTGAGGGCCTTTGGGGGAGAATCAGCGATGTGGTCTGACGTCATGTTGTTCGTTGGCCGTGAGCGGGACAACCACTCTTCTACTGAGGCAGTCAGCGGCGGGAGGGTCGGATATTGTAGATGCGAGGCTGTTTGGGCGCTTGTTGGACGCCTAGGCGACTCTCGAAGGTCAGCCATGACTCGTAGATGTACATCGATGAGAAGGGAGCAGAGAGAGAAAAGGAGGGAGGGAAAATGTGGAGGGGAAAGGTCAAAGGGAAGCAACAGAAACACCTACAAGGCAGCAGATGGGCGGGATGTAGGCATGTGCCCCAGTTGTGGGTCCGCGGGGTGAAGTCGCCCGTCAGCTGGCAAGTGGGCGAGGGAGGGTTTCGATTACGAGGAAGTTGTATTCTCGACGGTTATAACCAAAATATTCAAAAGTGTGGAAAGGGGGAAGGTCGAGGCGCAGAAAGATAAAGTGAGGGGAAGAGAGTGATAAGTGGTGGGTTGGTGAGTGAGTGATCAGTGATGACCGTTGTAGGAGAAGAGGGGTGCAGGTGAGTCGCAGCTGCACATTTCTTCGGCACTTGCCAAACTTTCTTGTCAGGTTCAGGCTCAGGCTGTCAGGCACCATCTTTACTACAGTACTATAGTATAGTACACTTACGCTTACTACTAGTATACACTCATTCACTACTCATATTTCATCATCTTCTCCAAGCATCAGCATACCTTAGTACATACTTCCAGCCCACTTTGGGCCCCCACCAGGCCCCACCGATCGCCACCTAATCGGGCACTGGAGTACATGCTATCTATATCCTAGCTCAGACCACCACGGCTACCCTCTACCGTCATTTAAATCAATTTATCATGGCCAACTTGTTCTCTAGGATTTTACCAATAAATCTACTAACAATAGTCGATCTATATTTGAGGGGCTCGCGGCCGCTATTTATGCGTTTTCTCCTTGGGCTCTCTTGAATGATTCATATTTTGAAGATTTTTTCGGGCAAAGGTCAAAGGTCCACGGAAGGTCCATGTGATGTAAGCTTTTCCCAATCCAACACAGAATATAGGAGTGGCTATTACTTTCATAGTCCACCGCCATCTTCGATTCCCCGTATACCATCAGTGTCCTTCTTAGGCGCAAGCTGCACAATGATCAAGTCAGTGCTTAACCCAGTCCCACCAACTTTACTAAGAGTCCCGTTAATCAACCCCCATTGTCCAGCACCCTACAGTACCTGGGTAATGGATGTACCTGCAAGTGGCAGTTGAATTGTCACAGTATTTGTCCAGTTTGGCGTCTGCAGAGACAAAATACTGACCAACATCTGCCTACCAAGCCTCCATCCCGCTACATCCATCTCAGTCTGTCCCACTGCCGTCAACTTTACATTTCGAGCTCCAAGTAGAAACGCCGTCACACTATTATTGACAAGAATCGTGCCCAGCTGTCTAGTCACATTGCTGATTTGTGCGGTAGTCGGCCATATCCACATGACAATCCCCTTTGCGTTATGATTCAAACTGAGCATCATCATGGTCACTTCCTCGACCGCGGTAGGAGTCCGGTTGTAAAAGGCCTGGTTCCCGAATGCTTGCGGAACACCCCACAGAGGTTTCGGAGCACTACCCAGCCAAGTCTGATACTTTTCGAAGCGGCTCAGTCGAGTGGAAATGTCCTCTACCACCCCGTCACAATCATCACATCCACATCGTCCGTACGTCTTATTGCAGGGTGTATTGTAGACCACCGACCAGGTCGTGTTGACCCCGATGGGGTACACATCGGACAGTATAATATCCGCACCAGCGGAGTAGTTGCCGTAATAGAAATTATAGCAGTTCAAGAGCACAGATACCGGATGCCAGGGATCCAGAAGCTTGATCATGGAGTAGGCTATGCTCGTGCCGTTAAGCGGGTCGCCGTGGCCATCGGGTTCGTCACCGGTATACCATAGCAACAAGCTTTTTCGTGACTTTATGAGAGTTACTTGTGCCGTCACGGATACAAGGTTTTGGTATGTATAACGCATGTCGTACATTACCCAAAGCCCGACTTGATCGCATGCATTGAGATACGTATTGAGCGCGAACAAATTGAAAGTCTGGGTGAGCGTCGTTGCATCTGGGACGAGGTAGATGATATTGTACCCCTGATTGATGAATGCCTGTGGATTAGGCGCATTTGCTAAAGTGGTGTAGTAAGAATATGGCAGTAGAGGAGTCCATGCTGTTGAGCCATTGACGTAGTTTTGTACCAGCAGCCCGCCATAGAGACTATCGACCTTGGTAATGCTGCCGCCGTCCGTTCGTGGTGGAAGATAGAATAGCTGCGTCGTTGCGTTGTACACCCACCGCGCACTAGCACGTGTGATTGTGAGGGTCACACTGTATGGAATGAAGCGAGGAGTAAGGTTTTTGAGGGAAAAAGGCACTTCCTCCAAGCTTTTCGACGTCACACTACCGGCGAGTGAATGATGCAGGTGCAAACTCTCTCCCTCGATAGTTATCTCGAGTTTCAAGTCACTGTCATCCTGCGCTTCGGCGTAGTCCCAGACGACCCCGTGGGTATATGAGAACTGTGATTCCACGATGAAAGAAGCGTTGACATCGGTGGGAATGTACAAGCTCATCCGTGGCCGAACTTGGATATTCAATAGAGGCCCTTTCGACGCTGAGGGCTGCTTCAGCGCACCCCCTGGTGCGAACGATTTATTTCTGTGAACGTTAGTATCAGAATTCATTTTATCCTTAAATATCGAGTTGCATGGGCCTTGGGATCTACCTACGTGGGCATATATGCTTTCCCACACCAAATGCTCACGCCAGGTGGGTTATTGAAGGCAGTGGCCAGGCCAAGAACAAAAAGCAACCAGAACATTGGATCGGTTGGTAGAGTTATCGTGATTCCAAGCACTCAGCAACTCTCTAGTAACTAGCCTAGTATATCAACCTTCCACTTTCGAAAGCTTGGCTTCCGGCCCCTCATCTTAAAAACTTTTTCGAATGTCACCTTCTTTTCCGACGCTGCAAAACATTGAAGGGGCATTGCTGATTGGGTTTGTAACCATGGAGGATAAACCAAACACTACCTTATTCGCTTTCCTCGATGAAGCATTGTATTGGCTCGATCTCAATAATCGGCTTAAATCTATGACTCCAGGCTCGTGCAGGCAAGACCTTCATGAGTAGTGAATATCATACTATTTATACTCGAGTTTATTGTAGGGAGAATCCAAAGTCCATTATAATCATCTCATTCTTCGCGTAATTCCGGGTGATTATTCCATACTCTATAGACATCCATGCTGAATCTGGTATTTGCGGGTTAAGAGACAATGCGAAGGGGGAGAGAAGAGCAGGTGATGTTGTGTGCCACAGGGACAGTGGTGTTTGGGGAAGAACAGGTATGTACATTTCATGAATGCATGATGGAAACACAACAAGTCTTGAGAGGGGGCTGGGGAGAAACGTAACAGGAGGGGAGGGGGATACTAGTAGTAACATGATAGTGTGTAAAGACAAAAAAAGGAGAAGAAAGCAGAACAAAAAAACAAACAAAACGGCGGGATAGGTTGCCAGCGTTCTTCCCGGCTTCGCCCCCCCTTTCAAAAAAGGTATCGGCTTCCCCTTGTCACCGAGACTAGGCTGTATGTTCATGCAGCGAAGACGGATCGGCAGGGCCCATGCAGAGTTGAAGTAGGCAAGAGAAGATGACGGGCGAGGCAAAGCCGCATGTAAATATACCATCGGCGTCTCTGGGTCGATCAACCAAAAGTAGGACACAGCCAACCCCAATGACAAGGATAGCACGCTAGATGAATATGTCAACATGATGGAAATGGCACGCCATGTTCCCAATAAAAAAAGCCGTCAGATCCGTTGAACGCCACCCAGAAAAGGGCTCCAGCATGACATGCAAGTTTCAGCAAACAACTCCGAGGGCGAGCCTGAGAAGTTGTTCGTAGCTGAAGTAAAAAAGGCATGAAGAAGCAGGTATTGAGAAACAATACGGGGAACGACCGAAGTGATCAGGTTTATGGTGAGGCCCAGCCACCCGCCACCTCAACCCATTCTGAAAGACAGCTGCCTTGCTTGCCTTCAACATCCACGATGTCGGTGTCGCAGCGGCATCGGCAGCCGACGCCGTTCTCCTTGACTGGATCAGGGGAGGCCCAGTACTCATCTTCTTCAATGCGCTTCTTCTCATCATCAGTGGTCTTTTCAAGGTAAGGTTCGCGGGGGAGCTGCCGAGCGGGTGCGTTGGCCGGGCAATGCTGAATGGTCGTGTGACGGTATCCGAAGTCACGGAAGTAGTGGATGTCACTCGGGGCGAGGAGAGCACCGGCAGCAAGGGAATGGATAGGAGCATCACCCCACTATAGCGTATTGTTAGTATTCCAATGGTCAATCATGGGTACCATAGCATATCAACTTACTCGCTCCATCCAGAATCCACCGCTGCGATCCATCATCTGGAAGAAGTCCTCGTATTCCTTGCTGCGGAACCAATCCAAGCGAGCAATTTCGAAGTTACTCCAGAAGTGACACATGTTGTAACTCTCGCCTTCCATTGCCTCGGGATCGATATCGTCAAGGTTATTGACGCCGGGTTCGGATTGGAGGATTTCCTCGGGGAGTTTCTCTTTCTTCTCCTCGGGAGGGGCATCTTCCTCGGCCGGGCGTTCGAGGAACATCTCCCAGAGTCCCTTGGACTTCAAGTTGTTCTTACGTTTGTAGGCGGATGCGTATCGGAAAATATTTGGGACCGTCTCGCGCAGCTCTTTGACTGCAATGGTGAAACCGTATGTCTTGTTGGCTTCGATCATCTTCTGGAATGGATCACTGCAGTCCTTGTAAGTAATTGGGCATGTCATATCGGATAGAAATGGACTCTTACTATGTAATGTCGCAGAAGTACTTGATCTCGGGCTCCAGGCGCCAATACCATTCGTATTTCATCAGGAGAGGGTGCTTGTAGAAGTGTCTGTATCCGCTTGATCAGTACCCGACCTTTATTTTGTCGTATCGTAGGTTGACGTGTACGTACCCAGAATAGAAGCGACACATGTGATGATAACTCTCCATGCCACCGTACATGATGGCAGCATCACCCTGCTTTCGAACACCCTCCTTGGCGACCTCAGGGTCGACCCAATCGGGGAAACCCCACATGGCGTTATCGATTTTGCCGAATTCAACAGGAGCGCTGGTATAGTTCTTCACGGTGGCTTTGAAGTCATCGTCGAAGTCGCCGTCGTTCAGGAAAACATAGGGGTAGTGATACCAGCGGTTGAAATGCCGCTCGATTGACTTGAGCGACTGGATCACACCATCCAGCTCCTTGTTCCTGGCGAGAACGACGAACGCGGCGTTGGCACGAGGTTCCTTGTCAACATCGGGGCTGATGGGCATGCAGCCGGTGGCGAAGACCTTGTCATGCTTCTCGCTGATTTTGCTATTGAGGAGGGACGCCGGTTAGCAATCGTACATCTCAAGTTGAAGGTCTCCATCCGGAGATATTGGGCCGTGCGGCTAATGGGGACACATACCGAATGGAGGGTGGAGTGCCCGCTGGAATTAGAATCCCCCCGGGAGATGCAGGGTGTCGGACGAATAGAAGGAGAATAAAGAGAATTACAAGGCATGGAAATAGTAACACAAACCCCAGGGGTATAGAAATGGATGAATTCCCCTTCAAGCGAATGCGCCGGCGGAAGAAGGCGAATCGCGGAGATGCACGACCCTTCTCACGGGACGCATCCTCAATAGGGAGGCTCGGCGCGCTGGGCAGCCGCTTCGCGATACGCTGGATGAAGCTCATGGATGCGATGTCGGTACGCGTCGAAGACCCCACGGTGGCCAAATCAATGGGACCCGGGCAGTAGGGTCAGAGAATCGTGGGCGGCCCCAAGCTGGGGAGTTGGGAGTTGGGCTTGCGAGGTCGGTCGAGATGGAGAGGATTGAGAGTCCCAGGTCAAAATGGTAATCGCAGGGAAGTGAGGCTAGAACGATCCGATGTCCAGACAAAAAAAAAACGAGTGGCCGGAGGAGAGCCTCCTTTCTTTTTTTGTGGGGGTCCCCCAACTTTCCTTCTCAAGCCCAAATAACGGGTAGATTTGGGAAGGAAGGGAGTAACTCAGACGACCAAACCAAGGGAGGGCGTGAGAGGTTGAGGATGGGTGAGTGAAGGTTGGGGGGGGGGAGGGGATTAGGGATGGAGAGGATTGAACCTGGAAGGGGGATACGGGGCGAGATTTGCCAAGACCAGGAGGCGCAAGCGTCGCGTCACACGGAAACGGTTATTTTGCCCCCAATGGCTACGTAGTGTCGCTGAAATTGGGGTGGCCACCGTATGGCCATGGTATGGCTATGGTACGGTAATTTAATTTACTCTGGACACATGCACTCAGTAGCACGCAGTACTTATGTATTCCGTACTTAGGAGAAAATATCAGTAGTACGGTATATTTTAACATATACTCTAGTTGAATAGGTAATCAGTACTCAGCACTTAGTACTCCAGCGAACCGAATATGAAGCCTAGGGATCATCTTTGCTCTTTCGTTTATGCATCGTAAAGGTCATTGGCCCGCTCCCCTGCGTATGAACATACGGACGCTGTGAGACTGCGCTGCACCAGAGGCGGAGTACGGCAGGGCAGGGCGAAGGAAATAAGCCTGGTGCCCAGGTCGATCCAGAAGAGTGGACACTGTTGAGTATAAGTAGTGAGACGTGCTGGGTGAGAGTGAGATTCATGGACTTCGAACACTTGAACACTTGAACACTTCAATACGAGAGATTGCCGTCTTTGTAATCTAACCGTGCATGAAGTTGCGTAGTACTAGCGGCTGACGATCAAAGGGTCCAAGACGGGCCGGGGACCGTTAAGGCGGGAATCGCCATGCTTAAGTTGGAGTTGGAATACCCAGCAGCCAAGGCGATGTTATAGCCTGTTCGCAGTATCCTAGAATATACTGTCCGTGGACAGGTGTAAGTAGAGTATAGACAGAGGGCTAATTATAGACCTTGTCTATACACTATACTAGTAGTACTCCGTATAGTTAATACATATGTGGCCCTTTGTGGCTCCACCGGGTCTGGACCCTTCTCCCTTTTCAGCTTCCTTTCCAATTTCATCTCCCGTTTTGTTCGTGTGATCGGTTACTGCAACTGGGGAAGGAATGCTGGGCACTGGGCAGGCTGCAAGATTACTCTTTAGCATTGACTAGGTACTAGTAGTTTATACATATACATATGACATATCCATGGAAATCACCCAGGCATTTCTCCCACTTCCCTCTGCGTGCGACCACATGAGCACTATGGGTGGCGTGCCCTTCCCATGGCCCCCGAAGGCGTCCCCCATTTGCTGGTACTTATACCCCGAGGGGTCTCGAGGATATCACCCACATTGACATCAGAGGTTCAGACAATTGATATGTGACCCTCCCATATCGTCACCGTCACCGTCACCGTCATTCTTCACTTCCACCTGTGTTCCAAGGGTCTGTGTCGGTCGATGGGAAACGATCGTCGATTTGTTGCATGGCCAAAACACCGCGGGGTTCTCCTCTCCTCCTTCCCCCCCCCCTTTTCTCATTTTTCATCTAGAATCTAGAACTACGTACTCCGTACACGCCATCCTCCCGGTCCGAGTCGTGTCCGCGGTTCTTGCGCCATGAATCAAGTGCTGGCTCGTCCCTCGGTCTCCGAGAACCCAAGAACCCCCACGCTTCAGCTCCCTCATCCTTCGCATCTCGGACCCGCGCCGCCCTCGCGCAATGGCCAAGTAATCCTGGACACTTTCTCCCCGTCAATGAACATGGCAGCTTCGCATTTGATCGCGTCCTGAAGACTGGGAAAGTATTCCGCCGCGTCAAACACAAACATGTCTTCCGCGCCTCCTGGAAATCTGCCTATCTCGTCCTGCGCCCGAACCTCCTCTCCGTCTACAAGGATGAAGAGACCACTCGGCTCCGCGTCTCAATTACCCTCTCCGAGGTGACGGCCGTCGCAACAGTCAAAACGCCTCGCTCTACCCGCAAGCACGTCTTCGGAATCTTCACCCCGTCCAAAAACTACCGATTCGAAGCCCCCTCCGAGCGCGATGCCGAGGACTGGATCGACCGGATCCGCGCCGAGACCCCGAGAGACGAGGACGACCAAGCCTTCCTGGCCCTATCGCACAAGCGAGAGCCCCCAACTATCCAAAGACAATTCGTCGATGACACGACCGACCATTCCGACCAGGATGCAATTGCCCGCGCCAGTTCTCCCGAACTAGGGCGCGCCTTATCGCCGGTCGCGGGATCCAGCTCCAGCCCCTGGGCCGCCGCCCGGAAGCCCCCCTATTCCTATCACGCAGGACTACTCAGGGAATGAGATCACTTCCTATTCAGAGCTCTCGGACGGACCACCTCCCACGCGAAGCAGCCGATTGCGATCCATGCCCTCCATTCACACCCTGTCCATATCCGCCCCCGAAGACAAGCCAGTCTCCTCGTCTCTACCGCGAGATACGAGCCGGCAGTCGGATCTAGGCATTCTGCGGGATCCGGAACGTGTTGTTTGTCAAGGATATCTACAAGGACTGCGAATCAAGGGTACTGTGCGACAGTGGAAGCGGCTCTGGGTCGTGCTTCGACCCAAAACGCTAGCTTTTTACAAGGATGATCAGGAGTATTCGGCTCTTAAAATCATATCCATGTCTCAAGTCATTGATGCCGCTGAGGTCGACCCGATGTCACGATCAAAGAGATTCTGCTTGCAGCTCATTGCCGAGGAAAAGACGTACCGGCTTTGTGCTCCGGACGAGGAATCGCTCGCGCGTTGGCTCGGCGCGATGAAGAGTATCTTTGCAGCGCGCAAGAAGCTCGAAACGGCTCCAGCTGTCGCGGCGTGAACTCCGCATTCTTTTTCACTCTTGTTTTCTTGAGCGCTTCGTAAATCCTTCTTTTTATAATCGTTTTCATATCCCCATTCCCCACCCTATCGCAGTTTCATTCTCATATCTCCTCATTTTCTCGCAGATGACCTACACATATTCATCAGCTAATACTTTCACTTTGAGATATACTCTTGTTTCCTTCTGAATATACCCATTTTGTTGAGAGCGCTTTTCTCTTACTCCTTTGCCAATAGACCGAGCACCGGGGTTACTGAGAAATACCAGGCGTTATATATCTTTCTTTATGGACAACTGGCGAAGTCCTCACAACTTGAAGCCGATTTCTTTTCTTGCAATGCCTTCTGCGCAAGCCTGTCTATAACTATCTTTTATTTCATCGAATTTACTTTGAGGATGTGAATAGTGATGGACTTGGAGGAAAGTTATCTACATCTATCCATCTTAGAGCTTTCCTGCTTCGGAAATTTAGTGATTGAAACTGGACAACTTCCTATGACCTGATAAAATTCTATTCTATTCTTGATACGCAATATGGTACCAGACCCTGGCGGGCAACGAGGCTCACATGCCGTCTCTATAGTATGGCCTTATACCAAACTGGCTGATCTAGATTCACTGGTGCTCAACTGATTCCTACTCGATTGACTTCTGCTTAGTTGCCTCTCAATGGTGGACCCACCCTCGGAACCTGCCGAGCCTCTTGTCACCACAAAAACGCAGTACTACAACAAATAATATCTATCCATGTTTTATTCTACGCCCCATCTAGATGATATATTGGAGAACATCGACGGACTAAGCCAGAGGCCGATACAAAAGCTATAGAATAACATCGAGGAAGACTACGATCTTCAATATCTGCTTGCACAGGACAAAGCCAAAGATGACTGGAAGGTTTCAGCTGAGCTTTAGTTTTTGATCAAGCGGGTCGACGCCCTAACACCCAAGCTTTCATGACCCTACAATGGCTAAACGAAGATCCACCTCTCCATGACGGTCATCCAGAGGCTTACGAAAAGTTCGATCCGATTCGAAGGAAGGAGACATACTCATCTCGGGAAGATATGAGCATCAAAACACTTCGTTACACATGGAGTATTCCTGTGACTTTTTGGGGATTTGATGGTGTATTTCAAAGGCCCAAAATAGTCCTTAAAATTGCCATGAAGGTTTCTCTAAGAGATGAAGTCGTGGATATTATGGGTCTGTAGTTTTATTCCTTGCGATATGCCCCAAAAGCGGTGGAAAAATTCTTAGAACACCGCGGGCACACCTTGCGGCGATTGCGATTGCGAAAAATTGTCAGTTACAGTCAGCAAAGGCTGGCAACTTGACAAATGTGAGTTTTCAGCTGCATTGCCAGTCTACTCCCACCACTCATTCCCTATTCACTAGGCCGAGGAACATTTATGGTTGATATAGAAACTTTCCAAGCACCCTTGTTCATCCCTAGGCCAAAGTTTTCTCCATGATGACCTTGGCTTATCGAGTATGACTAGTAATGATCCTCCGCCAAATGGGTTTCTTTTACTCTTCCCCCCAACGGTCCCAGGATAGTATATTTTGCTCCGCAAAAATTGGGGTATGGACGTGAATTTCACTTCCCAAGAAGCCTTCTGCTAGATGCACTAGCTTCAGGCAATTGATTTATTCGTGGACTACATTCAAATATCATATCGAATAAGCAGGCTTTCAAGGATTTGGTCGTAGACATGGAGAACAAAGATCCCGTTCAATTATGGTTATGAACCAGTTCAATTCAAGTTGACTAGCGTCAAATCTATAGATGTCATTAGTTGCGAAGAAAATTGACTAATCCTCCTTCGCCATGGAGGCCCTGGGACAGGAAAGACTTTGACAACCGAAGGGCGTAGCTTAATTCGTAAATAAGCCGCTCCTTCGAGTCACTTGTGGTGAGGTGGAAACCAGAACCGCAAAGATCGTCGCCTTCTCCAATGATAACCAATGTCCCATCGCTGCCTCGTATCCATCACGGCCCTAGCGTTTTGCATTCCGAGAATGACCCCTTTTCCATGCCTACCATGACAGCAAAAGAAAGCCGCTTCTCTTCGGTGGAGAGGCCTGCAACCCTAAGCTTTCGATCGTTGGACTATTCAACCCCACTCTTCTTAGGTGTGACGGGCTATTAGAGAACGACAGGAATACCGTCTCCGTGGCCCTAGTTCTCTCCACCCCGCCTGAGTTTCGTGTTTTTACTTCTCTTCCCTTGTTCCTGTTGCCAACTTGAATCTCGCGAGCAACATGGCGACCGCATACCAGACATATGTTCCTCAGGGACAGGGACAACAGCCTACCCAGACTATTCAAGTCAAACCTTCAATTTCAAAATGGTGGTGGATCAGCTTCCTAATAACGTCGCTTATTACTTTCGCTGTTGGCGGCGGGCTGTTAGGCGTGGGAATGGCTTCGTACGATGGGAGCTCTGGGTCGGAGACGACGTATGGAGACATGATATCTGGCGGTTTCGCGTGTTTAGGGATAGGAGCGTTCTTCAACATCTTGTTCTGGATCTTTTGGGCAATTTGGTTTAGGCGTCACCGACGCAATCATCGCCAACAACAACAGCATACGATTGTGTATCTCGATGCTGCTGGCCAGCCATACGCCACTGTTACTACTCCGCAAACATTCCCACAGTCACCTACAAACTATCCTCCGACGCAGTATCCGGCTACGACAAAATATCCCGCCGTCAATTATCCTCCGGCGAATGCTGTGTCTCCGCAGGCTGCGACCCCACAGGCTGTCACTCCACAGCCTATAAGGTATACAGGGGCAGAGCTTGGTTCAATTGCGCCGCAGCCCACGGAACTCGCGTTACAAGAGCCACCGCACATCACAAGCATCGAGCTGGCGGCTCAACAGCGGGCAGAAATGGCTGCCAGCCCGGTCCCACTCTATACTCAACGGTCGAATGAAAGAACGACGGGGATGGAGAAACGTAGCGGGTATGACGCGGCCGAAGAGATGCGCCGGCCCAGGGAAGAGGGCCAGAAGAATGTACAAGGCCCCGAGCATCCAGATACTCTTTCAAGTATGCATCGCCCTGTACCCGTGACCCCATTACCAGCGTCTCCCGCGAAGATCGCTGAGATCGATACGGCCATCGCTGCCACCGACGGGCTCGTCTCAGGCATCGACAGCGTCATCCAGGCGGATTTCGACTACATCTCGGGGTCATGGGGCAGCGAAGAGATCCTCGTCCTGGACAAGGCAGCTATCAGCGAACTGCTGTATAAAGTGCTCCAGGATGACCAGACCGCCGGCTTTCGCAGCCGCGACTTCGTCACCCACGAGGGAGACAATCAGAGGCCGCCTTATGTACAGGTCGTCTCTAGCGGCGGGACGTTTCGTCCGTATCGGATCGCGAAGCGCCAAGATGGCCGACTCGTCCTCTATGGACATGCGGCTCTATATCGAGCCAAGCGTGCGTTGGACCGTGCGAAGAACCCGTCCGCCACCCCGTCAGGAGCAGACTTGATCACCGAGCTCATTGACATCGGTCATGCGGAGGGAGCATTGCTTGGTCCCAGGGGATCGGCACTATGGGGGCACGTCAGGTCGATCGGCTCGGCGCTGAACCATGCTGGAGGTAAGAAGCTAATGCTGCAGGCGCACGAAGCTGTTCGTGACAAACTTGGAGCCATCCGTGCCCGTGAGTTGGAAGTTGCTTGGGGTGGGGTCGGCGACTGGCTTGGGTAGCTCGTGATGTTCTGGGGACAAGGTGAACGTAGACGGAGCACCGGAGTTATTGAGAAATACCAGGCGTTATTTAGTACCTTTCTTTATAGACAATTTCTGGCAGAGTCCTTTTAACTTGAGGATTCCTTTTCTTGCAGTGTCTTTTGCGTAAGCTGATCTATACCTAGGTATTTATCTTGTATTCCATCAAATTTATATTGAGTACTACTAGTATGTGAAATGTGAAAGATTCAAGTTCAGAGGAAAGTTTTCTAGAACTATCTACATATTTAAAGCTTTTCAGCTTTAAATATTTATTGGTTAAAACTAGACAGCTTCCAAGGTTCCTATCACCTGGTAAAATTATATTCCATTCTTAAATTCACAATCCCCCCGTAATACTAGAGCCTAGAGATTAATGAGGCTCATATGTGGTCTCCATATACAACCTACTATGCCCTTATGTCAATCTTGCTGATCTAGATTCACTGATGCTCAACTGATTACTACTCGGTTGCCTTCTCCTTAGTTGCCTCTCACTGTGCGCGGAAAGTAGCGTTCTCAAACGCTTTGCACCAAAGTCTAGCGTTCAACGCTCGGCGCTCCTCATCATTCATACACCACAGGGTGCGGTCCATCATAACGTCTGGCAAAAGATTCCCAAGTCGACACTGGAAGGAAAGCATACCCCTCATCTCGCCAAACTCAAACTTCACGGCATGAAAGTCTGGTCCTCCTACATCTTATTCGGCGAACTTGAAGTGACAGGCTTGGATATCATGAAAAGCGTCACGGCGCACCATTTTAGCAATATCCTCGGGACTGAGGTCATCATTTCGTTTCGCGAACAAGGGATCGTCAATGAGCTCCCGGATAACCTCGGTAAACTTTGGCTCATATACACTGTATACAAGCTCTGTTTGGTCGTTTTTCTTCTTAAGGAGCTCCAGGAACGCCTGACCTCTCTCGTCAGCCAAGACTATCGGCGTCCAAGATTGTGCACCGGCAGGAACCTTGGGCCAACCTGCGAGCAAAACACCGCGGAAAACTTCTGCCCGGGGTTTGCAGCTCTCCAGATTATCCCGCGCTTCCTTTGGAAAGTAATCTTCACAGACCTTCTGGAGAACACTATTGAAGGCCTCTTTATCAGCTGCGGGGCTCTCAAGCATTCCTTCTTTCGGCTCCTGCAATTCAAGCTCTCCTCGCAAAGTCTTCTGGAAGAGACTGCGCCACTTCTCGTAATTGAAACAGAGACGCTGGTGTTCGATTATGTACTGAGCCAGCCCGGTTCCATCCTCGAGACCCTCTCGCAAGAGCTCGACAAATGTATCCGAGAAGTAGATTCTGTCAAGGTGGATTTTTGCTTCGGATATGTGGCGTGCCCGTGTAGCCGGGTCCTGCGGCTTTGGGGCAAACCAGTCCACATTTCGTTCCTGGTTCTGAGCCATGGTGAAAAGGATTTGATTGGTGTAAGGTCGTATGGGAGTCAGTTGTGTTGATGATTTTAGAATTATTTGGAGGTAGATTGAAGCGGTATCTATCTATTTCCTCCGTTATTTGAAATTCAATTTCCACCACTATATTGGACTAGTTTGGCTGTACTTTACAAAGAGCTCGTGAATGAAAGAGAGACTAGTAGTTTTCAGTTATCCGAGAGTCCGAGTATCTGTTTCATCATTTCATACAGGCAATCACAGGGAGATTTCACTCATTTCCTGGCCTTTGAGTAGGTATCTCTAATCTTTGAATACGCGGAGCTTCAAAATTATATTTACTACCAGGTTGTCATATCGAAGACCTAGGAGGAGCCCACCATACAGGTACTTTCTAGACCACGATATCTATCCTCGAAGAATTGCCATGGTTGATTAATCAGAGGTCTTTTTAAAAGGGGTTCAAAGGGTTCACTGATGGATCGCCAAGATATGTACTCCAAAGGTGAGATTGGGATAACTAGTATTTTTTTCACTCACAACGGCAAGGCCCTGACCCCCCTTGTAGGGCGGATGCAAACGGATAAAGACTGTAGACGTCGAGTTTGAGAATTGCCTCGCTGCAGGGGTCGTATTACTTGATAGAATTATCATCATAGCAAAGCCCCTGCTAGATGATCTGCAGGAGCTTCTTTGAATTATCTGCTGAACTGAATAATCTGGGTATTTTGCATCCACCGATCATGATTGTAGTCTACCAGCCACCAGGACGACAGAGTATAGATAAGTTCAATAGAGATGTAATTGTAGGCTAAAGACGCAACAAAACAAGTAGATCGACAAATGGAACTCCATAATCCATGCTAACGGACTTCATCGCGAGGAATGCTCTCATATTCGCCAGAGGAAACTCTATGTCGAACGGGGCTAGCGCTCTCTTCTTCGACCTTACTCTCGTGGTTGACGACCAAAAATGACAAAAATACAATAGCTGCGCCAAACCAATATAATGGGGACGCATACTGTTCCTGTAGAAAGATCTGACCGACCAGGGACAGCGGGATCGTTAAACTTAGACCGACCGTCACAACAAGAGGGGTGGTCAGGAGCATCGCGTATGCCCACGCAATGTCAGAGATGAAAGAGGATAATGAGTTGACCTAGTTCGTAGAACAGTCAGCAACGAAATATCTCCACCTGTAACTGCCTGGGTAGGGCAGTAACAGAAAGAAAGAAAAAAAAACTGGACATACTAGAATAATCGTCCACACCCGGTCTGTGCTAGGCAGTTCGAACGTTTCAATTCCCAGCCAATGGAGGATGAAGAATCCAGGCCACAAAAGCACGAGATTGAATAGACCCACCAGCCCAAAGAAGAGCTGCATGTTCACGCGTGACTCGTCGCCTACTTGCTTCTTCATTACGATCGTATAGACTCCGTACATGATGGAGCTGAATGCCGCCATTGCGTCGCCTAGGGCAATTTCCCCGGACGTCTTGTGCGGGAATGATCCATCCCGGCCACTGATAGCAGCCGGAGTCGTGTCGGCGTCCTGGTTGGACAGGTCCACGCGGGAAATCAGAATGATGCCGATGAGGGATGCGACAACACCAAGGAGCTTGCGGGGTGTGAATTTCTCAACTCCAATCACGGCTCCGAAGATCAAGGTCCAAACACCTGGGGTTATCGGCATAAGTTTTCGGTTTTGGGATAGGGACATATTGGCTGCTAGACTTACCACTAGTAGACGTTAAGATAGTCGTGCTACCCACTGTTGTGAACTGGAGACATGCCATAGCAAAGTAGTTTGCCTAGATAAGAGCAAGTTAGAAAGGTCCGTTTTCTGTTCAAAGCCTTTCCACGAGTAGTTACGACATACGATAAACTGCGATCAGTCAGCGATTTGTTTTATATTTAGAGATCCACGTTTTGCTTACCCATAGGAGACAGAACTCAAGACTGAGCTTTGCTGTTGCTCGCAGCCCCAGCTTCGCACTCTGGTCAGCGTTCGCCGCGCTTGCATACAACGGGTTTTCGACATCATGCACGCGCGATTCATTGTCGAATGATCCCCCACGCAGGATACTTTGCTCCTCGGACTTGGGATCCTCGAAGTCTAAATGGCGCAGTAAACTCCGGAAAGAGGTGACTTGCGACAGTCTCTTTGGAGCGCCATAGCGTCCATGTTCGACCGAGCAGAATGGTAAATAGTGGCAATATGAACAGCGAGGTGTTAATGTAGGTGACGAAGAAAGGCTTTGGGTATGTATTGTCGGCAAAGATTGTCTGTCGAACAGAATTGTGTAAGCAAATGTTGTACAACAGGGTTTTGTCTCATGGTTTTCGCCCTGTACACGGGGAATTTGCAAACGTACACTACCGAGGAAATTCGAGGCTGTCCAAAGTACCACCACCACCAAGAGCAGGCCCATTCCCACTGTATGCCTCGCAAACCCGGCCGTCTGCGGCTCTCGAGAGTCGCGGGAGGATGCCATCTTGTCACTCTGTGCTGATCTGGAAGCAGAGTAATCGGTGGTGGGAAAAGAGGGTGTCGAGAAGTTGTGGGCGGGTTCGGCGTGTGATCAAATCGTGGGGGACTTCCGGCGTCGCCAAGTGTGACAAGGAATGCAGATCATGTGTATGCGGGAGATCGATCACGCGATAGTATTGAAGCCGGATACCCGTGGATATATGCCCAGGGCGATCGAGGGGAATCCTGTCCGGCAGGATGGTGGAAGGTCGCGCATTCAAAAGCGCTGTGGTTGTGGGAGGATCGGCATTTGGCAGCGATAAGAACCCCCCCCTGCGGCCAAGGTTTCATGCGGAGTATTGAATCCATCGGACTCCACCGGGATACCGTTCAACCACCAGGGACCTGGTTTCATAGTAGTTTCGTATTTACTATAATTTCTAGAAACCTAGTGAAAGGATAATGGAGTGAGTTCATGCCATTAAAGTGGTGTATCTATCTGGCTACGTCCTGAAATGGTGGAGATACATACGGCAGTGAAGGCACCTAGGGTAACTACTAGTAATGGGTAGATATAGAGTGTATTGCGAACTTCGAAAGCAAAATTGGAAATAGTCTTGCAACAAGCTCAAAGATAACATGCATGAATCATTCATTAAGGAGACCAAGGACTAGTCAATTCTGCCCATAGCTCAGTTGCAAAATCCATAGCCCAAGCCAAAAACATCTACAGACAGAGAAACAATCCAAACAAGCAAATCAATGACCATCTCTACAAAACCCCACCAGGGAAGATGAGAACCACCAGCATTGGTATGTGACGAAGAGAAAAGAAATGAGTATAGGAAATGAGAACAGTCGCTTAAAACGTCAGGAGAAGCAGGCAAGGGTATCAACAGGCACAGCCATCGCGCTCATTGTCCAGATGAATGTTGATCGGGTCACTGAACTCTCCGCTGAACTCCTCGGCCTCTTCCTGTGCGAGTGCGCTCCGGGCGATCACTAGAAAGAGGCGTTAGCAAACAGTCACGATGCGTAGTGGTTGGCAAAAATATTGACTCACCTTCGAATGCCTGCTCAACGTTGACTGCCTCTTTGGCACTGGTCTCAAAGTAGGGAATGTTGCCCTTTGACTGGCAAAAGGTCATGGCTCGTTTCGAAGAGATCATTCGCTTGTTCTCTTCCACGTCAATCTTGTTACCAATAACGACCTGGACAGACAATTAGCATGATGGCCATTTTATACAAATTCCACAAGCGACTCAAGATCTATTGCCGGGCAGAAATAAGAGATGGACAGCACTTACAAATGGGAAGCTCTCGGGGTCACGCGGGCTGGCCTGGATCAAAAATTCATCCCGCCAACTGTCCAGGGCTTCAAAACTCTTTGAGTTGTTCACGTCGTAGACCAAAACGCAGCAGTCGGCTCCACGGTAGAAGGCGACACCCAATGACTGGAAACGTTCTTGGCCAGCGGTATCCCAGATCTATTTACAATCAGTTAGCGCTTCCGACCCACATGGCGATCTCTGCAAGCTGTCGGAAGGCGGGATTTACCTGCATGGTGACCAGTCGGTCATCAACGAGAACCTCCTTGGTGAGGAAATCGGCCCCGATGGTTGCCTTGTAACTTCCGCTGAACTTCTTGTTGACCTATGGACCCCGGGGCAAAAAGTGATATATTAGCGACGCTGAAGGAATGAGGCAGACGGGGGGGCTCGGCGGCAATGACAGCCGAATTGGGGGGGGTTGAAAGAGCACACACATATTGGTTCATCAGACTGGTTTTACCAACACCGCTGTCACCAAGGATAATAACCTATAGGTAAGGCGACTTATGTTAGAACTTGACTTGGAGTGGTCGTTCGGAGCTGGTGCGGAGGCGGAGAGCGTACCTTGAGGAGAACCTTCTTCCGTGACGCCATGGTATCGGTCTGCCTGGGAGGTTTGAGGGAGAAGTGAATCGACCACCAGAGGTGTAGAGGATAGAAATGCACTTGTAAGCTCGTCGCAGAGCCGAGAAAGAGTTGAAGACGAGAGGGAAGATAGTGTTCGGGAGTTGGAGTTGGGTTGCAGCGGGATTCGATGATGCACATGGGGCGGGCGGTCGAGGGGGGCGGTGGGCAGGTGATAACAAGATAGCGCCGCGAACGACATCATCGCATCTCCGACACATTCCTCACATCGGGAAGGCTGATGGCCCATTGGAGAGAGGAGTACCTGGCTGCACTGGCAGTGCGAGATAATCGAGAAAAGGCCAATCTCACCATTTACGATGCTTGTGTGTGCCTTCACAGTTCCACTGAAGCTCCCAGCTTTATAACTGACATATGTTACTCCAACCACGATAGACACCCGACTCGCAGATAGCTCGGTCAAAGCTCCCCCTGCCATAGAACTAAGCGGGAACCTATCAGGCGAGAGAGGGCTCGCAGCCAGCAATGAAACCCAGAAAGTTGCCCATTTTCGTTCCACGGCCGCCAAAAAACATCAGACAGAAGCAGGGCCGTCAATAACAGACCTTCTGAACACTACCCGCACAGAATTAGCTGAAGCACAGCGTTCTCGCGCTGAATTACGAGATCGCCTGGACCAGACTACTAACGAGGCTGAAAAACTCCGAAAGAAGATCAGCCAAGACGGCCGACAAATAAACTCGCTGGAAGGCGAAGTGGCGCAGCAGCAGAAACGTCTGAAAGATGTCGATGAAGAGTTGAGAGGAAAGGCCAAATTGCTTGACGTATGTATTATCCCCTATACCCCTGGGGGCCTTTCTAGAATACTTGCTAGCAAGGATGAATCTTTATACCAAGAATCCAACTAATAGAGACATCCGCCCCACTCAGGACTTCCAAGATGAAATAGCAGCGTTGAACCTCCAGATGAACATGGCCGAGCAAAAGGCTGCCAAGCTTGAACGCGAGAACAGGGAGCTTGTTGATCGTTGGATGGCAAGAATGGGACAGGAAGCCGATGCTATGAATGACGCCTCTAAGTTTTCATGATGCTCACAAGCAGAATAGAACACAAGCCTACGTCCTTTGCATCTGCTTAAAATGATGGAATGGAGAAGGCATGTCCGCTTAGAGGAAAACGCGCCTTTAGATACATAGGCTAGATTAGATGGAATCTTATTTTGTACAGGTTGAATTGGTATCATACAATAATCCATGGATATGTCCACACACAAAAAAAAAAGAGAAAAAAGGGTAATGTACAGGAATGGATCAGTGTGCAAAGACCAAGTCTGTCTGATGGTGTTGAAATACCAAACTCTGATTCAAAGCTTCAGTGCCTCATAGAGTGCTGTCTATGAAAGACTTCAAGCGTGAACTATCCTTTGTTGCAATGAAATATGTACCACCAACGTCGGTCCAGCTGACGCTATTAGACCAGTAGTTCTTTTGCTGGACCTTGAGGAGGTTGATGGGAGAGTTGAGGTTGCGTGACTGGATCTTATGGCCAGCCGGGACGAATGACTTGAGGGAAACAATACGGCAGCCCTCCTTCATATCCAAGAAATGATTGATAAGCTCGTTGTTGAGCTGTGGCGTGAATGCTTGGTTGTTGATCAAGATCACATCAGCTCGCTTGAGAACGTTAACGATGCTCTCTTGTTCCAAGAAATCACCCCGAACAAGATGGGTCTTGCCAGGTGCGATACCCCAGAGCCGGCAGCGGGCCTTGAATTCAGACTGCTGGAGCTCTGCCAGATCGCATGCGTTGTTCATCATCTCGCAGCCCCAGCTTTCACAGCCGATTTCAAGAGCAGCCTGCAGAACCACATTTCCAACGCCAGACCCGAGGTCGACAAATACTTGGCCGGATTTGAGCTTCGTTTCCTTGAAGATGTTGCTGATAAATCGGGGAAGAAGTTCGCCGTAGACGTTGTCCGTTCCATTCTCATATTGCCGGAGAGATTCGACTCGAGGGGATACCGTGCGCGCATACGTTTGGGTAAGGATGCGTTCTACCCAGGGTAGACCTATCCGGTGCGTCGCATCCAGCTGCTTCGCAATACTCCCACCAGTCCTCAACCGTTCAATAGCCTTGTTGTAATCGTCCACCGCGTCTCTGAACTGAGTCTCTGAGGTGACTGCCAACGCTCGGCGCAGCCTTCGTCGGATCCCGGTTGTCTCGTCATTGAACTCATCCGCCTCTTCGCTCGGAATATAGTTATCGGAAACGGTTTCGATGACCTGTACAATGTCGTCGATGGGTCGGAAATCACCGCTGTCTCGAGGAACAACACAGTCGAATCTGCAAAGAGAAGAAAAGAAGAACTTGTTAGCACGATTCGGGACAAATGATACGAATAGTATCCATACCTCTCTTTTTGCGACGCGCTTGGGTACTGCAGAAGAATTTCCTTGGCCTTTTCAGCACCAAATGCCGGCTTGAAAGATCGTGGCTTCTCTGTCGATGTGATATCGGTCGCATGCACCATCTTGAACGGCCGGGTTCCCTCCTCCGAAAATGCCTTCACCGAGCGCACGCGACGCTCCGGGTCAGGCTCCGCACTGGCGCTGGTCCTCGCACGCTTCCGTACTTCAAACGAGGCGTCACTATCGCTGGCATCGTCGTCACTGGAAAGTCGTTGCTCGGGGGTTGGACGCTTCCGCACGCGCGTTGGGGTATTCAGTCGCTTGGAGGGGCGGGCATCGGGGTCACTCGAGACAGATCGGGCCGCATGTGTCTTTCGGGACCGCTCCGAAGAGGGTTGGACTCGAGGGGACCGAGACTTCGGGGTGTTGGGAGCCGATTTCGCGGGGGCTGGTCGTGTCTGAACAACTTTGCGGATCTGGTTCTTCTGCGGCTGCAGAGAGAAGGCCCCTCCTTTCTGGAGGTGATCAAAGAACCCCATGGGGGTGGAATGTACGTTAAATATGTACTGTATGAACAAGAAAAGTAACAAATAAAAGAACTAAGGTATGCGCAAAAACATGAGGGCGTGTATATGTTCGGAGTTGGAGAGAGGAAGATCGGAGAAGCCTAAGATGGTCGGAGCAAAGAGGAAAGAGGGTCAAAATGGGGCGCAGGGAAAGCGCGATCGATAAGCGCCACTCGCCAAGCCCGCGTGCCACTTGGTCGGTACCTGCCGTGACTCCGTGGTACTCCTACATACACTACCACTACCTTACTCCTACTACTAGTATATAAAACCTGGGGTCAATACACAGGGTATCACAATGACATTCCGTCGACTATGTACTAAAGCTACATCTAGGACTTGTTCTTCTTCTTCTTTGCCAGTCTCTTTTCCGCACGAATGTCCTTCTTCATACGCGCATCCACAATCTTGTACTTGCCCTTGACTCCCTTGGGACGACCGGAGATACCACGGTTGGTACCCTTGGCCACAACCAACTTGACCTGCTGCTTGGGCTTCTTCTTTGTAGCCCGGTTCATCATCCTGGTGATGGCCTGCGACTTGTCTCGCTCGCTGAGTGCTTCGTCCTCTGCCAGGAGAGCGGACTTCTTCCGCAGCTTTTCAAGCCTTTGCGCCGCCTTGAACTTCTTGCGACCCTTGGCTTCCATCACCTTCTTGATGGGACGGGCATTGATGGCGCGCAGCTTCTCCTTGATGGCGGCGGAAGCGGCAGCGGTGATTGGCCGGTTGGGCTTGCTGTGTTGACCCTCGTCGTCCATGAACCAATCAGGCAGACCGTCGACGTCACGGAAAGAAAAGCGGTTGAAACCATCGTCAATAAGATCAGACGACTTCTTCTCACCAGTCGCCATTGACTGGGCCAAAGCCATAGCCTCGGCTGTAATAATATCGATGTCTGTAGATCCAAAGTTAGAAAGGAATGTGGGTGAAGTCTTTAGCGTAAGAACTCACCAAGTTGGCCGTTGGGTTTCCGAGGCTCCTCGAATTCCACAGGCTCCTCATCTGAATCAACCCATTCCTCCTCACCTTTCTTGGAGGGCTTCTTGTCCTTCTTGTCCTTCTTCTTAGATGGCTTCTCTTGCACTTCGACTTCCATTTCCTCGTCATCATCTTCTTCTTCGTCGTCGTCTTCCTCGTCTTCCTCATCCTCCTCCTCCTCCTCCTCGTCCATACCCTGGAAGATGTCTTGGTCGAAGAACATCGAGGCGTTATTTGATAGATTTCCAGTTTGAGGGGCATCGTTCACAGCGGCAGCCGATTCCGAGTTTTCATTCTCGTCCTCATCGTCGCTTTTGTTGTCCTCTGAGAAACCATCCCACTCATCAGTCTCGTAGGGCTTTCGTGCCTTCTTCGCACGGAGCTTCGTGTCTCTGTCTTCCATGCGATCTTGGTATTGGTCGTACATGGAATCAAGCTCTCTCTCGAGACGGTCGCCATCGTCATCGCTGTCCTCGTCCTCTTCATCTTCCTCTTCCTCACTTTCGCTTTCAGCAGGAAGGTCACGGGCATTGACGACAGCATCACGAGCACCTGCTCGATCCACTCTTTTCAGGGAGAAAGTGCTGTCTGGGCCTCCGAGACCAACTTGATCCATACCAATATCCATTGGTGTAGTCATGTGCATTTGCAAGCGCAGGATGTCCTTTCGTTTCTTGGCATTCTCCCTACGCCTCTCCTTCTTCTCTCGGGTGGTTTCATTCTCGCGCATGCGTTGAAGGTCCTCCTGGATTGCCAATTCTTCATCCATCGGGGCGACTTCCGCGACTTCCTCGGCTTCATCCTCTTGCGACTTTTTCTTTAACACAAGACCAAACTTCTCACGGACCTTAATGCGCCATCGAAGCAGGTTTCGGAATTCCTTCTTTCCAAGAACCTTAAGATCCTCACAGCAAGTTTGGATTTCTTCTGTAGTTTCCTCCAATCTGTTCAAAGTCTGCATAGCGAGGTCTCCGCCGATTGGTTGCTGGAAGCTGAGTTTGTTGTAAGAACCCAGGATAGCGATAGGGTCTGTAGTGTTAATGAACTCGGTCGCCGGGAGTTCCTTGAACTGGGTGTAGTCTCCTTCTTCGTAACCATCACGCTTACGCTTCTTCACTTCGGGGTTGAAGACCTTGGCTTCGTGGTTAGGAGTTGGGGCGGAGAGTTCGGCGAAAACATATTTGGGATCGAGAAACTTGGGATCGAGCCGCTTAGGGGCCTTATAGCCACGGCAAACGACGAAAATTTCGGCAGACACGTTACGGGAAGAAGGAGGCTTCGTAGCCTCAACCGATGTGAAGAGCTGCTTGAACACCCACAGCAAAGGGTTGTAGTCCTTGGAACGGAAAACCTTGGTGACAAAAGTTCCGCCCTCAGCCAAAAACTCCGCGGCTAGCTTCATCGACTCCAAGACCAACTCCGCCTGAGAGAAGGCATCTTGGACCCAAGCGGAACCGACATTGGGCGCACCATCGTGAATGACAGTGTCCGCTTTCCAATGTTTGACATGAGACCGGATGGTAGCGCGGCACTTGTCCGTTGTGATATCGCTTTGGAAGGTAATGACTCGAGGAATGGGCTTGATCGGGGCGAGATCGACACCGATGATGATACTCTGGTTAGGCATGCATTCTGCCGCCACTTGACACCAACCCTGGAGGCCTTGTTAGAATTGGATCCCTAAGGATGAGACGGAGGAGTTTCTTGATCTGGGAACTTACACCAGGCGCAGCACACAAATCGATTAGGACCTTACTCTTCTCCAAGAATCCATACTTCTTGTTCAATTGAACAAGCTTGAAAGCAGCACGGGATCGGTAGCCCTTCTCCTTGGCCAACCGATACCATTTATCCAAACGACCTTTTCCGTGCTTGAAGCAGTCAGTACAGATGCTCACTCTAGATAAGTCAGGGAGAAAAAGCGCATACCTTCTTCTGGATCGCCATTTCGAGGTACAGGCGGTCTTACACAAGACCAGTCTGCCGTAAATGTACAGAGAAAAAAAAGGCGACGGAGTGTATACCATCCAGACTGGCGGTGCCGACATTTTTTTTTTCTCCGACCATGGTTCACCGCCTTCATGCCTGAGGCCACCACCCCAGGAACCAGGCCACCATGTGACGTGATATCAGACATCGAACCCCAGTCTCCGTGGCGCCTTTGTAGCTCTTGCTTAGCCTTACTTAGCCTTACTTTTTGAGAGTCCTTCCGTTCTCTTTGGTTCCAAAGATCACTGCCTCGATGTTACTGCACCCGCTTCCATGACGCCAAAGGGATCGCGCAAGAGAGTGAAGCCCAGCCCCTCCGGCGCGGACTCACCGTCCCCCGCAGCACCAAGAAATGCTGTCCGAGATCGCTCAGACTCTCAGGCCTCAGGACGTGTGGTATGCTTAGGACTTTCAAAATCACGACCTCTTCTAGTTTCATAGCTAATGGGAATCTTCCTACTTAGAGTTGGTATCCAGGGTCCTGGTCGACCGTCTCACGAACCTCCAAGGCAGCTCCAGTTACCGAGGTTGCCCGTGAGAGCATATCGGTCGCGCAGAATGTAGCGTCCAGCATCGCAGAATCCACAACCTCCCTTCTTGAAATCCCCAGACACGCTCGACATCCTTCTTTCCAGCTGACCAAAAAGGCGGGAAACTCTACCAGATCTTTACCTGCTGATGTGACTACAACCCGACTAAACATTGCCTCTGACGGTACAGCATCTACAACTGCCTTGGATAACATCGACACATCTACACCTACCGGGGCATCTACACCAAATAAAGAAGCGCCTGGTGAAGGATCTGGGAAACCGATAGAGAAAGCGTCACCCGACCAACAGCACGATATTACCACTCAACCCGAGCCTCCCACGTCGCACGCCGAAGAGAACACCTCCACTGAGCAGCCTAACGGATGGTTATCGTGGATATATAGGCCAAGTCCGACTGAAAGAGGCACAGCGAGGGGGCCTGAACCTGCAGATACAACGCAAGAACAGCCTCATAAAGCTGGTCCGGACCCGGCTGCACAAGATACGAACGAATCGGGGGAACAACAGGAGCCGGAGCCGGACCACGCCCCAGACCAGTCGATCAATACACCACAGGCCAGTCCAAACGCTCATAAAAGGTCTTGGCTGCAGATGTGGTACGGATCGGCGCCCTCTAGGTCAGCGGAGCCGCCAACAGCAGAACTAGGTCAACAAACCGACGCGCACCCCACAAATCCAGCAAACGAAGACGTTGATATGGCGCCCAAGGACCCCACGGAAGATCCAGCTCAGGCAAATGAACAGCCACAGCCGCCTGCTGAAGCCACGAAACCATCGGGATGGTCGTTCTGGTCCAAAGAACCCTCTAAAGGGGTAGCACCGTCAAAGCCGCAAGAGGTCGAGGCTGTGGAAGCAACACTGGACCAGAATTCACCACCACGCCCGGCATCTCTCGAACCAAGCCCAGACACTCATGTCAATATCACTAAAAAGGGAAGCCTGAAAGTGAAACCGGCCAAGGATGGACAAGTGAAAGATGGTGCCGTGCCTATCGTTGAAATCACATCTGCAAACACCACAGCACCCATTGAGCCTCAACCAGCCGATACTTCTGCTTCGAAACAATTGCAGAAAATTCTGCCAAACCAGGTTCTTCCGCGTTTTGAAGAAACATATACGTTGGAAGAGTCACCTTCCCTGTTGCAGAGTTTAGGACGAATCTTGCATTACAGTAAAGGGCCAGAGCACAGACATGTTGCTCGTGTCAAAGAACCCCCCTCGCATCAAACGTGCTCTAGCCATTGGTGTCCATGGCTATTTCCCTGCCCCAGTGATTCGAAGCGTACTCGGTCAACCCACTGGAACATCCATTCGTTTTTCCAACATGGCGGCCGAGGCCATAACCAAATGGACGGCGGACCATGGCTACTCTTGCGAAGTGGAAAAGATCTCACTGGAAGGCGAGGGGCGCATTGCTGATCGAGTGGACTTATTGTGGAAGCTTCTTTTGAACTGGATGGAAGAGATCCGCAAAGCCGATTTTATCCTCGTGGCCTGTCACAGTCAAGGAGTGCCGGTTTCTATTATGCTTATTGCCAAACTCATTTCTTTTGGCTGCCTCGATGCCAGTCGGGTCGGTATCTGTGCTATGGCCGGTGTTAATATGGGCCCCTTCTCCTCCTACCGGTCTCGATGGATCAGTGGATCCGCTGGTGAACTTTTCGAATTTGAGCTTCCATCTAGTAAAGTCTCCAAGGACTACGAAGCCGCCCTGCAATGTGCTCTTGATTTCGGCGTCCGCATATCTTATGTTGGAAGTATAGATGACCAGCTTGTTTCTCTAGAGGTATTTTTGAGTCCCCGGACGTCCCCGGTAACATTCTCTGACCGAAGTACACAGTCTTCCTTATTTTCTCCTATTGCTCATCCCTACATCTACCGTTCCGTCTTTGTAGACGGCAGGGTTCATGCCCCAAGCTTGTGAGTCCAATATCCCAGACATGCGAGTATCTATAATTCTAACGATTTTGATTTAGCTTGTCACATCTTGTCGGCTTCGCTCTTAAGCTACGGAATCTCGGCGTGCCAGATCATGGTCTCATTCGTGAACTCAGTGGCCCTCTTGCCGGCAGCCTTTACACCGGGGATGGTCATTCTCGATTGTACGACGATGAAGCCGTCTACTAGTATGTTTTCTTTTTCCTGGAAGTCTAAAATATCAACTTCTTTGCTAACGAAATGTTTTCCCATCTCAGCATGGCTATTCAATTCGCTCTCGAAACATCCAGTGTCCCGGATGCAACACTGAACATTAAACGATCTAGCCCATTGGCTTCTGCAAACCCATACATCCTCCCCTTCGCCATGCGGGGTCTTCTCGAGGAGGAACATGTCCGACGCCAACTACACGACGAAACAATGGAGCTTCTCCGCCAATTCGATGACTGGAAACCAACCAGTAAGGTTTTGAAGGATGTCAAGTTCCGACTCGAGGGTATTAGATCGAAGCTGTAGGTTGCTCTGGGCATCTTACCTACTATCACTTTACGATTTCGTTTTTTTTATTATCTTTGTTTTCTTCTTCATTTCGATTGGTACGATATTCAGCGTTGGGGCAATTTAGCGAAACATTTTAGAGGAAATAAACAAATCCTTGCTTTCCAATTTCTCGATTATATTTCTTGGAAATTTGGCTCCGTATGCTAGATGCTATGTAAAGGAGGAGTTTTCCCGGTCGTATACTTGTCGTGTTTGTGTGCTAGATATATGTGCACTCCGGGCTTGTGTTGTGGTGTCGTGTTATTAGAGAATTCCGAGATAGATACATGAAGTCACGGGCTCCGAAGAAGCCGCTGGGACAAGAGGGGGTTGCAAGCTATGCAATGCAGGGTGTCGATAATAGTCGATGTCGCTGGAGAGGAGGGGAGACGTGTTTCGCAGAAAATGCAACAGAGGAATGGAAGGTATTCTGACAATTAAATGGAAGCGTGGGGGAACGCCGTTTGATATGCACCTTGTATTTCATCTTGAGAAAGGGTTAGCTATGACACTTGGTTTTTTAAAGGTGCACAGAAGGGAGGGGGAAGATACCTCTCATCCCATCTAACGCCTCAAAAGCATGTGAGTAATTTGATACAGCCAAGATGATCCGCTCAAGACCATTCCGTAACTCCTTGACAAGCTGGTCGGTTGATTCGGCCGCGATTTCACTTTCCGAATCTGGCGATATTTGCTTTGATACGCGAGCTTTGTAGAATATCATGAACATAGCGTAGCTACTTTGCATTAGACAGCAGGCGAAAGAAGGCATTGTGCGAGGAAGTGGGCGATTCAACTCGTGCTCTTGTTGACGAGCCTCTGTTAAAGGTTGCGGGTAAGGAAGGCCCTCGAACATGCTAGAGATAGTCAAAGCGGCCCGGAGGCATATTTTTGCGGAGTGTTGAGGGCTATATGGGAACCCTGTTGCGAAGGGGAATTGAGGGTACTGTGGGATGGAGGGGTGGATGTCGGACGAGGTGGAGGAGTCAGATGGGGTCATGTATTCTGCCGAAGAGGCACGTTGGAATTGGTCGAGGTTGCTGCAAGAACAGCCGACGCTGTTCATTCCATTTCCTTGGTGCGATGGTGAGTTTTTCACCTCGCGAGGTGGGTTGCTTGGATCGGCGGCGGTTAAATCGCAGTGTCGTTTGATGAAGATGGGGATGTCGGAGAAAGCTCGCAATCGGTGAGTCTTGATTTGTGCACTGTAATGGATGAATTAGGGGAGGTTTAATGTACTCGGAGGTTGCAATACATACCTGGAGAGTTTGATTCTTGATATTGATCGAATACTCTGGGCGGTAACTGTTTCGCGGCCGTCGCCAAAGTCTGACTCTGGAGAGATTATGGGCAACATGTCCATCTGGGCGAGAACAGATGTGGTCCATGAGTCAAGCTGTTGCATCCTTTCATACATGTAGTGCATGCCCGATTGGGAATATAGAGACTTGTTGAGGTCAACAATGAATGAAGTTGCCGATACCAACACTTGCTGGGCTTGCATTAAGATGGACCATCCCTAGAGATGCAAGTTAGTTAATATTTGTATGCAATAAAATAACCGGTGACGGAAGTCCCAACGTACTTCGGCATCAGCAGCAAACCGAGGGTATGGCGTTGAGAATTGAGGATCATTGATGACTATCGTGGGTGGCTGTTCTTGTGTTAGATATTGGTGATAGATTGGTGATAGCGACGATATCAACTTACAGTCGTACTGACGATGGACCCTTGAATGACACAGTAGTACTAAGATTGGGTTAGGATTTGACGCAGACGGACCAACGGGAATAGGGGCGACGAACTGTCATCCACCATGCTCTCCGGCGTGCTTCAGAAAACCCATTGTCCTCCACGGAGCAATGGAGTGACTTGTCTAGAGCAAGTGCTAAAGCTTGACCAGCACGGTACCTCATCTTTAACATGTTTCCTCGCTGTGAATACTCATACACCGAGAGAATAAGTAGGGCAAGAACCGTTTCTAGATCTTCGGGGGTCCGAGGGTGTAATCTCTCACGGTCGACAGAAGGACGTGCGGTGGACAACGCTTGGCCTGGGTCAGTTGACGAGAGCTCAAGATCACATTCCTCCTCGATGATTGAGTTTGCGAGTTGCGCGAAAGCATGCGCATAGGTCCGGCGTTGAAGGACTGACGCGGGAGAAGATGGCTCTGGGTCCCGAGGATGGGGGATAAGAGCAAGGATCGCAGAAATGGCCATGCTCAATGGCGAGCGAGGCTTATACATCATAAGTGGCTCTGGCGACGAATTGGAGGAAGATATGTTGAACTGCAGCGGGCGATCCTGACATTGCGGCGATGCGCGCGGCGGTAGAATGGGAAAGTAGCAATGAATGAAATCATAATAGGCATTCAATCTAACAATCGGGGTTAGATAGTTGCCAGAAGACTACTGGGGAAAGCATACATTTCTGGTTCACTGCCGTAGGTTCTCACCAGACACTGGGTGGTACTCAACGGGGATGAAATCGGGCCCATATGAACATGAGATGTGCTATCATCGCCCGTGAAGTAGCCCTGGAACAAAGAGGCCACTTGCGGGAAATCTAGATGACGCAACCCTGCGCCTGGCAGAGAGAGGACATCGATTTGGGTAAACATGCCCGGGGCTGCAGCACCGTCAGTGGGTTGTGACACAGAAGGTAGGACGGGTTAACATACACTCTTCAAGGTCCGCCGAGGATACGTCCACATAGGGTCCATCATGTGGAAGTTCCTCGTCCGGCGAGGGCGATGGCGACAGCTTCTGCTTCTTTTTGCGTGGCCCACCTCTTTTGCTGGGCAGGTAGCCGCATTTGCGGCCTTTGGCGAGACACTAAAAATTATACTTGGTTAGTAAATGGCCTCGTGCAAGTAGTACAAGTAATCAAGCGAGCATCAAACGATTCCCAAAGGAGTCTAGAACATCGAAGTAGAGGGCGGAGGAGTGGGGATAGATATATAAAAAAGAATATAACAATATGAAGTAACCGTCAGGACATCCCACAGTGGAAGCTCACTCACATTAGAACAGCAAGGCTCCTGGCCACCACATCGTGTTCTAGAAGCGCGACTAGAAAAATGGGGATTTTAGCAAAGCCCGGGATAGTCAGAATGGGCATGACCGAAAGGAGATTGTATTACCAAGGCAAACAGGCGACTTTGACGGGGGGTTTGGCGAACTTCTTACGAACCGGTCGAGGCGCGGTCGCAGCAAGCGCCCCCTCGTGGTGAAAAGTGTCGGCCATGGCGAATCACACGGCTGGAATGGAGCCCTGGAGATGTTTAAGTGCTTGGAGATGGAGATGGAGATGGCGCTGGATCCCCCTCCAAGAGCAGACCGGTTTCTTTGCTTTGAACCGAGTTGGTAATTAAACCCTCTTTTTTTTAAAAAAAAATAACCAAGAACCGAATCAAAAAGCCCCTAGGACTTGAGGGACCTTCGTTGAGCCAAAAATCAATTAAAAATCGGCTCAGTCAGCGCGCGCAGAGGAAAGAAAAAGAGCTTTGATATACAGACGCGGTGCGCTGATTGCTTGATGGTTGGTGCAAATCCCGAAGCGTGGAGATTCGGGATTTGCTCTGCGGTGATCCAGACGCCCGCAATTTGTCAACCTTTCCAAGGTTTGGAACATGCGAACCGCTGGGGGTTTGGGCATTGGGCATTTTTACACAAGTACGAGCAGCCTGGTATGTTCGTTATATACCTACTATGACTCCATAGATACTAGGAGTAGATGGATTGGATATACTATTTTCTTTGTTCCATCATATCGGGTTGCCAGTGTGGAGGGTCTCCTTTACGAATATTTATTTTCTTTTTCTTTTTTCTTTTTTCTTTCTCCGGTTTTACCGGATCACGTGGCAGGGAGTGGCGCGATGCCTTGGAGCTATGATAAGCAAGAGAAAAAGTATGATCATTAGAATAATATGTAGTAATTAGAAATGGTCTGTATGGTGTGTATTGAGTGGATAGTCAGTCATCTCGCAAACAGCGTTCGTCTGCTCTCGCTCTTGGCATTGGTTGGAGGTGGAGCCCGCTAGGGGAGGGATGGACACAGAAGGGGGATGGCGAATATGCAGCAATTAGTACGAGTAGTACTAGTACTACATATACATACATGACTAGTCCAAAGTGCAAACAACTAGTTGATTCAACTACTTCAAGTTATACCTACCTACTAGTATATACTTAGGTGTAGTAGAGGAAGTACATGTACAGATACTCTACGGATCAAATGTCTATAGAGCAATGGGAAACTTCAACTTCCAATTATAAATACTAGTATCAAATGAAGATGTATGTAAATGTAAATGCATGCACTATGTCTCATTGCTCATTGCTTCCATCCTGCTCCTGCCAAGGCGAGCCTGCGCGTCACAGAGCGAGGATTCATCGAACCTCCCGTTCGGGCATCTATGGATAGGCCTTGCTACCAGCCGTGGTCAATCGAATGCCTGTCACATACCGAACACTGTCCCAAACACTCTCCGGTACTTTGGTTGGTAGCTTATGGCCCTTCAACTGTTGATCGATCAACCACATTCCAACCACAAATTCTTCTTTCGTCAGCAACCCGACACGCTGGTGATCCACGAGCTCCCACACTTGTCCCAGGATCGCGGCTGGTAACCGGCTGCGCGACCAGATCTCCCGCACCACAAGATTCAGCACCATCTCCGCAGGTTGCGGTCGTCGTTCTCCGCCATTGCCCCGCCCAGGAGGGATGAGCAACCCCTTGTTGGAGGCCCAAACACCCTCGTAGCGTTTACGTTCCTTCTCTGTCACCTCCCGGCGCCATCGTTTCCGATCTCCTTCATGATGTTTATGCGGATGCTTGTGGATCAAATGCATTCTAGACCGGTGACGGTCCTCGGCTTCGTCGGCTTTCGGCATGCCGCGCAGGGTTTGTGGCATACCCTTGGGTGGACTTGGCGTCCGTGAAAGATCGCTCTTCGGTGAAGGCGCTAACTGCTGCAAGAGGGACCGAGATCGCGCCCGACGCCGTTGTGGGGGAGGCGGGGGAGCTAATTTGGATACGGGCGATGCGCGAGCCGATGCCAAGGAGGATGCGACAATGGCATTGGATAGAGCTTCCTCGCTCATGCCGCCCGGTTCATGGGTCGCACTTGAACTACTGTTGTATGATGCCACCGATATTGACCCCATACTCGGGGTGTTTGCGCGAACCAGGGATCCACCACTGGTCCCGACCGGTTTCTTTTTGATCGACCCGGCTGCGGACACGATGGAGGACGGAGTGGAGAGACCCGTAGAGGATCGCGGAGGAAGAGCTGGTTTGAAATCATCGATGGGCACGGCTGGAGATCGAGGCGTAATAGAGGGATGAGGACTCGGGGCTGTGGAATATACACTGCTTGCCCTGGATACAGTACTTGCTTTGGATTGAACAGACGGCGGGCGCCGAATCGTGGATTCAAGACCGATGTTTGGAGTGTCATCCTGAAGCATACTGTCCACGGGGCTTTTGAGAGGAGGAGGAGGAGGAGTAGGTCGAATTGGGGTAGGTGAGCGTAGCTCTCGTCGTTCTTCGGCGGGTCGGGGTGGTGGCGCTGCTCTACTGGCACTGCGCATCGCACCGAGCCTGGCGGCGGCGGTGGCGGAGGATGCCTCCTGTCTCCTATCAGGCGATCTCGAGGCAGCAAGCCGGGCGGCAATCTGTTCGGGCGCGGGGGATGATGGAGATGGGGATGGGGATGGGGATGGGGATGGGGATGGTCGTCCTCTCATGCGAGGGTCGCTAGTTGGCGGGGAGAGGGAGTTTGTTGTCAACCTTCCAATCTTGTCGCGCACCGAGCCAACCTCGGGAGCAGGGTCGGAATCCATATTTGAACGATTGGATTCTGCATGACGATTCCAGCTGCTAGCCACGGCAGCTGCAGCGGCAGCAGAGGGAGGGTTGTTCACGGTAGACGATGGACGAGATTGTTGAAAGGCGATGGAGGCGCCTTGTAGTGCGGAGGCATTTCGGGAAGCCGGAGAAGCCAACCGCGGATTGGCGGCGATCTCGCCATTCATGGAAGCAAACTCCGCCAAAGACACGAGAGTTTAAAGGACCAGGTCACGCCACGGTTGTGATGGGGAAAGAAAGAATAGGAGGGGGTGTTGCACTGCAGGAAAAGAAAGATGACGCCCGAGTTCTCCACTAGCGGTGCGTGCACGACGGGGCTGGGCTGTCTCTGAGCGAGCTTCACTACTACTCGTACGAGTACTTCTCTTTTTTGGTCTCTCCCTTCATCCATTGCAAGTGGTCCAACTCATACTCAACCGGTGGAGACTAGAGACCAACCTTCTCACTCAATGGATCAGATACAGTTTGTTTCCAAGACACTGCATCCCACCCTAAATCCCATCTGGTAGCCCCACGATGATCCCTTCGGGCATTTTGGTCAACCCCAGATTTCCCCTCGATCAAATTAACCGAGCCGGCCCGTTTAGATGAAGAGACCAATCGCGTGTCTCCAGCCTTCTCCGCAGCCCTGCGCGTGGGAAACAATTTATTACTCGTATACCCTGCTCCCCTGGGTCTTCTCTCCTGCACGCTGCAAGGCAACGGAGAAAAATAATGCTCTCACCATTCTCATAATCCGGAAATGCTGATCCGCATGTGCTTCCCTGAGGCGATATGCTACCGGAGACTGATTATGCGGCGGGTAAGAACAAGCTCGCGCATCATTCTGAAGGCCTAAAGGTCCATCGGCATCATGACTGACCATGACTGTGTGAGGTCTAGATGGACATCTCAGTGCTGGGGACCGGATAGATTCAGCCGGTGCTCCTGGTGTCCAATGCTCGGTTTGTAGCAGTACCTTCCGGCGACCAGAACATCTCAAGCGACATTTGCGCAGTCATACCAAGGAAAAACCCTTCGAATGTGCACAATGTGGCCGCCACTTCTCGCGAACGTAAGTTGCAGATCCTGAGCTCCAGTGGCCCTTCGGATGAATTGACCGATGCGGGTCGTGCAGTGATACGCTACATCGACACGAACTGAGCCATCATACACGCGGAGGCGATGGGGGCAAAGACCGTACTCATCGAATCACTGTCAAGACCTTTCGGGCCTGCTATGGCTGTGCGATGGCCAGAGTGCGCTGTAGTGGTGGCAGCACATGCGGAAGATGTGATACCCGCTCACTTAAGTGTCAGTATCCCACCGAACGACGTTCAAAAGCAAAGGCTCGAAATGGAACCTCACGGCGCCTGTCGGTCACGGAAGACAATGAACCACAAACCAATGAGCCCTTGTCACCTAAGCCCTACACAAACCACCCGGACTCGGCACTAATGGAGGGTACAATCTCATTCCAGCTAACACAGCTACCTGTTAACGATATGAACGATTCACAACGGGTGCCTCTTACTTCAGGCCCGGACCACCCCGCAAATACCCCATCCCAATTGACGGATTCAGAAGGAAGGGCCTCGGTGGCGGGGATCTCAAACTCTCAGCTCTATGCGCCACCTTCAAACAAGATTTCAGATACACCACAGATAGATGACTGCCCTCGGCCATTTAATGGGCTTGCCAACCCTATTCCGCCGAGTCTCTACGCAGACGAATCAGTAACAAGCATGAGCTCCGAATTGAGACAAACTCAGCAAAGCCTACCCGGTCCAGGAGTTGAGATGAATCTTGACATGACCGGAAACCCAGAGATGGCGATGGAGTTTGACCCATCGTTCTTCGACCAGTCCATGCTCTCCACAATAAACTGGTTGCCCAACGAGCTCTTCACACCTAGAGACCAGAGTCAACGCTCTGGAGCCTCTTCGCAATACTGCCAGCCTCCGGTTTCAAATTCTTATGCCGCCCGCGCGACATGGCAGCCGCCAGTTATCGGTACAAGACAGATCAGCCCGTCGTTGCCTGGAAATGTCCCCCAAATGTCGTCTGAAAATATGTCGCTCGGGACGGGGTTGGCCAGTCATCGGAGACTTTCAAATGTTACTAGCGAGTCTTCGGCAAATGTCGATTCAGTGGATTCAGCAAATCTATCAGGACAGTATTATGTTGATGGCACTGGTGCTCGACTTCCTAGGTACAGAAAGAAGCAAGCCTCGTGGTCCATCTCCTCAGTTGAAGCCCCCCATTCCGGGAATTCATTGCCCGAGGGAACTCCACGGAAATTTGGATTCCCAATTTCATGCGAGATTCGTGTGGAGAACATCTCAGAACGTGTCATCCGATCATTGAGGCCAATCGACCCTCCTATATATGATGAAATATACGGCGAGTTTCTTCTACTATGTCGCAACGACAATCCATTCTTTGAAATGTTTGAGTCCACGCACTTTCCAACTGCAGATGAATGCAGTCGCTACATTGCTTTCTACTTCGACTCGTTCCAAACCGTTTATCCGATGCTCCACCTTCCCACATTCGATCCAAACCAATGTCATTGGCTCTTGACTCTAGCAATCGTGGCGGCTGGATGCCATTGTTCAGGCACCCCTGAGACTGATCAATGTACTGCTGCATTTCACGAAATGATACGCCGAGCTTTCTTAGCCGAGGTAAGTAATCTATTAGTTCTCTCGTGTCTTCACTTACTCATCAATTTACTTGAACAGAAGAACAGAGACAGCCTAAATCAGTATGCTCTCGACTTAATCCAAGCCAAGCTGCTCAATTGCATAGGACTTCTGCATAGTGGCAATGAAGGAGATCAGCGTTCTGCCATGAGTGTCTTCAGTGATCTGGTGGCGCTTTCGAACCACGAAACGCTACTGGCCTCCCGTTCGAAAAAGACATCAACGCCGAGCAGGACTTCAGATGACGCCCATTGGAACCGATGGGCCCAAGAAGAGGTTCGCAAACGAACTGGATACTGTATTTGGGTAGGAGGACCCCCGTCCGAAACCGCACATCCTAAACACTAACAACTATTGTTGAAGCTTTTGGACAGCACACTTGCATATTCCTTTGAAGAGCGTCCCCTTCTCTCACTAGATGACGGACAGGCTGCCCTACCCGCACACGAGAGGCTGTGGGAAGCGACCTCCGCGGAGGCATGGAAGCAACAATGGGAAAATTCAATAGGTACTTCTCACCTATTTCTCCAAGTTATGGTCTATTCTAACTTACTAGGCAATGAATCTCTCTATGATGCTGTACATATCCTGTACATTGAAAAGAAACTTGTTCGGGGATCGGTGAATTCAGCCATATTCTTCTTATTCACGCCCTCTACCAACGGATGTGGGAAGTTGGCGATTACTTCCGTCGGCCTCTTTCATTCTGGAATCCCACTGCCAAGAAGCAATCCCGTGAAACCGCAATTCCCACAGGCTCTGTATGGCTACCAGGGATTCCATCCTACTCCAAATGGCGCAATAGTGCATGTGATTGTCTCGATATTCTACATTGGACAGCCAACAGCACCATTGCAAAAGCTGCTGGCCTTGAGCATCCCACCGTACTCCATCTTCACACTGCACGCCTTGTCCTACTGGCACCTTTCCGCGAGATTCGTTCTCTGGCAAATTCTCTAGTCACGGACAGATCACAATGGAGCAAACGACAGCAAGCACTCGAGTGGCAGTACATCTGGCGATGGGTGAAACACGACCAATATAAGGCCCGTTTGTCCATCATCCACGCCGGTGTGACTCTTTGGCACATTCGACGATATTCAACAAATGCCTACCACGAACCGGTAGCAGCTTTCCTGGCGGTGCTGACACTATGGGCATATGGTTCTTGCCACACAACTGGGTCTCAGGATTCCAGTCCACGTTCCGAGACAAATCGAGGGGATGTATCGCAGGAGCCAAGTTTCATTCACCTAGACCGGCCGTGCGATGATGAGCTCGTTCAACTTTTTGTACGAGAAGGATATGCGATGAGGGGTAATGTGACTGGCGTCGGGGACATTTGTTCCCCCGAGGGCCCAGAGCGGATATTACGTATGGGATGTGAAACGCTCTCTGGTTTAACGGCGTGGGGGATATCAAAGAAACTGATCGCGACCTTAACGCAGCTGGCGGATATCATGTCACAGAATCGTGATTTGGAGCAGAGCCATGGGACTACTTTGGATGCTCGCTGATGGATAAATCTCCTTATTTTTTTGATAGACATACCCCCTAGCTATAGTTAAAAATGAGATATGCCAGACAAATACGAGTAATTTCATTGAATAGCTGTAGTTGATCGGAGATCCCAAATTAGACATCTACTACATTGGCCTTAAGGTAGCTCTGGGACGCTGTCCAATGATGTCACATGCCGGCAGGCACCACCTCCACTCCTTATCTTATCGTCGACGCTGCCTAGAAACGAGGCATTAATAGGACCGTACAACCAAAACCTGGGGATTTCCTTTCCTCTCCTTTGAGCTTCATCCACCATGGATTCCGACGAGATCGTGCCAGATAATCCCCAAAATGTGGGCGAAGATCTGGATGAAAAGTAATTTTCACTTGATTGCTTGTCTGCAAGCTTACTGACCCGTCAAAAACACAGGTATCCAAATCGGCCCCATAACCGCGCCCCAACGTTTGCATTCCACGAGCTCTATCTTAATCTGTTCAACCCTCTCAGTGAAATCAAGAAGAAACCTGCGGGCTCAAATCTAGCTCGTCGAAAGGCTGGGCCTCATGGAAAAGGAGCAGCAGGCCTCAGTCCGTTCGAGCTCCGCCGTGATATTATCATTCGCTTCATCGCACGCTGGCGCAAAGATGTCGGCGACGACATTTACCCTGCATTCAGACTCATTCTTCCAGATAAAGACAGAGATCGTGCCATGTATGGTATGAAAGAAAAGGTCATCGGGAAGATGCTGGTGAAGATCATGAAAATCAACAAGGAATCAGAAGACGGCCAGACTCTTCTGAATTGGAAGCTTCCAAGCCAAACCACAGGGCGTATGGCGGGAGACTTTGCAGGACGGTGCTATGAAGTTCTCGTGAAGCGGCCGCTGCGGACAGAGCCAGGTTCCTTGACGATCGAGGAAGTCAACGAGAAGCTGGACAAGCTCTCAATCGCCTCAAAAGAAGAGGAGCAAACGCCTATTCTAGCAGAGTTCTACAAGAAAATGAATCCGGAAGAGCTCACATGGCTTATTCGTATCATTCTACGACAGATGAAGGTTGGGGCTACGGAGCGCACCCTGTTCCATGCATGGCACCCAGATGCTGAGAGTTTGTACAACATTTCCAGCAGCCTGCGGCGCGTATGCTGGGAGTTGCATGATCCGAATATCAGACTCGAGGGAGATGACCGTGGCATTGCTCTAATGCAATGTTTCCAGCCTCAACTAGCCCAATTTCAAATGCACTCGTTTGACAAGATGGTCGCTCGGATGCAACCAACCGAGGAAGATCAAGTCTTCTGGATCGAGGAGAAGATGGACGGTGAACGCATCCAGCTCCATATGGCGCCTGATGACTCTGTCCCGGGAGGCCGGAAATTTGCATTTTGGTCCCGCAAAGCCAAAGATTATACCTATCTGTACGGGAATGGCCTTCACGATGAAAATGGTGCGCTGACTCGGCATTTGAAAGATGCATTTGCGAATGGAGTGCGAAGTGTTATTCTTGATGGAGAAATGGTTACTTGGGACCCTGAGCAAGATGCTCTCGTTCCATTTGGTACTCTGAAGACTGCGGCGATAGCGGAGCAACGCAATCCTTTCTCGAAAGGGCCGCGACCCTTGTACCGCGTATTTGATATCCTGCACTTGAATGGCGCGGAACTGACCAAATATACTCTCCGCGACCGTCGTAATGCCTTGCAAAAAGCCCTTCAACCAGTTCATCGTCGATTCGAAATTCTCCCTTATGAAGAAGCGACTACAGCAGCAGAGGTAGAAACGTGTCTGCGCAAGGTCGTTGCAGAGGCGTCTGAAGGTCTTGTTCTCAAGAACCCTCGATCGCCCTATCGTCTCAACGAGCGTCATGACGACTGGATGAAGGTCAAGCCAGATTACATGACTGAGTTCGGCGAGTCTCTTGACCTTATCGTGGTCGGGGGTTATTATGGCCAAGGTCGCCGCGGTGGCTTCCTAGCGAGTTTTCTTTGTGCTTTACGCGTCGATGACAACGAGTCTTCGCAGAATACAGATTCCTCGAAATTCTGGTCATTTTGTAAGGTTGGAGGAGGATTTACTGCTGCTGACTACCAAGAAGTCCGCCACATTACAGATGGAAAGTGGAACAAATGGGACCCCAAAAAGCCACCTACACACTTGATAGAGTTGGCTGGGGGTGATTCCCAGAATGAACGACCTGATATGTGGATCAAGCCAAGCGATTCTATTGTTCTTTGTGTGAAAGCAGCCTCTGTCACCCAAAGTGACTCATTCCGCATGGGGATGACAGTGCGTTTCCCACGCTTCAAGACGCTACGCAAAGACAAGAACTGGAAAACAGCTCTTTCAGTCCAGGAGTTTTTGAACCTCAAATCAAATGCCGAGCAGGAACAGCAGGAGAAGCAATTTGATGTCGATAACTCTCGGAAGAAGCGTCTTAAGCGGGCAACGAAAAAGCCATTGAAGATTGCTGGATATGACGGAGAGAGCAATGTACAATACTCAGGCCCCTCGGGCCATGTGTTTGACAACTTGAACTTCTGTGAGCCTTGCTGCGATTCTTCTTCTGATATAAGCAGTTACTGACGGTGCATTAGTTGTGATGACCGAGTCAACTTTCCCCGAAAAGAAGTCCAAGGCGGAGCTAGAACAATTGGTCAAAGCCAACGGAGGCAGGATCTACCAAACTAACACTGCCGCTCTAGATACAATCTGCGTCGCAGAGAGAAGTATGCTTTTCGTGATATCTGGTTTTCGAAACTTTTTTCCCGGAGCGCACTAACATAAGCCATAGGAACGGTCAAGGTGGCGTCTTTGCAGAAAGTCGGCGATACCAACATCATCAGACCATCCTGGTTAATTGACTGCGTGAAGCAGAATGTCAAAGATGTTGGACTACCTGATTTGATCCTTCCTTTTGAGCCAAGGTAACATTCAAGCTTCTCGAGAAGCAAACGAGTTGATTTCTGACCTCAATTCTAGACATATGTTCTTCATCATGGAAGACCGGGCTGAAGAGATCAATATCAATGCAGACTGTTTTGGTGACAGTTATGCCCGTGATACCAGCGTCGAAGAGCTCAAGGAGGTAAGTACCTCAAAACATCCTATTGGATTGCGCGACTCGTATTTTTCTAACAAAAAGAAAACTAGATTCTTCAGCAAATGGGAACTGTCAAGCAGGAAGCGGCTCCTGTACTCGATGCATCCACATCGCAAAGAATCGAGGCTCGGATCCAAGAAAAGGTCAATTCAGGGTACACAGCACCTTGCGGGTGGCTTTTCCGTGGTCTATCGTTCTTCTTCTCGCCAGTCAATCAGACAAATGGAGAGGATGATGGAATGATATCACTTGACCTAACTCTCGAGCTCTTACAAAATACCGCTAGTTTTGCGGGAGCAAACATCGCCACCTCTCTGGAAGCCCCCGGTATCACCCATGCCATTGTGAATTCAGAGACCGCATCCCCGGCGAAGTTAGACTCTTTGCGAAAGTCGGTGGCTGCTCTGCCGGGCCGCAAAGTGCCACATCTAGTCACCTCCAAGTGGGTTGAAGAGAGCTGGAAAAATGGTACTCTGTTAGACGAAGAGCGTAAGTGACTCCCTTCCCCACTCCCCACTTCCCTATGTCCTCCATTTATGTCTTTTCGGTGAACTACGTTGGAGCGATGTCTAATCTATGCGTTTGTTACGTTACACAGGGTTCCAGGTACCCCGTTGATGAACAGTCAGAGTCGGGTTGCACGAACCATTCTTTATCTACTTTGCATGCAGCGTGCGGCGGGTAGAACCTTTCTCCTGTCTTGTCAATTTAATTTAGCGTATCAAGGCGTGGTGATAGGCGTAATGTCTTCGAAATATCTGCCTCAAACTGTACTTACTTCTTAAACACGCACTAACTACCCACTACCCAAGGGCGAGGTACTTAAGCATCATGTGATCACGTCAATAAACTACAATTTAAGTCCGTCTAAACGCAGAGTATGCTATAACCTTCCCATTGTGGCACTGATCGGACAAAGTTAAAATCGATGACCATTGCATACCCTAAGGACGGGTGCCGGGATCGACCTAACAAACGTCAGCACCGTTTAATTGACAACAACTCGAGAAGGGTCCAAGCCTCAGTGAAACCTCATCAAGCACCAGATATAGATGTCCGTCCTATTGGGAATGATAATCTATCTGCAAAGACACGAGACAGGGCATGGCCAAGCTCGGCTGGGGGATGATTTGGCGAATCGCTCATGCGGGGATCTAGGCTGACCGTGTGGGGATGATCTCATGGACGCGGCGTGATATCATCCCGCAGCCACCAAAGTAAATTCCCTCGACTCGGTTGATCGAGACCTTTACCGAGTATTTACAAGTAACACACTAGGAAGGTACGCTAAAGGCTAACAGGAGCTGAGTGAATTCTGTCGATTTCTTTGTTGGGATATCTTGGTATAGGGGTAAGAAGCAGAAGTTAAATAAAGAAAATTGAAAGGGTATGTTGCAAATGAAGGAGTCGTGCCAGCCGGGGCACTTTTCATCTTGGTAGAACGCCGCGCTTGTATGATAGGGGGGGTCGTAGAAAAGAGGGTTGTGTATGTACTAGACAGCCGGTTCAACTGCGCTCTGCGTCAGTCCGGGAATGTCTTTGATAGCAGCCGGTTAGGCTGAGACGCCAACCCAGCGAGAAGGGACGGTGACATTGTCTTCACCATCTTCGTATTCTCCTGTGAGACGATGCGGATTATTCTTCCGCGGTGGAAGCCAGATGCGGGCCCGTGTGGGGATGTCCTCACGAAGCTTGCCCCGGCGGCGCATGTTCATCTCGAGCACGACCATGCGAAGGAAGTCACTGTTCTCACGAGGCTCACGCTGGCGGGACATGGGAGGGACTTCCGGGTCGAAGGTGATGTATTGATCACGATTCTTCGGGGCGACCACGTGGAAATTATTGCGCCGGTTACCCCGACCGCGGGAGCGGCGGTAAGTCTGCATCTGAATAGAAACCGGGCACGCATTTACCGAATCAAGTTTATCATGCGGATGATCATGATAGACGTACATCTCTGCTGGGGAGATAGGGGTCGGGTTTAGATAACGCCTTAGTGCCGGAGACGGTGGGTCTCGCATGGGTGCCGGTCGGCGATCGTCTGTGAGTTCGGGGGTAATTGTGAAAAGGTTCCGAGTGAGAAAATCTTCCGGTTGAACCGAGGGTGTAGCAAATGTCGAAACGGACTGTGCTGCAGATTTTATAGCTCGTAGCGATGCAGTAAGGTTTGATTTGAATGAGGACCGTAGACGTGGGAAAGAGCCAAGGGAGGCGGTACCCTTAGAACGGGGTCCTTCATGGATCATAGTTTCATCGTGAGGCACGAATTCTATAGTTTCATCCTCTTCAATCTCAGTTTCGAGAAGAGGGTGGTCGGAGGCACAATCCTCGGAAGGCGAATAACGCAGACAGCGACGGTCACAAAGACTCTTGTGGGAATTCGGAGTTGGTGGAAGTATGGAGCTAGATGGCGATGCCCCATCATGGTCAAGTGCTGGGATCGAGTCGCTTGATGCCGACCCTAGAGAGAAAGGCGATTCGCGTTCGGATTCGTTGCCCGGTGATTCCTTGTCGTTTTCCTCGTCGGGTGGACTGAGTAAAATGTCGAGAGGTGAATTCACAACACAGTTCATCAGGTCATCATCCCCTGACTTAATGTCTTCCTTCAGCATCCGACTAAACTCCTCCACATGGTTGCCTCGGGGAACCTTCCGAGGTCTTCGGGTGGACCACGTCCGCCGCGGCACGGGGATAGCCGTCGCATTAAGCATTGAGGCGACGGAGGTGGGCATGTTCCGATCATTGGACGAAGAAGACGACGACGAGCGACGAGACGATGTGGATGTTTTCGCTGAGGGGCGAGAACGCGGATCACGGCGGACTGAGGCGTGAGAGTCACGTTTGGGGGGGATGACCATCGGTGCGGCACCAACCAATCCGGTTCCATGATTGCCTGGAGGATAGAAGCCTGAGCGGTGCAAAGCTGGCCGCGACGGTTCTTCCTTTGACCCATAGGGCTGCATGGCTTTCTGAGGCTGGGTTGATGTAAACAGAAAGGCTCTTGGGACCATCATTTTAGGTGAAATATCGAGTCATGCTAGATTGGTATTTTGAAGCGAGGGGGGGGGCCAGACGAGGCACTTTGATCGAGGTTTTGGGCGAGATACATTGAACGGGGAATGGTGATGAGATCTCCCGCCGCAGTGGGAGTCAGGCCAGCCACTGAGTCAAGTTGAGGCTGGTGATATGCGGTGGAAGTAGGCAGTGCTGAAAGACCCTTTACTGTGGAAAGTCGAGAGGGCCAGTTGGGGTATATATCGAGAAGGGAGAGGGGGGGTAGAAAGAGAGAGAAAGAGATATAGAGAGAAAAGAGAAAGGGGAAGAGAGATGCTTTGAAAGGGAAGGAAGGAGAGGAGAGGAGAGAAGAGAGAATGGGGAAGGAGCGAAGGCAGATAAGGAAAGTGGTGATCTCAGAGGATGATAAGATGTATTGGGCAGGTACGCGTGTGACGGTAATCTTGGGAAAGGGTTACGCAGCACGCGGATGATTGGACTGGGATTCCTTGGGTCCCTTCAAGGGTATTGTGTGTACGGTATTGTGTACGGTTACATCGAGTTCTTTCCTATTGTACCCTGGACTCTGTACTCTCGGACCCCGGCGTATGGAATGTTCGCCCGGTGGATCCATCGAATCCACCAAAGCCCTGTGGCCCCCTCCTTTTCTTTTTTCCTTTTTCTTTTTCCTTTTCTTTTTCTCTTTCCCATACATACAGTCGCGCTAGTATGTATCCAGATATGCAGGCGCTGCCATTCGCCCTCCAACATTGAGGTTAGTCATGGTTTGTTTTGATTCCACTCATCACATCCACTCTGGCTCTCAACACGAAAAAAAAATGAATAAATAATATACACACCACACACACACACACATACAAAACACACTTATCGACTTTGTAGGTCAGCCCTTTCAAGTTGGGTGGGTCGTTTAAGGTTGGGTTTAGTGCCGTGCCTGCAGATAAAAACAACGCCGTTCACAGCCAACACTTACTAGACTACGAAGAATAGAAATTACCCCGTCTCATTTCCGAAAGGATGATCCTGATCCCCATGATTTATATTTTGCTATTATTACTCCTATTTTAATTCCTATTTTTATTTTTATTTTTATTTTTATTTTTTTTGCCACGAAAAATGAAACGGGGCATTACCGCGGCTGATTTTAAAACTGTTGGTACAAATCGTTTACGAATGCGCCGTCGGGACCCGCCGGCATCGACCGATCGAACGGTCCAGTCGGGGCAACGGGTGGCTGCAGACTCTCTGAAAAGGTAAGGCGAAGAGAACGACGTGGCACAGTGGACCTCCCCCTTAAGCGAGAGAGGCAGCGGTGTATACTTGTCTTGTCGACCCAACCTCTTTTCTTCTGTTTGATGGTATGGTTGTTATTAGGCTCGTAATATATGTAGCCCTAATTGGTATTTAGTGTGCTTGTGTCGGTAACTACGGCAGTTAGACTCCATACTAAAAACTGTTTATTTTTCGTTTGGTCTCTTGGCGGCTTTTCTGCTTTCCGACGGTGTGGGCGGTCAACATCATGCGGTGTGTGGTAGGTGTAGTGGCTCATTGTTTTCAAGCCCCTGACTCTCACCGGCTGATTGCGCATCGGTGGCCCATGTGAAGAAGCCTTGTTTCGGTGTGTCAATTTCGGTCTATCCAAAATTGGACGAGTACGGCAAGAGTAAAATCTATACTTAGGGTAGGCCCGAAACATCGAAGTCTCACCTCATGTAAGAATAGAGTCACGTGATTTGATCCATCACCCAGTCTCCCGTAATTAGTCAGCTGCTTATCGCATCGTCTGGCCCGCGCGCGGGCATCCCCCTCCCCGATTGGACTCCGATGTGACGCATCAGAGACCGGCGATAACCCCGACTCTGTTCGCAGCTGTGCCCAATTAGTTGAACTGCATTTCGAACTGAGCCCGCATCTAGATCGGCTAGGTGTCTCTGTATCTTCAAAGCACCCCCGCCTCCAGTGTGGGTCGATCGGTCATCCCGTGGGGTCAACAGCTCCCCAACCCTCAGTACGAGTAGCCGCATGTGTTTCTGATACCTAGACTTGGAAAGGACTTTTGCATCTCAACGTAAGGCCTGGCTTTCTCTCTGTCTCCCTCTAGTTAGCACAGCTGGTCTCCCGGGCTGACCGGCTTCCTTTGCTCCTGTGCACTGACATCTCTCCATAGGTCGTAGCCACCAGCGCGTGTTTCACCCTCCTATCGTGGTCGGTCGAGAATCTTCTGCTCTCTTTTATGTTCATGGAAAATGGGAGCCCTTTGTGTCGATCTCACTCAAAACTGGACCATTGATCTGCGACCACGACGTTAAAGTACGGGATGACATTCCGCGGAGAAAGAACCCCCCTCAGATCCTGAAGTGTCAGAACCCACCTATTGCAGGACTCGATACCATGTCTGCAGAACCTGGTTTGCCTAAAAGGCGTTGCGTCAGCACGGCTTGTATCGCTTGTCGCAGGCGAAAATCAAAGGTCCGTTGAGTTTTGTCAGGCTTATCGAAATATCACGCGAGAGCGCCACTAATACTTGGGCCTTCAGTGCGATGGGAATCTCCCTAGTTGTGCTGCATGCTCCTCAGTCTACCATACACCATGTTTGTGAACCTTTCGTCTCTTGCCCGAGAACCAATTTTGTTGACTTGATATCAGGTGTCTATGACCCAAACTCTGACCACCGACGCAAGGGTGTTTATAAGAAGGATGCCGATGCCTTGCGAACTAAGCACACCACGCTACAAACCCTGGTCCAGGCATTGCTGAACTATGAAGAAGAAGATGCATTTGAAATCGTGCGCCAAATCCGATCCTGTGATGACCTAGAAGATGTCGCCCAATCCATACTCACCCGAGATAGAGGGCTTCCAGCACCAACGACAGAAGTTGTGGGGGAAACCACCGAAAATGAGAATGCGGCTGAAGTCGATCAATTCGAATCCGAACTATCGGGTAGAATGAGCGAACTCCTACTAGATGGCTCTCGAAAATTTATTGGCGGCACGTCCAATCTCATCTTCCTTCCACCTGGTTCGGAATTACACGAGTTCACGCCTACTCAAGAAGCCCCAATTGCTCCGGTTACCAATGCTGTGCGACATTGGACACAAGTCACGGAAGACGACTCACTCGTTAGTCATCTTTTGACGATGTATTTTACATGGCACTACCCATTTTTCACAATCCTGGCTAAGGACATGTTCTATCGGGATTATGTTCGTGGTGTGTCAAGTCCCTATTGCTCGGCCTTGCTAGTCAATGCCATGCTAGCTCTGGGGTGTCATTTTACTACGTGGCGGGGAGCCTTTTCCGATCCTAACAACATTGCAACCGCCGGTGATCATTTCTTCAAAGAAGCCAAGCGAATGGTTCTGGAGAATGATGAGCACGAGAATGCAAAGCTTTGTACAGTTCAGGCATTTGCTCTTATGTCTGTGCGCGAGGCTGGGTGTGGCCGCGAAGGCAAAGGCTGGGTTTATAGTGGGCTCAGTTTCCGCATGGCCTTTGATCTTGGCTTAAATGTCGATGCCACAACCCCTGGCTCACACAACTTAACCGAAGAAGAGATTGATGCAAGGAGGATCACATTTTGGGGTTGCTATCTCATCGATAAGTCAGTTCCCTAAGTTTATTCCCCCTATCCCTCCTTCGACGTATTTTATTCGAACGTGTTCGAGAACTTTTGCGGCAATTTTTGAGCATCTCTAATGTATATTAGGTGTTGGTCAAATTACCTTGGACGGCAGCCACAATTATCCTCATCGAACACAAATATACCGAAATTTGAGGTGTTCCCAAGCGAGGAAACAGAACTTTGGGCACCATATACAGACGCAGGTGCAAGCCAAGACCACAGTCAAGCTTCGCGGACCCGAGCTGTTGCGCTACAAATATCGATACTCTGTCAGATCAGCGGCGATCTCCTTGCCTTTTTCTACCACCCATCGGAATTAGAAAAGTCGCAACCAAAACAAACAGAGTTGAAAAAGCTTAGCGATGTTCATACTAGACTTGAGGCCTGGAAAAAGCAGCTACCGCGAGAATTCGAGCCAAAGGAAGGACAGCTCCCCCAAGTCCTAGTCATGCAGTACGTCCACCAGAATCCTCTTCTCTATAATCTCATACTCACAATTCTACTAGCATGTTCAACCAACTACTACTCATTCATCTCTATCGGCCATTCTTAAAATATACGAAGACGAACACGCCCCTGCCTTCACATGTCTCGCCACGCAAGATATGCACGCAAGCCGCATCGGCGATATCTAAACTCTTGCGAATGTACAAACGAACTTATGGTCTGAAGCAGATTTGTAACGTGGTCGTTTACATTGCTCATACTGCTTGCACCATTCACCTTCTGAATCTTCCCGAGAAAAACGCTCAACGAGACATCGTTCATGGGCTGAGAAACCTCGAGGAAATGGCCGAATGTTGGCTGTGTGCGCGTCGCACATTGCGCATCCTTGAAATATCCGCCAACAAGTGGCAGGTCCATCTCCCTACCGAAGCCAGTGCTGTTTTCGAACGAACTCATACCAAGTGGGGGTCTTGGGGGGCTTTGGGACCAAGCTACCTCACCCACGTCCATATCAGACGAATCTCCGGCAACTTCTTACAGCAATTTGAGCCCCTCCGTCAACAGCCCAGGACGCTTCTCACCTGGCGGCAACAAGGCCCCTGCGGTGCAGCGTCCGGAACCCACCACAACCAACACAGCGAATTTGGCGGGGGTGTCTATGGCCCCTCAATACCCTCCCGCGACCACCATGGCAACTTCAGTTCCCCCAATGCGTATAGCACGCCGGGTATTTGGAGCCCAGGCCCAAAGGCCAGAATTTCCGCCACCAGAGCCGACATATCTCCGACCACTATCACAAATGGACTACCAAGTACCTACGGGGTTTGCAGGTTCAAATCCATCCGCTCCTTCTCCCATACCTGGCGGCTGGTACGATGCAAACGGTGCCCATGTAGAGACGCAGCCTACTCCATCGAACCTCTCATCTATGACTAATTTTGGGGCCCCTGAAAGTCTAGTTAAAGAGAGTCAAGATTGGTGGTCTCGCAATGCTACCACCGTGGACATTGGAGTGGAAAATTGGAGTCCTTGGAGTCCTGGTATCCCGACCCCAGCACCTCATATTCAGTACGGCGATGACCATGTAAACCTCATGGGTATGGCATCACAACCTAACACTGTAAACGGTCGCCAAAACCAAGCCGAGGCCTCAATGGGGATGCACAATACCAGTGTGTCGCCAGAGAATGGCACACCCAAATTTGAGGGGCCATGGTCATGAATGATATTTTCCTTTGCATATATTAACGATTAGAGTTTTTGTCAGAGTTCCAAGGTCAGCAGCATCATGCACAGGGTGAAGCATTGACACTTTGGATTTTTTGTATCTACTTCATTGTTTGTGTTCCGATGATACCACAAATTGGGAGGGGTTTATGATTTTGATGGCGTTTAGATACTATGTTTATTGCATCTGGCTTGGCCTTCTTGTAAGAGAACGTTCCTCTCTTAATTCTAGTGCATTGGCAAGTCGAGATTCACAGCTCGAGAAATGAAAACTTCCCATCATGATCAATCATTAGTCACAACAAATACAAAAACACCAATTCACAAAATGCAGTTTCGACCCAAGAAGCTTCCGAAAACCATATAGACGAGAGATAGCAGTGAAATGTATGCAAAGGATGGTATCACTAAGTCGACTGTTAGCATCAATTCTTCAACAGGAATTGGAACATGATCGTGGAGCAGGTTCCACTCACCAAGAAATAATCGGCGACAGGCTTCTTCGCAGGCATACCCCTAGTATCCTGCGCTGCGGCCTCAAACACGCGGTATCGTCGGCCGGGACTGACAACGGTGCTCAGGGAATCCGCACCCATGACGCCGTTGCTGCGTCCATATTCTCCATTACTGCGGGCCACAGTGCCGCCGCTGCTTGTATCCTCGCCTAGCTCTAAGATAGCAGCAACATTCCCGCACCGGTAACAATAATTTGGAGCAGACCACACTGTTACGATACCGCCGTCGAACATCTCTTTGTAACCCTCCATGACAAGTTGATGGGCACGTGCAACAAGTGATAAGCCATTAAGGTGGTTGAATTGTTTGACGATATCACCGCCAAAGAGGAAACCTGCACCTCGCGGACTCAAACCCCAACCTTCGATTTCGTCTGGGTCTGACCAGAGCAGATCGCACATGGCTCCCTCGTGGGGAACTTCTTGTTTGCGATCGATCAGTCGAATCTTATCGACTGAATCAATTAATGGAGAAAGACCACCGTGCACACAGAGAACAGCGCCTGTACGACTCCCAGGCGCGCTGCCGTTGCTATCCCCACCGGCACCTGTACCAGGTGCGCCTGATCTCGTGGGCGCGCCTAGTTGACCAGGGGCGGCGGATATGTCCCGCGGCGGGGAGATGTTTCGCGAGTCGGTGGAAGCGTCGGAAGAAGAACGCTGTCGCGGACGGTAAGTGCTCATAGTGACTTCACCGCGTGAGTTCAGCACCTCGGTCTCTAGCTCAGTATCATCTATTGGCATGGTGGATTGTGTTGTGTCGTTCGCTGAAGATGTAGTCGGTTCGAGTTCTGAGCTTGCGCCTAAGACTATGGCGCCCAGAGCGAGATAGTCGAAGACTTCACAGCAATACCGCCAGACGTTGGCGCTGCCGTACTTGCGGATACATTCATCGTAGAATCCATAGACGGTTGTGATCTGTCGCGATTCGTGATTACCACGAATTAGGGTCATGCGATCAGGATATCGAACTTTGAGGCAGAGGAGGAGGAGGAAGGATTCAAGTGAGTAAAAGCCGCGATCGACAAAGTCGCCCATGAATAGGTAGTTAGTGTCTGGAACATCGCCGCCCACGCGGAACAGCTCCATCAAGTCGTGGAATTGGCCATGAATATCGCCGCAAATTGTGACTGGCGCATCGACAGAAACGACATTGCCTTCTTCAATCAAGAGCTCGCGAGCCTTGTAGCAGAGTTCGCGGACCTGTGATTCAGGTATGAGTCGGCAAGCCCGCAGCTGCTCGATCGCACTGTCAAGGAAAGACGTGTCAGTAAATCAGTTGGAGTGAAGGAAGAATAAGACAATGGCGATCGATACCGGTCAAGGTCACTCATGGTGGCTGTTTAAGAGGAAGGTGGATGGAGGGAAGGTGAGGCGGATAGTGAAAAGGGAGGCGGGGGGGTGCAAACAAGACCGTCAGAAGCAGCGGGCAGTAATAGACAGTCAGTCTCCTTCGCGCGAGAAATCCAGATTCATTGTTGCGCCATATCCCAAAGAAGAGCAAAGCAAAGCAGGGCAGGGCAAAGCAGAGACAGGAGCAGAGCAACGCGAGACAACGGAGACGGGCTGGACGTGGGCGTATCTGACTCTGCGCTGCGTTCGGGGGCTGCGGGCCAATCACGCTGAAGGCAGATAAGATTAGATGTCCACCAGAACCTTTCAACCTCCTCGTCTCCCGCTGTCGCGATCGTCAACCACCCCCGGATCGCCCTCAACAACCCTGTCAGACCCTGTCAACTACTGCGGGCTCGTGGGATCTTCCCAATTGACCTCTACCGCGCTCCTTCCACCCTCCCATCCCATCCCGTCTCGCTCCGTGCTTCCACCTCACCCTGAACACCGTCCGATGGCCTGAGCCCGAAAAAAAGTCGAAGACGTCGACTACGCTTTCCTTCTTCCCCCGGATTCGCCTTTCACATTGATCAATTCCCTTTTACACAATGCCGCCGCATCTTCATCCCCGCTCTCGGTCGACAACCGGCCTCTTCGCCGGTACTCTCCTCGCATCCTTGCTGGTTGTTGGCATGCCACACGTCTTCCCTTGCCCGGCCCCTCGACGCACATTCGCCGACTCAGAAATGACAATCACAGCCGATGGTCAACAATTACCACGCATTCGCCGTCGGAGGCGGAAAGAAGTCGAAATGGACGCGGAAACTGCCCACCCTGTCCTCCCGACTTCCTCCGGCCCCGTGGATGAGGAGGTCTCCACGTTCTTCCAGATGGAAGCGGAGGCTCAGAAGTTGACACAAGCGAATCACGAATGTCCTATCCCAAAACCGAAGGGTGTGCTTGGTGAATTGCTGGGATTCCGCAATGCTCGCGGAGACCAGCAGCGCCAGACAGCAGAGGCACCCGTGGGAGATCACTAAAGAACACACTGGTTCTGAGTCTTCTCCTTTTGTCTCTCATTCAACTTTGCATATTCTCTCTTTTTGTCACTTGTTTAATGATACCATGGATTTGGAATTGTTGAGGTATAAGGCCTCGCACGGTGGTTGTTCGAATATTACGGATGTTGGGGATGGATATACCACAGCGAAAGCTACACTTGAGATGTGTACGTGTATAAACTGTACAACAGAAAATAAATTAAACCGAAGAATCAATCAGCTCATCTATGGAGGCAGCACTGCATGATTTTATTTAAGCAATTTAGGTACATGTCTGGTTACCTGTGCATCGAATGTTCTCCATGGATGATCGCACTCCTATTGTGTCCTTTCTGGTTCTCAGGTTGTAAATGAATCCCGCCGTTCTGACCGAGCACAAAATCAGTTAAGAGCCTCAGACCACGGGGTTTTAGCTTGATAAATAACTATTTGAGTGCCAAGGAATAGCAAATTCCAAATCCTGTCATAGGTAGCAAGAAGTTGTCTACCCTGAGACTCATCGCCAACTCCGACATCCACGTCCCGGCCCATAAGAGACAGCATGGTCTTCCGAAAAGTTGCGTCCACTTTTCTGGCCGATTCCTTGATCCGTGACGTCTCGCGTGGCTCATAGACGTAGTGTGTCTGGCTCATTTCAGAAGTGTCGAATGTTGTACAGACTTCGTTAGCTCCATCAGCCTCAGTAGGATTCTCTAGTTTGAAGAGGTGTAACTGTGTCTGCTTGAGTGCCTCTGGGTCTTTCAATATTGCGGCTCCCAGGTCGGCAGGTAAAGTGTAATGCCAATTGGTCAAGGAAAAAAAGGGCAAAATAAGGACGTCATGGTCTGAAGGGGGCCTGGGAATGGCACTGTAGTATGTTAAATAGTGAATATGTTGTCTAACAGATCCAATTGTAACCCAATACCTCAAGAGGCTCACATGAACATATGGAGAAATCGGCAGCTTCTTCAAAAAATCGACAACACTGTTGACTTTTATCCATTGTATGAAGAGCGAATCAAGCCCCGGACACTCTGCACCGTAAATTTCGATTTCAAAATGTGGTCTCGAGCTTCTTGAGAAAGGGAAGGAGGAGAGTTTTTCTTTTGTAGCAGTCGCGCTTGAAAAACTCCAGTTGACATGCAATCTTTCAGATGTTGCCTGAAACCTGATCCAGATCCTATGATGGTCATGCCCGTTACTGATTATGAATCTGAACTTGAGATTTCGGTATAACAGGGTTGAAATTTCATGATAGAGGAAACGGCTGCTGCATAGGATGTTGGCCATTTTATTCGCAGGCACAGGTCTACGGTATTTGCGATCGGGCTGCGGTTTTCTTGAATCGGGAAAAATGGCTTCCCATATCACTAGACGAATCTCTGTTGGTAGCTTTGAGAAAACCCCCAGTTGAGAGAGGCACTGCCTTTCGTCCTCGAGGTGTTTCACACTTATAGGAGCCATTTGGGTCGTTTGATATTTGGAAGAAGAATGGATGGCGAACTAGTCGTTTGTAATACTAGCGATTCTTGTCGATCGTTTATTGGCAAACACGGAAGATATGGGTTTGTTGAGAAGAAAATATGGAGAATGAAGAGCAAATGCTGAAGAAAGAGGAGAAGGAAAAGAAATGGGATGAAAATAATTCATGGATGTGAATGATGTATTCTATCTATTTTGGAATGTCCGACGCCGTAATAGGCGCGGTGGGCCAAAACGTGCCTAGGCAGATTTGTGCTTCCATGGTATCGACTGGTCTCTGGATTTTTCTATAATATGATGACTTATGACCTTCAAGTTGAGTTCAAGTTGGTTTAAGTTACCCAACTAGCAAATGGGTTCAAGTTCTTAGTATTTCTCTCTGGAGATTTCGCACAAACAGGAGATTGCGGCTTTGGAATATTCAACCAGCTTCCAGTAATACCAAGTGTTTAAGGTGCGGCAGAGTAAAAATCAAGTCATCAAAAATGGCGTGGGCCTCTAGCTGGTGTTTTCAAGCTTATCACTCCCAATCTGACCTGATCTGGTTCCAAAAGGATCCGAAGGAAGGAGAGCCACCCGGGGTATCCGTCTTGATGAAGCGTTATCATAAAATCAACGGTTACACCGACGTTGACCTACTTTGAGCCATCACGGATGAAGATATCGTCTGAGCTACGCTCCGGATCATGGATTTCGGCAATTGGCTCTGTCTTACCAATCCTCGACAAAAATTCCATGGATTGCCCGCGCTCATCCTGCTCAGCAGCACCCAAAGGTGTTGACTCGAGATCTGAAGAGGTAGACTGCGAAGGGGAATGCATCTGCGGTGTCAAATCTGCAGGCTTCACGTTCCAGCTTTGTAACTGAGCACCTTGCCCAACGTCGATACCCCATCTCCAGCCGCTCATGCGATTATCTGCCGGTGAGAATTCCGGCCACCATCCCAGGGCCGCAACCGCTTTCCACTTTTTTAGCTGTGCTATTTGATGTGCATCTTCATCTCGAGCTTTATGGACCAGTGTGCTATTGGCAAGAAGTGAAATTTGCGCTGCAATAGATGTGGGGGGTTTGGGGACTATCGCTTTGCTGGGGAATATATGAAATACCCAAAGGAGGATGGTCACGATTAAAGCGAGTAGAGCTTCCAGTACGTAAGTAATGACAGGCTCCTGCATCAGACGAGGCTCCGAATAAGACAAGCTGGCTTGGACCTGTTGGTTTGTAGGGGACAATGATGACGAATTCTGGACGCTTGAACGGAGCTCTGTCAGAAGTTGGGTGACATACAGGGTGTACATTTGCTGCGTTGACTGGGCAAGAGAGACGGGGTCGACCAGAGAAGACAGGTTCTGACGTTGGTACTCTGCGTACACTGCGAGAAGCTCGAAGAAGTTTGTGCTGCTACCTCGGCCCGGCCATAGCGTGTCGCTCCGCAATTCTCCATCCGGCGAGGAGTCTCCTGCATACTGATTGATTTCAGGAATTGGCGGCGCGAACCAATTGGGCTGCATGTTGGGATATGATCCACTATAGACAATGCTATTGTTGTCGAACGAGACTGGTTTCCAGGGAAGCAGTGTTTTCTGGCCTCCAATTTCAGCTTTGCTGGGCCTTTTGAAGGTTGTTTTGACGGTGACACTGCTCAGGTTCCGATAACAGACAGTTGCTTGCATGGTTGGTAGAGAGACATTCAAAGTATTGCGACCCGCCAAGATAGGCTCCGTTCCAACCATAGTTTTATTGGTGAACGGCTTGGAGACTGAGCTATAGTCTGTCAGGTACAACCAGAAATCGTCGTCCATCAGATCTGGAGGTCCGGCCATATCAAATTTGAACTTCCGGAAGCCAGTTTTACCGTCGTATACAACGGGAGCATGATGAGGTATAAATCCGGTTGTAGATAAGTCTGTTTCATTCAGTGAGTCATAGCAGAACTGTGAGCTACAAGCCCAAGCAAATGACCAAGGCTGTTCCTTGTTTGAGGTGTCGTAACTAATACTGAGGTTGAAGTTCTGTGTCGATATGGGCACACAATGGATGTCGACCAGGATTGCTGGTACACGGGCTTCGATAGCTCCATCTGACGTTATATTATTGCTTGAATTGTCCAGAACACCTGTGATGTTACTGAAAACCAGATTATCGATGGTGCCAGACCGAGCGGGGAGCTCGAAATTGGGATCTGTCTGCCACTCGGCATACTGGCATGCTTTTCTGATCAATTCTTCTGAGTTTGAAGCGCCAAAAGTATCTGGGAGATTCATAACCAAGCTCTGGTCTAGCGTGATGTTCACTTGCATGGTTCGCTGTGCAGTTGTGGACACAAATAAACCGGCGGCCACAATTTTCAAGGCCATAATTATTAGCATGACCGCAGAAGATGCGATCACTGCGGCACTGATTCCCCTGGACCCCAGCTCAGATAACCGGTCTAAGGCAGAATGATAATCAATGAAAATTCCGTGCTGATTAGGCCGTCGTCGCATGACATTGAAAGGCGCGAGGATTTGCACAGCGCCATCAACGCCTGCACAGCTGTAACCAAGCAGAACAAGAATAGCGGAAGTGACTAAGGGAAACGCAGCGGCCGAAGTTCGAGTGTCTGCTGTTATACCATCATGTCGGTATGAAGACCAAAGCATCAAAGCGAGAGCAACCATGATCAAGATAATTGTTGTGAGAAGGGCAATTTTAGACGCCATGAGAAGGGGAATTGACTGCCAGCCCGGGTCCGACTTTGATAGATGATTGTTGTCACTACCACTTGATACTTGTTGATATGGCGATGAAAATGGGCTTTGCTCCTTTGAACTTGGTTGTTCGTCGCCAAGACACTCGTCGTTCACACAAAGCTGTTGACCCCGTGCCGCGCACCCTCCAAAGCGAAATCGGATATCTTGTAATTTGGATTGCATCTGGTCTTGAGATGACGTCGCATGAGGTGCCAATAACTTCTCAATGCCATTTCCGGAATCTGCTATAACTAAAGAGGTGGCAGCCAGTGAGCTCGGATCATCAGATAAAGCAGTTGACGGTCTCAGTCCGGTGCAAAATGTGATGCACACGACTGCCAAAAGAGCAAGTAAGGCTTGCATTGCTCGGAGAGCTGGCCACCAAACAAGAATCTTCTTCTGACTTAGCGTAATTTTTCCTGGTAGGCTGCGTTCCACCGGCTTCCGCGAAAGTAGATTAATCACCTGTGCCCATATCTCCGTTGCGAGTATCTCTACCTCCTTCTGGAGATTATCCAGCTTCGTGGCATTCCCGGTGGCATCTGCCGGAAGTAGGCTTGTAAATGTATCGGTTGAGTATTGGTAAATTGCCAAGTCATTAACCAGGCTTATGATCTTCGATGTGTTGGCAACTGGTATTTGATCTGCATTGTATGGTCCACCTTGACCGGCACGTCCATAGGACTTCATTGTTTGCGTATCAAGTGGGTTCATGAGATACAGCCATAGCGCCTCGACTGAAGTACTCGCATCAAGAGTTTGTGGCTCATCGATAAGAGTGAAATCCACGAGCTCATTAGAGGTAATGTTGACTGAAGCCGTTGCTGTTTGCTGAGTGAAAGTCGGCGAGCAGATAACTCCACCGACAGATCCGCCGGTGTTTATAGTCACCGTTATACGCAAATCGAAGGAATCATTTGAGCACTGCGTGATATTGAGCCATGAGCCACCGGGCGTATGTTTCTGTTCGATCGGCAAAGGGCAAGAAGCGACGTGAGCAGTGTAGCCGTCACCCATGCTGTACTGAGCCTGTTCACATTTGAGACCAACGGACACCGCATTAACATCAGCCGTCATGGTTCCATTTTGCTTAGATGTAGTGTCTGGCATTGAAAACCTATCGAATGCATATTTGTCCGTTGTCCATGGGCCGGGTTCCCACCAGACTCTCTCTCCGAGAACACATGAGCATAGGGCTTCTCTCCTGTATAATTCTTTGGAATCGTGAGATTACCATCCGGCAGAACAAGAGGAAACTCATCGAAATCAAAAATTGATGTCTTTGTCAAGGTCGTCGCTATTGTTTGCGATGCAGCTAAATCGACATAAATCAACGAGTTGGAAAAAGGAACCAGTGCGCCACAGAAAAATGTTGCCGTCAAGATAGCCGTGATTGCCCAATCTTTTTTCCCAATCGATTGAAAGGCGGAAAGCACCTCTAATTTGTTGTGATAATCCAAGAGAATTGATTGCTCCCCAGTAGCCCATCGTCCACTCATATTCGACCATGGCGTGAGCTTCTTCACGTCTGTTGCAACTGCGCGGAAGGCGAAAGCGATAGCGATCACACCAAGAGTTGGCATATATTTTGCGAGGTTTAAAATATTTCTATTCTCGGGCGAAACTGCTCTCGAGCTAGTAACGTATCTCAGTGCTTCAAGAGCAGCAATAGCTCCACAGCAAACAACCGCTACCGCAAACAGCGCGGGACGTTTCAGCATGAGAGGAATCCATTCCTTTGTTATGGACCCCTTTTTATGTATGCGGATCTCGGATAAATGACTCGACCCGTGGTGTTTTTGAGCGGAAGTGGTGGCGGCTCGGAGTGGAGGCTCCGAAAGTGAGGAAGGGGAGTTGGATGGTGAGCTTTCCCAGTGATCCATGGGCATATCGGTGTATGATGATCCGGCCTCATGATACGGATGAGTGTTGCCAATATTCATTTCCATTCGTTCAGAACATCAAGATAGGTAAGCGATATATTTTTGCGTTACGGATTCAAACTGAAGCATGAACTTGAAGGTGAATTAGGTGGGAGATATTTGCGGCTGACTTTTCCACTGGCAGTTTGCGTTCGTGGATTGCCAAGCACGATCTGCCTAGGGGTATCCTACTACGGATTGCTCCGTACATTTCTCCCGATAGTTGGGCATCATGCAGCTAGTAACTGCTGGCAGTCACAGCCTCAAGTTCAGTGGGTGAATGGCGGGCACTGTTTGGTGAAAACGAACCCTGCATTCGGTTACAAAATGACCTCAATTTTGATTAGCTACCATCCTGTGATGTACCCTCTCCCTACACCGTAACTAAGCCCAAGTGGGTTTCTGTTCCGCTTCTCCGTCCTAAGTACCAGTGCCAAGTGCCAGTGGAGAACATTGAGAACGTACGCAGAAGAGCATTGGATGCACGTCCCGCTTTAACTATGCCAATCAACCCATATTCGTCAATCTAAACTCTATAAGACATTGAGGCTTACAATGCTGGCTTCCTCCTTTGGGGGCCAAAGCTTTTACGAGGCTTACAACGCTGGCTTCCTCTGGGGGCCAAGGCTTTTGAACCAAGGAGAAGATCTGAATAGATGCCCAAGCGGACTTTACTACCTGTGCTCCGTATGTTTGACAAATAACTGGTATGTGCATACTCGTAGTAGCCCTGGTTAATTTAGAATTTTCACCCTGGAATACTCTTCGTGTCCGCTGTAGAATAAATAGATATGCTTGGGTGGAAATTTCATTCCACAAATTTCTCCATACCGCAACCGATTCCCCCAGCACAAGAACCCACTCTCCCCGCAAACCCCATACTCACAATTAAAGATCTTCGCAGCCGTTTTCATAATAAACCATCACGGTTCCAGGTCAAGAATAAGACAAGCTAATGCTCAATTAAACGACCTCAAAACAGAGCCGTATCGGCCACACAGTCACTATCCAAATTCCCAGCTTCTGCTTTGCCTACTATCTCGCGGTTCCAATCAGAGATGTAGCCAAAATCGGATACTTGCTATCCGTCTCATCCACAATTCCACTGTAGCTGCACCATCCTGATGAGGGCAGCCTATCAATGGAAGCGGCAATGGGTCATGATAAACTGTGACAAGCCTGAGGCTCTTATCTTGGAAGCCCACGCTAGGAAGAGAATCATCCGGAACCTCCATGGATACACACTCAGATATATCATACCTAGGTAGTAGTTGTCGTATACTGCATATCGCTTTGCGAAGGTTTAGTGTAAATACTATATACCACTACTAGTACTACTTTAACTCCCTGTACTCCTGTACTACCACTAGTAGTATTTCATGCATGCAGATTTGTGCAGATTTTGAGAGCCCAAAACACAGAAGTATACTATTGACGGAAAAGGGAAAAGGAAAAACGGAAATACTACGAAGCCAAGCCAAAGAGATGGCGTTGGTTACCGCCCCGTGTACGGGCACTCGAACAACGTACTACTAGTAGATAGTCAAGATAATAGTATGAAATATAGTAAGTCAGTAACCGGAAATCTGTATATACTAGTAGAATACTAGTAGTATGTTGTAGTTTAATCGTCTCAACTTTCTGGATCTATATAACGACTCGGAGAGTGGAAGATTCCATTTGTGTTCCTGCTTTTGAGTATTTCGCAAGAACAATTTAAGTTTCCCGCTTGTTCAAGAACTTTGTAATATATTGAATCTTTTTTACCAACTTGAACTGGTTCAATCTGCCTTGAAAATATTTGGTTGTTGGCGAAAATCATGTCGACTATGAAAATAAGTGGGTCTTTATTGGACAGAGCAGCCACAGCCAGTTGCACTCCACACGTCAAAAGTCCCCCATCAAGCCACCCTGGAACATTCCGCCTCAATCACTTGCATCGCAATGGGCCCCTGGGCGCGCTTTATATACAATGTGCTAACCCACCCAAGGCACACACAATGGATCGGGCCCTTACTTATCCTAGGCGATGCAGTGCTGTGTGCACTTGTCATTTGGAAGATCTCCTGTGAGTGCACATCTCATCCCGTCGCGTCGCGGACAGGGCCAAGCTAATCGCACCCCGCCCATCTCCAGATACCGAGATTGACTGGACGACTTACATGCAGCAAGTGAAGCTATATCTCGATGGGGAACGCAACTATCCCTCCATCGAAGGCTCGACCGGCCCCCTCGTCTATCCCGCCGGCCACGTCTACATTTATGCCCTTCTCTACTACATCACCGATCAAGGGCGCGATATCCTCCTAGGACAGACTATTTTCGCGGCGATCTACCTGGCGACTCTCATTATCGTCATTGCCTGCTATCGGCAGGTTCATGCGCCACCATATCTGTTCCCGCTCCTCGTCTTGTCCAAGCGGCTTCATAGCATCTACATGCTCCGCATGTTCAATGATGGCATTGCCGCCTTCTTTATGTGGCTTGCAATTTATTCTTGGATGAAAAAGAAGCCCTTACTTGGCATCACAGTATGGTCTCTTGGTGTCTCTGTCAAAATGACACTAGTTCTGCTCGCACCAGCCATTGCCGTCCTCAGCGCATTTGACAACGGTCTGCGTGGCAGCGTTGTTCAGGCGATTGTAGCTTTCCAGCCCCAGGTGAGTCAAGAGTCCCTGGAAATTCTACATCGATGGCAGCAAACTGATACAAAGTCTACAGATGTTGCTCGCAAGACCGTTCACTCGCAAAAATTACACGGGCTACATTAATCGGGCTTTTGAGCTAACCCGGCAGTTTATGTTCAAGTGGACCGTTAACTGGAGGTTTGTCGGAGAGGAAACTTTCCTCTCAAAGGAGTTCTCGTTGGGTCTGCTGGCTTTGCACGTCTCCCTCCTGGGGTTTTTCTCAACCATTTGGGTCAAGCCATCGGGTATGAACATTTTTAGCTTCGCCCGTGACCTTCTCCGCGGATGGAGACCTCGCATCGCCTTATCCAAAAATTTCACTATGAACATGATGCTGACTTCATTGGCGATCGGCATGCTTTGCGCCAGATCATTGCATTACCAGTTCTTCGCATATCTGGCCTGGGCCTCCCCATTCCTCCTGTGGCAGGCCAACTTCCACCCCGTTCTGATTTATGTCCTGTGGGCGGTTCAGGAATGGGCCTGGAACGTGTACCCAAGCACCAACGCCAGTTCGGCAGCGGTGGTCTTGTCCCTTGCGGTTCAGGTATTTGGCGTGTTCATCAGCGGGCTCGGGGAGGTTGATGGCGGCGAGCGTGGAAAAGCACCCCGTTCTCAATAGACGATAGGCATTGAATCCTCATTTTGAATTTGACAGGTTGTTTCAAGCGTCAGAGTCCTCATCAGAAGAGGGCATTTTTCCCACGCGAGATTCCTCCTCGGAGTCGGAGTCGGAATTGGAGTTGGCGGTGACAATTGGCTGTTTCACGAATTCCTTGGGCCTGCAAGAAGAGCGAATTAATAAAGCGCGATCTATTGTATAAACCAGCGTAGCAGAGAAGAGAGAATGATCCCATACCAGAATGGGGCCTTCCGCCAGGCCTTTTCATCCCGCACAATATTGATAATTTCCGCGCCAATTTTATTGTCCCGTTCCTCCTGTGCCTTGGTGTCGACCAGAAGATATGAACCGCGCTTGATCCAGAAGGTCGATCGAAATCTCGCTGGCAGCTCAGCCAACATTTGTGTCTTGTCTGGGAATTCAATTTGGTAGATATTGTTGCCGGTGCCCTTGAGTCCTCGCACGATGTGGTGGGTTTCGGCCAGTTCATTCGGTGGGAACATGGTTTCCTCGGCCGTAGCCAGGACCTTTCGACGAGGCGGTGCCATTGCGATTTAATTGGCGAGGATTGGCGATTATGAGGGAGCTGCAGGAGTATGTCGAGCTCTTTGGAGGGGTGGGAGAAATTTCCTCGTTGGGCTTATCGGCGGGGCTTCCGCACGATGACAAACTACCCACAAGTTCCCCTCCAAAGAGTCGTGGAGTCGGGGCCCCGCCTAATGGAGAAAGTCCCCGACTTCAAGTTACTTGTAGGATGTTTCGCCAAAGGTGGTCAGATAATGCACTCCTGCAGATTGGAATCACTTGACCGGAGTGTTTTTTCCCCACATTGAGTCAACTGAAGTCCAACACCTCATTCTTTTTCCTCCTTCACCAGATCTCTTTGTTAAGTCTCTAAGCCATCGTTGGCCTGATAAAGCCTTTGCAGTGGTGCTTAGCCCCCAAAAAGATTGGGCGAATATGGCAGCCTCCAGTCTGGGAGCTTTTCTAAAGATCGAGAGTTCCTCGCAGATCTCCACTCCCCCGCCTGCAGTGCGGAAGGATAAGCAAGGCGTCACGCACCCTCCGTCAGATTATGAACTCAATGAGTTACAGCCACACAACAGCGCAACTAAAGTGACTGCTGAGCCAGTATTTTCACCACAAACGGGTGTATCCACGCCAACCCCTACTCCAGGTGTATTGGAAAGCCGTCTATCAACCCCAGACGCCGAGAATGAAGCCATAGAGTGGGTCCCAGATCGAACCAATCCTTCATGGAAAACCAAATGGCGGCTGTTGAGCGTCTGTTTCATCAATTTCGGCAATGGAATGAACGATAGTGCCCCGGGTGCCTTGATTCCTTACATCGAGAAACACTATGGCATCGGATACGCCGTCGTGTCGCTGATTTTCGTGACCAATGCCCTCGGGTTCATCTCGGCGGCGCCAGTTACACATGCCCTGGAGACGAAACTAGGCCGCTCGAAGAGCTATATACTTGCGATGGCGTGTCTGGCCGTCAGCTATGTGGTCATAATCTGCCAGCCATCCTTCCCGGTGGTCGTGACCTGCTTTTTCTTTCTCGGGTTCGGGATGGCTCTCAGTCTGGCTCTTAGCAACGTGTACTGCGCGAATCTAGCTAATGCAACTACAGCCCTGGGCTGTTTTCATGGGTCATATGGTATTGGAGGTACTGTTGCACCGCTTTTTGCAACTGCTATGGTGTCAAGTGGGATCCGCTGGTCGATCTTCTATTCTATTACCTTAGCTTTCTGTCTCTTCAATCTCGCGTTCTCCTCGTGGGCATTCTTCAACTATGAGAAAGATACCCCGGCAGAGCCGCAACGACCTCTTCATCAAACAACTTCTCGTCCTACCAGTATTGCTGGCGAAACTTTGACTCGGGCCCAGATCCTCAAAAAGTCTATCAAGAACCGGACTACCCTGCTTGGTGCCTTATTCATCTTCGCTTACCAGGGAGCTGAGGTTTCCGTCTCGGGATGGGTGGTTTCTTTCCTGATCAGCTACCGAAATGGCGACCCCTCGCGGGTTGGATACGTCAGCGCAGGTTTCTGGGCTGGAATAACAGCTGGCCGGTTTCTGCTCACTCATCCGGCCGCGAAACTAGGCGAAAAGACAGCAGTAGTCTTGATGGTGGCCGGCGCTGTGGCTTTTCAGCTGATGACTTGGCTCATCCCTAATGTCATCGGAGAAGCTGTCACGGTTGCAATTCTAGGTCTTTTGCTTGGAGCTGTGTATCCATGTGCCACGGTGGTTTTTACGAGGCTACTGCCGCGAAGTATGCACATGTCTAGTTTAAGCTTCATCAGTGCACTTGGCAGCAGCGGTGGAGCGGTCTCGCCCTTCTTTACCGGTATCCTCGCGCAGAATGTGGGTACTATGGTCCTGCATCCGATTTGTATCGGTCTGTATGGGGTGATGGCTACTAGTTGGTTGTTGCTGCCGAAGATTTCGAAGAGATCCGAGTAAGGGTCTTTCTGAACTCAGATGTGGCTGTGCATGATTTGATATGCCCACCGGACTTGGAAATATCGGGATGAATCTCGCTCGAGAGTAATTCATTATCATTGTGAGGTGTAGGGGTGATGTAATGCCTGTATTCCCGTTTCGACCGGCTGATGGAGTTGGGCACAGCAGTACATGACTAGCCGAGTCTTGCTACTGTACTTTCCACAATGTTATCAACAAAGCATCAATAAGACCCTATGACTGAGAATAAAAATCGAATAGAGTTGAATAAAAGAAAAGCTACTCATTCGGGATGAAAATTGGAATTAATTTGGAAGCCGGTCCGCGAGGAATAACGCTGTATAATAATGCCCATCTTTACACTTCCTTGGGAGGTCCACTCTACCCAACACACGAGGTTGACAAGTGGGATGGATGACTCTACGATTTGGGGTCAGGTCATTTCAAAGTTTTACGACCACCAAGAAACGAATGATATCGATACAGGTGGACAAGACCATTGTGCGAAGAATGTGTGCAATGTAACCGAGTCGAGTTGAGTCGAGTCGAGTCGAGGGGACTTGTCCATGTACGCGGCAAGGAGAGTGAACGGTCGCACGCCTCAGGCGATCAGCGTGCAGTGACGAGTCGCAGGCATCGTCGTTCTAATTTATTATTTCTTTCCACTTTGTACGACCGACGGCATCGCCGCCATGCTGAGACATTCTGGACCAGATCTCTACCAATCACGACCCCGCGGGCTCGGCTGGGGCTGTGGTCATCGATTGGAAGTTTGGGTGGGTGTTTTCTGGTTGTAAATCTTCAAAGGCTCTTTTTTGTGGTTCAATGGCAGCTTTCGTATTTGTGTGTGTTTCTTTTTGTTTGGTCATTGAATTTCACTGGATGGACTGGGGCCAGGTGTCTCGGAGGAGAATAGTCCTCCATAGTCTAGAATTGTGTGTGGCCAGAGCAGAGGAGGGGAAGCCAAGGTCTCACGTGTAGATGTCACGGTTTTCGCCACAATGTATTGAATTCGCGCCTAACACTACTGGGATTATTTGACGTAACTCGTACTTGTGCTTGTACTTGTAGTTTCCCTTAATATGATCTGCTGAAATTCACTTTCAGCTGGCCCTTATCGTGACGATCCCCGCCTTGTTGCATGTTCCTATGCTAGTACATTTTCCGAAGTGGCATTATCCTTACCGTCATCCTTTTACCCCCCCCCCCTGTCAACAAGAGCCCCGCGAATCCCTTCTCCCACCTACACCTCCCCCGCCCCCCACGGTCCGGCGCAACAACCCAGTTTTGATCCCTCGGACCTCCCATAATGGATGGCGACGAGCTTATTGCCTCGGTCTATCGCAAGATAGAGCGAGAGAAGGCCCTCATCGCCGCCGCCAGTAACATGCGGCAGTCGACCGACAACCCCCTCGTGCAACAGAGAGTCGACGTCAATATCCGTGATGGCCGTAAGAATATCGCCTACCTGGAGGAGAAGATGCGAGAGCTTCAGATTCGCCGGATCGAGCAAGAAGGTGGTGGTTCTCCAGGTCAGCGAGGCGGGCCCGCGCCCCCGCCAAAGGACGGATACTTTGAAGATGAAGCTGGTTATCCTCAAGGTGGCTCCGGTTCGATGCCATCGGGTGCCCCCTTTCCCGACCCTCGCCCATATGCCCCCATCCCCAAGGCGCGCCCTAATTACACCAAGCTAGGTACGTCGCTTTCCTCGAATTCTCTCCCCCTCCATATCTCACCCCAAAATCTGGGGAAATCTCTCGGTCAAACGATCATCTTTTTTGGAGCCATTGGAATGCTGACTAGACGGATGTTTCAGATCTCATCAAGTATGACACCGCTTATCTCGGACCGAAGATTCAGCTCATGCTGTCCCAGCTTGAGTTCAAGCTGAGTGTGGAGAAGCAATACAAGGCGGGTATCGAAAAGATGGTCCGGCTTTATCAAGACGAGGCGATCGGAAGAGTCGCGCGGACGCCGAAAGCCGACGCATCGAGAGTAACCAGAAGATCCAGCTGTTAAAGCAGGCCTTGAAGCGATACGAGGATCTCCACGTCGATATCGAGTCGAACGATGCCGCCGATGGTATGTCACGTTTTGAATAGTACTTATTGACTTTATTGTCTCGGGAACTAACAAAACATAGACGAAAGTCTTAGCAGCCCCAACATGCGCAAGCCATTGACCGGTCTTCTTACGATGCGGATTCATGCCGTCAATGATGTGGATCACGCCGCGAGCTCCAGGTTCTCACGTGGCCCAGAAACCTATATCGTTGTCAAGGTGGAAGATACAATCAAGGCTAGGACGAAACCCAGCCGGACCGACAAATGGGTGGATGAGGCCTTCTCGATCGATATTGACAAGGCGAATGAAATTGAGCTTACTGTTTACGATAAGTCCGGGGATCGCCCCACGCCCATTGGTATGTTATGGGTGCGCATCTCGGACATTGCAGAGGAGATGCGTCGCAAGAAGATTGAGTCCGAGCTCAATAACTCCGGGTGGGTTTCTGCGGATAGAATGGCCGGTGATTCCAGTACACCTCGATCCGATCATCCAGGCTCACCCATGGGCTCTTCCCATGGCAATGGCCCGGGCAGCTTTGGCAACATGGCTATTCCCCAGGGCGCGATGCCGGAGAACCCGAATGCGCCTCCAACAGTGATGATTGACTCATGGTTTGCTTTGGAACCGTTTGGTCGGATCCATCTCTCGATGAGTTTCGGTAAGCCTCATGTGACCTTTCTTGTGACGACCACAGGATGCTAATTCTTTGTTATAGCCAAACAATTGAAGGACCGCCGTCCTTTCGATATTGGTCTCAACCGTCAAGGTGCCGTTCGTCAAAAGAAGGAGGAGGTTCACGAGAAGCAGGGCCACAAGTTCGTCACCCAACAATTCTACAACATCATGCGCTGTGCGCTGTGTGGAGAATTTCTCAAGTATGCTGCGGGTATGCAATGTGCCGACTGCAAGTACACATGTCACAAAAAGTGCTACTCGAAGGTTGTCACCAAGTGTATCAGCAAGGCCAACTACGAAACCGACCCCGACGAAGAGAAGATCAACCACCGCATTCCTCATCGCTTCGAAGGGTTTTCCAACCTTTCCGCCAATTGGTGTTGCCATTGTGGTTATCTTCTTCCATTTGGACGCAAAAATGCTAAACGCTGCAGTGGTATGTTGACAATTATCAGAATTAATTCTTGACAGGACTGACTTTTTTTCCCTATAGAATGTGGTCTTACTTCCCACGCTCATTGTACGCATTTGGTCCCTGACTTCTGCGGCATGTCTATGGAGGCGGCGAACCAAATCCTGGAAACTCTTATTCGTGCCAAGAATCACAACAAGTCTACTTCTGTCAGTTCCGGTCTCAGCGGTCGTACCCTCCGACCAAGCGGTCCACCGCACCCCCCTCAAGACAACATCGCCCTTTCTTATCCCCAAAAGCCTGGCGAGGGTCCCTACGGGGCAATGCCCAGAAAAGCTTCGGCTGAAGCGGTAAGCGCTGCGACTAACTCCTATATGACTCCACAGTCACCAACAGCTGTTGCACAGAATGCTCAGCGCCAACCCCTGCCACCGAAGTCGCCTACCTCTGGGTCCGCTGCCCAGGCTGCTGCCGCCGCCGCGGCAAGTCTGCGTAGCCCTCAGCAGACGCCTAGTATGCATTTGCTCTTATTGTCTCTTTCTCATATCGCCCCTATGCTAACACTCTAGCCTTAGCTGAAATGACCCGACCTCCAGTGCAGCCTCCTCCTCCTCAGCAACAACAACAACAACCTCCTCCCCATGCTCACTATGATCCATCTGTCTATGCCACTTTCCAACACCCACCACAGGCTCAGGCGGTTTCGAAGCCTGCCCCTGTTTCATCGCCTTATGGAATGCCCCCGCCACCGCAACAACAGATGCAGCCCCCTATGCAGGCCATGCAGCCTGCATCGCAACCTTTGCCCTCGACTGCAGCGGATGATATTGCCCCTCCTCAGTCAAAGTCTCGCATTGGGCTGGATCACTTCAATTTCCTTGCTGTTCTTGGAAAGGGTAACTTCGGTAAGGTCATGTTGGCTGAGACGAAGAGCTCGCGGAAGCTGTATGCCATTAAGGTTCTGAAGAAGGAATTCATCATTGAGAACGATGAGGTTGAGAGCACCAAGTCTGAAAAGCGTGTTTTCTTGATTGCCAACAAGGAACGTCACCCATTCCTGTTGAACTTGCACGCCTGTTTCCAGACCGAGACCCGAGTCTATTTCGTGATGGAGTATATCAGTGGTGGTGATCTTATGCTGCACATTCAGCGCGGTCAATTTGGATTGAAGAGGGCACAGTACGTTCACAAGTTGCACAATATTGCGTAATAAATTTCGAAGTTCTAACTTGACATTCTAGGTTCTACGCCGCGGAAGTCTGCTTGGCTCTCAAGTACTTCCACGAGAACGGAGTCATTTACCGTGATCTGAAGCTTGACAACATCTTGTTGACCTTGGATGGTCATATCAAGATTGGTGATTACGGTCTTTGCAAGGAGAACATGTGGTACGGCTGCACCACTAGCACCTTCTGTGGTACACCCGAATTCATGGGACCTGAAGTAAGTTTATCTCCTAAAAAGTATACTCAGCTCAAAAGTCCCCATGTACTGACTATGATGTGCAGATTTTGTTGGACAAGAAGTACGGAAGGGCAGTTGACTGGTGGGCGTTTGGTGTCCTCATTTACCAGATGCTTCTGCAACAGTCTCCGTTCCGTGGTGAGGATGAGGATGAAATTTACGATGCTATTCTTGCAGACGAGCCCCTCTACCCCATCCACATGCCCCGCGACTCCGTTTCTATTTTGCAGAAGCTCTTGACTCGTGAGCCTGAGCTACGACTTGGCTCTGGACCTACCGATGCCCAGGAAGTTATGTCTCACGCTTTCTTCCGCAACATCAACTGGGATGACATCTACCACAAGCGCGTTCCTCCACCCTTCATCCCCACCATTAGCAGCCCTACGGACACCAGTAACTTCGACCAGGAGTTCACCAGTGTGACTCCAGTCCTGACCCCTGTTCAATCTGGTAAGAATATTTTGGATTTAACATTCAATATAATTTTAACTAACCCTTCTCTTCTCTATTCAGTGCTCTCCCAAGCTATGCAGGAAGAGTTCCGGGGCTTCTCTTACACCGCCGACTTTGCCTAATACCGGGTGGTTTTTTAGTCCGCGAAAATTGACTTTTTTTCATCGAGAGCCTAGCGCCGTGTCCTGTCTACTCGACACTGACTCGGTGCGCCATGGTCTGACGCCGTCACGACCGGGTTCTTCTGAGCTTCACGCTTGTGCTTCTATTCAGCCTGCTCTACATACCCATCGCAGCTGTGTGTTTGATCGAAAGTCGGCGTAGACGCTGACTGCAAATCGTTTCGCCAAGTTTGCTTCGTTGTGCCGAATGATATGAGTAATGGGGCAACTATGTTGCTATTGCTTTTTCCCATTTTTTCTCTTTTCTGTCCTGCGTATCTAAATTGCTCTTTTTTGCGTATTTTTAAACGGGCGAGTTCTATTTCTATTTCTTGCGGACTAGTCGATTGACGACTGTTCTACGCCATGCCGGGTCATGGTTGTTCGGGGGTGCTGGTGGCATACGACCACACGAACGGGGATGGGGATGAGGATGAGGATAAGGATGAGGACGAGGGTTGGGGGTGTTTTTCAACAAAAAAAAATCGTGTTGACTGGGGAATGATTCGAAATCGTTTGAAAGACTACGGTCTGTGTGGTTCTCGGTGGAACTGGCGCCGTGTCTGTGGAAAATAGTTTGCAGTCATATTGCTGATGAGTATCTGGTTCCCATGGCTCTGGGCAGGAAATGCAAATACGAACTAATAAATCCTGCACTCTTTGACATTTCCCTGACTTGGATAACTGTCCTGTCGAGAGGTCTCCTTTGACCAGCTTCGGCCATCAAACTCTTTGTCCATCGTAGTCAATAATAGTAGGTTTGGCTTGGACACTCCTCTGCGTCTTTTTTCTTTGTGTGAATCTTCGCTCTACTTGGTGACTTGTCGATTTAATTCTTTGGTTTAGTCTTTCTTTCACCTAATATAACCAATCCAATGGAACATCTTCAATGCTGGTGCCTCCCGACTCCGCATACACAAGGGACTCGAGCCCGAGTCGTTCTCCCTCTTTCCCATCCCCTTTCCCCCATCCACCCTTTGCCTTTGCCCACCACACTCATCCTTCTTCATTGAACATCAAGAGATTCACCACTTAAGTTATCTTCCACTCGCTGGTTGATGGTTTTACAAGATCCAACTCATCCAGCAAAGAGAGTTAGGGCTTCCTCCAGCGCGCTCCTTCCTCGCCTTGTTGCAGCTAAGGTCATCCAATCAACTTGAACGCGCGAGCCCTCCTCCTCGTCTTCGTCCTCGGAACTTGAAAACTCGCTCCAGCTCTCATAGCAGCTCCGTCTCGTCTTCAAAGTCTACTCGGGTCACCATGAGTTCCAAACGAGGCACCCCTCCAAATCTGATTCCGACTCCACCGAGGCATCTTGGAGGCCCGCGTAAACGTGGCAGGGCTCTGGACAGTCCCAGTCAAAGTAAGCGTCAAAAGATTGAGGAAGGACTCAAAAGACCTAGCAAGCCAAAAGCAAAACAAGAAACACGCAAGATTTTGCCCTTGGCAAATCCGCACCGCGTGCGCGAGACGACCCAGATACGATCCAATTCCGTCAAGGCCGAAAGCAAAAGCCCTCCTCGGATCGGTTATTCTACTAGTTCTCGACGAACTGCTGCATCGGACTCTTCTGAACACTCCTCGGGCTCCCAGGATGAGGATGGGAATCGCAAAAAGAAACACAATGAAGATGACGATCCCTATCGAGACTATGGATCACCAGACGACGACTTCGAAATCGAAGCACAATTCGATAAAGAACATGCTAAATCCCAGGCAGGGGTTGAACGAAGAAATCTCGTCAACGAGATTACACAGGAGAAAGCTAGGCGTATGGCTAAAGCAGTGCGAGTTCCGACAAACTCAAAGATGGGCGATGGAGAAAGGAATTTGTACCTTGAGCTTGCTCTACGTGGTTGCAAACCGGTGATGTATCACCACTGGAAAACAGACTTCTCTACGCTACCCGAGTCACTCTTCTCTTCGGAAGAACCACGTGCCAACGAGTTAGAGGAAATAATATTCAAAACAAAGACACGATCTGAGTTCCATGCAATCAAAGCTATGAAAGAACTCCTGGATTTGGGTGGACAGGTCAGAGACTGCGGTATTTTGACAGCAGTTTATCCACCGGAGGTGATAAGAAAGGTGATTGCAAAGTATATTCGCTGGGCTATCGACGATGCCGGGCTCCAAACCAATTCCGACACTCTTCCGTTTCACATCATATACGCTCAACAGCTTGGACAGCCAACCGTCGAGACTGTCACGAAGGTGGTGAAGAAGCTCACAAAACTGGCACTTCAGCACAGAAGCGCATATGAAGGGATCAAGGATGTATACTGGCCTACCTTGGTCGGATATGTTATTTGCGGGCCCATTGCCACTATACTGTCCCTCGATTCAAACCCCAGCTCCCCCGCCTGGGGTGGAGCTGTTGACAAACGAGTGAAATATATGGGTCAATTCGATCTCACCGAGCCCGACCAAGATGTTTGGAACTCTCTCGCCTTGGCTATTTCAGTGATTCACGTGCGGGAAACTATGTTGAAACTTGCTGCTACATATTCAGGCCCTCGGGCACCTTTCTTCCGCGGCCAAAACAGTGATTTTAGTGACGATGACTGATTTTGATTACTGGTTCCCAAATGGTTACTATGGGGAAGAGAGGTGCGATCTGCTGTCTTTTTGTGTTTTGGCGTTCTTTTAAGTCTCCTAGGAGTCATTAGTTGTTCGGCCTCGGTCAAATGAGCTGTCAATTTGCTATTTCTTCAACTTCCAGATGTAGAGATTAGCTTACTGTTATTCCATAGACTCTCGGAGGTTTCTGTCTTATTTTTATCTAGTAAGCTTTAGTTGAATGACTTTATTGATAAGTTGAAGTCCAACCTTGGAACTTGTTGGTTGGGTTTGACAGGCTGCCCAATGTTCAAGTTTCACTACTACAGTATATATTGCCCTCGGCCTCACTCTATCGGCAGGAACCACAACCTCAACTTGACCTTTCAAGTCGCTCAAAATTGACTCGGCTTTAGAAAGGAGAACTAGTACCTTTCATTCTTCTTTATGAACAGAATGCTACTAGTGTTACATGAAAATGGGAGAATAACCTTGGAATGTTGTTCTGAGATTGAATCCAGACAGGCCGAGTCACATGATCCAGTCCGGTCTTGACGCTTTTCACAACATTCACCCCAGACCATCTGCCATATTTAGTTCGCCACAATGGATGCAGCAGAGGACCGTGATGTCAAACTCCAGCGAGCATCTAGTGACCTAGTTTCGGAGTTCTCGGCCAAGCTGCCATCGTTGTTGTGGAAATCTCAAAATGGTGCCCCTCACCGTACCCCACGCAAATGGACACCAGAGTCGAAGGCAGAGAAGCTTGTCAGCCTCGTAAGTCTCCAGGGCATCATCAACCCACATTGAAATCCTCGCAACTGACTCCGATGACAGCTCGAGCCCTTTCAAGAATGGCCACAGCTTCTAGACCCGCATCTCCAGAAGCTGCTGCCTCCTTTAGTGGATGCATTTCTGGCGTATTTGATCAAGCATCGAGGCCAATACAGCGTGCAAGCTGCGAGTAATGCACAGGGTATTGCTTTATATCCACTTCCACGGGCCATATGCAGATTGCTCTATACCTTCTGCAAGGTACGTGGAGTCAAAGTAATCAGCCGGTTCCTGAACAATGAGCCGAAATACCTCGAATCCATGCTACGAGCTTTCATTCAGTGGGATGAAGCTCCGCCCTCAAACCCGGTGGATGATTTTCCGGGGGCCGAGTCACTGAGCATGAAATGGGAAGAACGTTATGTGATGCTTGTCTGGCTTTCGCATTTGCTTCTCGCGCCGTTTGATCTTTCCTCACTATCATCTGACGATATCCCGATCCCCTATGATAATTTGCAACAGCTGGGCAATATTTCATCTCATACCCCGGTGGCTGCCAAATCTCTTTTGTCGGTGGCGTTACAGTATATCAACGCCCCGGGCAAGGAACGCGAGGCTGCGACCGCCCTCCTTGCCCGACTCGTCTTACGCAGAGATATGCAGGCCTTGGGACTTCTAAAAGGCCTCAAAGAATGGGCATTTGCTACTATTCTGCCGGTTGGAGGTGCGGAGCCACCTTCTGTCTACTCCTGCATCGGGGTGCTCTCTTTTATCGCTCGCTTGGGTGGCTCGGGTCAAGTGGAAGATCTCGCTCCTATGCTACAAAGCATGTTTGAACAAATACTCCGAGTGGCGCAGGAGAAGTCAGATATATCTGCAACGATACAGTCCTCTGCGTTGGCCAAGAAGACCGTTGTAAAGATCCTTCGCAACGTAACCGTGATGGCTTTGTCTCTAAGTGAGAGAGGAGACAGTCAGATCACAGATGACCAGCTGTCGAACATCCTGGAAGAGGCTATCGATCACTTCCTCGTCGCCTTGGCAGATAAAGACACACCCGTTCGTTTCGCTGCAAGCAAAGCTCTCAGTGTGATTACCTTGAAGTTGGACTCAGAGATGGGTGCCGAGGTCATAGAGGCCGTTATTGGTTCGCTAGGGGAAAATATACTGTACGAAAAAGACGACGGCACTTTGGTGACACCATTTGAAGCGAGAAAGATCGGGACGCATAGGCTGAGGCGAAACCTGAACGCCGTGGACGCCCAGCGGTGGCAGGGCTTGATGCTTACATTATCCCACTTACTTTTTCGACGTGCACCTCCCATCACGCAACTTCCTGAAATTCTCCAATCTCTTGTGTCTGGTCTTGATTTTGAACAGAGGTCTTCTACCGGAAGCTCAATGGGAACGGGTGTTCGAGATGCCGCATGTTTCGGTATCTGGGCATTGTCACGGAAATACGCAACATCGGAGTTGCAAGCGTTGCAACAGCAAGTTATTCCTTCAATGTCTGGAACAGATGAAGTGGATGTCTTGCAAAAGCTTGCTGTTGAGCTTGTTTGCTCGGCATGTGTAGACCCTTCGGGAAGTATTCGACGAGGTGCCTCCGCTGCTTTACAAGAGTTGATTGGTCGTCACCCCAACACTATCACAGAAGGAATCCCTCTCGTGCAGGTTGTTGATTACCATGCTGTTGCACGGCGATCTCGTGCGATGATCGACGTTGCTAAAGCCACCGCTTCATTAGATCCTATGTACTGGAGCCCTTTGCTCGAGGCATTGATACAATGGAGAGGAATTGCATCACCGGATGCTGAGTCTAGGAGACAGGCGGCGAAATCTATTGGAATTTTGAGTACCCAGCAAAAATTCAAAACCATGACTACGGTGTTTGAACGCCTGCTGCGGAAACTCCCACGAATTCCTCGAAGTGATGTGGAGGCGCGCCACGGATGTTTTTTGTCGATTGCCTCTACGGTAGATGCCTATATCAGTGAATGGGAAGCTGCTCCGGAGATGAGGAACACGTCTGAAGAAAGGAGCGTCGCCTCTCAGGTGAACGGGCTCTGGGAGATTCTGGCGTCCTCATTGGGCCCTGCTGATAAGGACTTGACTCAACAAAATTCCCGGCCTGAGCTGACTGCAGAAGCATCTGCTTGCTTGATCGCCTCACTTTCGCGGTCTATCGTGTCCGCCGGAATTTCTGCGCCACCTGATGCTTTGCTCGAACGATCACTCCAGATTCTTTCGCTCTGCGTTTCCCGAAGCGATGATATTTCCATTGAAACTTCATCAAATGCACTGGCTGCGTTGTTTCCGTTGTTATCCTCAGGCAAACAAAAGGAAACGATTCAAGCATGGTTCTCCCACCTACGTGCTTCAGCAAGCTTACCGAGTGGACGCGGCCAGATTTTAGCGCTAGGTGCTGTTTTCAAGAAACTTGAAGGACATGAGAATCTGCGCCAGAGCATTATCACAGAATTGCTTCGCTATGCAGGAATAGAAGAACCTATTCAAAAGCGAGTGGCTTCCGTGAGATGCCTAGCCACCAAAGTCCTGCCAAACATAGGTATGCTGCCCCTTTATATGGCGGGTAGGAAATAATCCCGAGCTAACAAGATCCTAGTTGCGTCTACGGAGATTGCAAGCAATGTCCTGAACTTCCTTAATGATTATACTACTGACAGAAGAGGTGATATTGGGTCACTTATCCGAGTAGAAGCAATTCAAGCAGCAGAAGTTCTTTTGAAGCAAAACGCTGGGGTGTCACCCCGCTCGCAAATTACCCAAGACTTGGTCGGATGTCTCTGTCGACTTGCATCTGAAAAGCTTGACAAGGTTCGATTACAGGCTTGGATTTGCCTACAAGGTTATTGGGAATCATCCGATTTTCCCAAGTTGCAAAGGTAGCCATGCCTCTAGTGGCCCTATCAGTTCGATGAGTGCTAACTGCGAAGTAGTAAATATGAGCATTTCAGCCAAGTATCCTCTCAGAGATACTTTGATCAGCTGTTCACTTTATTTTCCATTGACTGGCTACGCCTGCCTTTCCTGAAGGGGTTGGCTACATCAGCAGTGGCAGGCTCTGACGGTCTTGTGCGAGCAACTAGATCAGCTTTGATTCAGTTTGTCAATTCCCACAGATCTACCGAACGTCAAAGTGTCTTGGTCACCATACTGCAAGATTTGGCGACTGTTTTGACGGATACTCTTCAAGACGATCGCTATGCAATTCCGACTGTCGATTTTATCTCATTTCTCATAGACAGCTATGCAATTTCCAGCCCAGAGCAACAAGACCCGATCTTTCGACAGGTCTTTATTCTCGTTCAGAAATCACATTTCCGCTCCTCCAATATTTCCCGCATCGAAGCCGCGGTTAAAGTATACGCTGCTTTATCCAGACTGGGGCCATTACGAGCAGATTCTTTGAAAAAGTTGACCGGGCTGTTGCTTCATCCTTTCCCAAGGGTAAGTGTGTCTATTCATAAGTGATTATACTAATATGCTGACGGATTTCTGCGCTTTCATAGGTTCGATCGACTGCAGCTGAATATATATTCATTCTGACCGATTCCGAGACAGTCAGATATGAGAATTGGTCGGAGCAACCGAAGCAGTTAAAAGAGAAAGTAGAAGGTCTGCGGGCCGAACTACTTCCTGTGAATTAGCCTAGTGACACTGGATGTATTTTTTTTACAGCAGCTCTACCATGATATCCCTTCAAGAACGTACCTGAGAAAATATGGAAGCAGTAGACCAAAAAAAAATAGAGAAATAAAGTCAGAGATAACGGGGTAACAAATATGATCGACAAAAAAGAATGCATCATCCGTGAATCGAACACGGGCCTCGTCGATGGCAACGACGAATTCTACCACTAGACCAATGATGCTAGTTGATGTAAAGTGGTTCCAGCTTTGTAATCATAGGCCTGCAAAGTCTTGGCTTATCGCAACCTCCGTCAAAGGAAATCAGAGCTCAACCGCGCTCACAGCTTCCGGAGCTCATCTTTGTCGCAACCATGGCGACCGAAGGTATATCTACAGGTGGCATTCCGCCTAATTCTACGTGAGCCTCCCGGCATCATCCCTCTTTTTGTCATCCACTAACATCCTCTTGCAGTGTCTACGTACGCAGTCTATCCTCCTCCTCACCCACCATTCCCCATTCCCGATCCCCTCGCCGCCGCGGACCATTGACTGACTTTCCTGAACATACAGATCCGGAATTTGGAGGAGTCAATCAAGGTCGATCAGCTAAAAGAGGCTCTTGAAGAGATCTTCTCGGAGTTTGGCAATGTGCTCGAGATCGTCGCGAAGGCCAACCTAAAGGCCAAGGGCCAGGCCTTCATCGTTTATGACAGCGTCGAAGCGGCCACCCGCGCCATCGATGAAGCCAATGGATTCGATCTATTTGAGAAGCCTATGGTCCTGGATTACGCGAAGACCCGAAGCGATGCTACTGTAATGCGCGAGGGTGGCTCGGACGAGCTGGAGGCTCACAAGCGGAAACGTCTCGCCGAGAAAGGTGAATCACTGCTCTCACCCTAGTGTCTTATCCCACTTTCAAGAGACGTACATGCTGACTATCATCCTTTCTTCCACTTAGAGCGCCGACAAGCCCATGATGCGCTCGAAGCACAGAAGAAGCACAAGCGCCCCGCCGCTGCGGTCCCCGACAACGTACGCCCAGCCAAAACCGCAAAGGGCGCTGGTCTCAAGCCTACATCGGGCGCCACTGCTGCTGTTGTACCAGACGAATATCTTCCTCCCAACAAGATTCTGTTCTTGCGGGACCTGCCAGATGACGCTAGCCAAGAGGGTCTTTCGGCGGTGTTCGGTCGTTTCGACGGATTCCAGGAAGTCAGATTGGTGCCAGGTCGCAAGGGTATTGCATTCGTCGAGTACGATGCCGAAGCTGGTGCTATCAGTGCAAAGGAGGCTACCGCAAACATGCCTATGGGAGAACAGGGCAAGCCAATCCGCGTTACCTACCAACGACAGTGATCGCTTCTGTGATACATACGCCCCAAAACAACCTCTTACTATTCTTTTTTGGCGTTTGGAGGGTCCTGCCTATCACTTATGTATTTGCAATACGGAAGAACTGAACTACTGTCTAAATGAATCGCTGCCCGCATCATTTGGGCCCCACTTTCGAATGAAGTCAAGAATATGTATTTCCGGAAATAAAGCCAAGTAGCTAAAGCACATAAAACACAGGTTGGTAGTCGAAAAAATTGATACAGATGCGAAGTCAAATGCCAGTGGGGACAATAGTCCGAGATAAATGAGAGAGAAATCAGGGCGAGGGGGCAAGGCTAGAAGATAACATCATTGTCTTCCTGATCACCAAGAACATCAGTCGCCCCAGGTTCCTCGGCTTCTGCAACTGGCGGCGTGCCGTTTTGCGCTGCCTTCTCGGCCGCCCTTTCTCTGGCAGCTAAAATTTCCGCATCTGCAGCGGCGTTGTCCCTCTGTTTCTTGTTCGAGACCTTCTTTAAACGGTAGAATTCTTCCCGGTCGAGCTCGTCAAGTTCGGAGTTGATGTCTTGATATGTATTAGCGGGGGCCTGTTCAATGCGATAGGGAGGGTTGCAAACATTTGATGGTATTCTCTGTTCGAGGAATGATGACGTGCTCGCTTTGTAAACGTTAGTTGATTCTGCCATGCGCCTTGCACATTGTTAGATGATTGATAGCTTACATGGCGTTGACTGTGATGGTCAAGAATTAGTTATCATACTAGCCACAGTACAATGGAGTAGACTTACCTCGACGATTGACGACCTTAATAACCTCATCAAGAATCAAGAAGGCAGTCTGGAGTGGTTAGCGTAGCTCATATTCGAACGATTGCAACTCTGAATACCTGCAGACTGGCCAACTCCACCAGTGTCTCCACGGCCCGCGCGTATGTCTCTCGGCAGCGTTGAATCTGCTGACCACCCTTACCAAGACCAGTCAGGCCGAAGTCATTGACACCTTCTTCTGTGTAGCTCTCGAACTGAGGAAGATAAACACCCGAGACGTTCTCATTCTTCGCTCGTACACGGAAGCGAGCTTGCTTGGCCGATTCTTGGATCTGATAACCGATATCTCCACCGACAGCATAGCTGACTTCAGCTAGGGAAAAGGCCGCAATCTGCATGACCCGTCCCATCTTTTGTTTGGCCTCATCAATGCGCCGTGTGATCTCTGTGCCCCATGATTAGCAGGTGTGGGGTGTGGGGGGTTCTCGGGTTGAGCTGAACTGGGATGCCGTACCTCGGAAACGCCTGTTGAAAGCGAGAGATGTTAGTTATGGAGCTAGGCCTAGTTAGAGGACAATCCGATGTACATACTTTGTCAATGCTTCACTTTTCCGCTTCAATAAGCTGTGGCCTACCTCCGCCCCCTTCAGCTTGGCTTTCATCAACCCCAGTGACTGGCGAGTCGGAAAGACTGGTTCTCGGCCCTATCAATAGATTGTCAATAAACAAAGAGAAGCTTCCAAAGGCATGAGAATAGAACTTACCACGGCACCCGACATGACGACGGCTTTGAATTCAAGGCGTTTACAATTAGCTTAGGGTATGCGGCCACGCATTGATATGACGCCGATAAAGCTCCACCGCCCACTCGAAGCGGAGGAATCTGGTCACGTGAGTGCCATATGACTTCGTCGTTTCATCCTTCACGGCGACGCGCCGACTTGTGTTTCCCCGCTCCGTGCCACTGTCTTATGCTGAACTATTGCTGTGCGATCTGATCCCGCTCGAACAGAGTGGCGCAATGCCAGGGACTCTCCTGCCCCCGAGATCAAGCCGGCAGCACGCACAGATGGATCGAACATCTGCGTCCCGGCCGGACTTTTACCTGATTGTATGCAACCATTGAACCTCCTTGAGACAAAGCCATTACTGACAGCTGTTTCACTCAAAAGACCGACCAGGATACGGTTTACGAACAAGACCTGCTCCGCGATGCGGGTAGTGTCAAGCCATGGCTCGCATATATCGAATTCAAACAGCAACATGGCACTCTCTATGAGCAAGCTTTTGTACGTCTGCACATTCAAGTATTTGGTGATCACTGCTAACATACTCTTACTTTAGACCATGGAGCGTGCCTGCCGACAATTACCGCGATCGTACAAATTGTGGAAGATGGTGAGTCTTTGATCCTTTTGAAAGAATTGTCAAACGCGATAAATGGTTGACTAACTGAGTCTTCTAATAGTACCTTGAGTTCCGAACGAAGCATTTAAAGGGCCGAAATCCTACCGTCTACCGGGCCGAATTCCAGAAAGTTAATGCTCTGTTCGAACGAGCATTGATTCTTCTGAATAAAATGCCCAGGATTTGGGAGATGTATCTCTCATTTCTTCTTCTACAACCCTTGGTGACCCTCACCCGGCGAACATTCGACCGAGCTTTGCGCGCACTCCCAGTGACCCAACACAACCGGATCTGGAGGCTCTACAAGGGCTTTGCGCGGTCAGCATCCGGACAAACGGCCGTGAAGATTTGGGCTCGGTATATGCAGATCCACCCGGAGAATGCGGAAGAATATATCGAGCTCTTGATTGAGATGAAAGAATATACGGAGGCTGTCAAGGTGTTCCTGCAAATCCTTGATAACCCACGATTCCAATCGAAGTACGGCAAGAGTAGCTTCCAGCTATGGACCGAAATGGTTGACTTGTTGGTCTCGAAAGCCAAGAAGATTGAGACTGGTCCTCAAGTTGGAATCGATGTTGATGCCATTCTCCATAGCGGCATTGATAGGTTCGCCGACCAGCGTGGAAAGCTCTGGGCTGGTTTGGCCACATACTGGATTACCAAGGGGAACTTTGAGAAGGCTAGGGACGTCTTTGAAGAAGGAATCACCACCGTGATGACTGTCCGCGACTTCACAATGATTTTCGACTCCTATGTTGAATTTGAGGAGTCCATCATCGGAAACCTGATGGAAGCGGCGGCAGTGCGCTCAGAGAAGGGCAAACTCGACGAGGATGCCGATTTCGACTTGGACCTCCGCATGCTTCGCTTCGAACAGTTAATGGATCGACGTCCGTTCTTGGTCAATGATGTTCTCTTAAGGCAGAACCCTCATAACGTTATTGAATGGGAGAAGCGAGTGGCACTGTGGGGTCCTAATAAACAAGAAGTTGTTAACACCTACACAGCTGCTATTGCGGCAACCAACCCTAAGAAGGCCCATGGGAAGTTTTCAGAGCTTTGGGTCAATTACGCCAAGCTTTATGAGAACGGTGGAGATATGGATACTGCCAGAGTCATCTTTGACAAAGCCGTGAAAGTGCCGTTCAAATCTGTGGCAGAGCTTGCGGAGACATGGTGTGAATGGGCTGAGATGGAACTTCGGGGCGAGAACTTTGACCGGGCTGTCGACATCATGGCTAAAGCAACACAAGCGCCCAAGAAATCCACCGTCGACTATTTCGACGAGAACCTGTCGCCCCAGCAGCGTGTGCATAAGAGCTGGAAGCTGTGGAGTTTCTATGTGGACCTCGTGGAGAGTGTATCTTCTCTTGAGGAAACGAAGAAGGTATATGAACGAATTTTCGAGCTTCGAATTGCCACGCCTCAAACTGTCGTCAATTTTGCAAACCTCTTGGAAGAGAGCAAATACTTTGAGGACTCTTTCAAGGTCTACGAGCGTGGTCTGGATCTTTTCAGTTACCCAGTGGCCTTTGAGCTTTGGAACCTGTATCTGACCAAGGCTGTTGACCGCAAGATCGGAATTGAGAGACTACGGGATCTCTTCGAGCAAGCTCTTGACGAATGCCCACCCAAGTTTGCCAAGCCGCTCTACTTGATGTATGGCAACTTGGAAGAAGAGCGGGGACTTGCGCGCCACGCCATGCGCATCTACGAGCGTGCCACCCGAGCCGTGTCCGATGAAGACAGGTTCGAGATGTTCGAGTTCTACATCACCAAATCCGCATCCAACTTTGGCCTCACCTCGACACGGCCTATCTATGAGCGGGCTATCGCCGCATTGCCAGACCAAGAGGCCAAAGAAATGTGCCTCAAGTTTGCTGAGATGGAGCGTAGACTTGGCGAGATTGACCGTGCTCGCGCTATCTATGGTCACGCCTCGCAGTTCTGCGATCCTCGCACAAATGCCCCCTTCTGGCAGAAGTGGGAGTCCTTCGAGGTGCAACACGGCAACGAAGACACATTCAAGGAGATGCTTCGCATCAAGAGAAGTGTCCAGGCTCAATACAAGTATGATAACAATCCTTTCCTAATGCATCAAAAGTCTTTCACTAACATTTTCACAGCACCGACGTCAACTTTATTGCCTCGCAAGCCATCGCTCGGAGTCAACAGCAAGCACAAGATGGCGGGGAGGGCCAGGGTGGCGACGAGAACGTCGATCAGGTCGACGCTATGGAAGCAATCGAACGCCAGGCCCGTGCTCCTGTTGGATTCGTCGCTGCGAGTAACGGTCCAGAGGGTGGTAACCGCCCTCCACCTGCGGGTGAAGCAGCACCATCGGCACCGGCCAATCCCGATGCTATCGATCTTGATGATGATATGGACGAGTAAGAGAGAGTTTCGGTCAGACTTTCTTGACTCTGAAAGAGACCATCAAGCTATGTGCGACTGAACGCTCCTCGACAATTCCATTCATCAACATGTGTGTCTAGTATTTTTTTCTCCTCTCGTATAAGTACCATTGCGCTGGACATCATTTCCATTCTATCTTTTTTTTTTTATTTGGTGTTATTCTTCGTCATAACTGTCTGGTTCCCACTGGCTTCTCTTTTGTTGGGTTGAATCCCCCAGATTCCCGAGAATTGAATTGAATTTCCTGAAAAGAGACTTATTATTGTACTGGATGCGGCGTTCGCCTTCTTTCTTCAAACATTCCCCTCACCACTTAAACTATCCTCCCGTATTTCCCTCATTAGTTTCCTCCTTGATTGTCAAATGGTCAATCGAAGAGTCTTTGAGCGAGCTTCTTTATCTGATAGAGTTCACCGAGAGTACAGTCTCAATGGTCACCTTGCTTTCCATTCGATGATGAAGATGAGCAAAATCGCAATCTCGTCACCCAATGATACCATGTTCCTCCCCCCCTCCCCTACCAGGCGATCAAGGTCCAATGTGTGTATACGAAAATGGATATCAGACCTCATGCGGAATCACCTCTGCGTAGATTCGTCTTCTCACCGACGTTCCCATATCCTCGAATGGATATTTTGTCCCTTTTAGGATCACCGGTATGAGCAAGCTGATGACGGAGTAGTAGTCCAGCCCATGTATAACAGCAGTATGCCGTATTTTCTAGAAATGGATAGGAATGCAGCATTCTGGTGAGGTGTTCATGCCACGGATGGTAATTGTGCGACCTTCAAACTGCCGCTAGAGTATACTTGACCTCGGAAACTAACAGTAGAGGTGTTCAAGTATGCTTTTCAACCTGCCAATTAAATCTTCCATTGGGCCAATCGACCCGGATCTTACTTCCTATACTCTACATGCCGCATCTGCAGATCCCAGCCACCCGGACTCCCCCACGAGTCTGCAGCTGGTAGGGTTGAGTGGGTATCTGAAGGGATATTATATGTGAGTTACACAAAAGTTGACTATCTTCTTCAAGAATATGCACAACATCGGCCGATCCCCAGTAGCAGCGCAAGGTAGGGTAGTGATGGCACCGATAATACAACCGGGGCTACTGTCCCACTTTAATTGGCGAAGTGATTCGTGGACAAGCATTTACGTGCCTTCTATCTCGTTAACAAAAGTGCAACCGGATTGGTCAACATTGCGCAGTCTTTTTCCTATCGTAAATGATTGACTTGCAGGATATTGCAACAAATGAAGCGGAGACTTCGCGGAACGTGAATCGCTATCAGAATTTCAAAAGCGAGCATGTTCTAATTGATAAAATACTATTTATATTTCCCTGATTTCTCAGAAGAAGCCGGATTTTGAAACTTAAACCACTACTTTACATCTACCTCCATGATATCAATTCCCAAAACCCGCACCATGGCAACAATCGTCCCTACAAAATCAAATCAAAGGCAAACAGTCTATCGAGTCGCCTCTAGTCCCACGAATGATGCGATCAACGAGATCGGCCACTTCATCTTTCACTATCCGCTAACGATGGCCTTGCGACGAAATCCTCAGTATCGAGAGTCACGACCACACCTTCACGCCCCAGCAAGCTTACGAGGCGAGGACCTCTTGGATGGAGCACTTGCCGGACATCAAAAAATAACTGCCCCGCCATATATTTTCGAGAAAGCAGGTCAGAGCATGACCATGATAATGCATCTTGGCGGGGATGTCTGCAGCTACTCAGGGATCGTTCAAGGGGGGCTACTACCCACTATACCAGACGAGTGCCTAGTACGCTATTGCTGCCCGGCATTTGACAAAAAGGTTGGCGTGACGGCAAATCTTAGCGTCGATTACCGGAGTCCAGCGAAGGCAAATTCGTTCTATGTTCTGAAGGCGGATGTGACGGAGTTCCAGGGCCGCAAGGCCTGGGCAAAAGGTTGTATCGAGACTTTGCCTGTTGCTAGTTAGTAAAGAGCCAACTCTCATCGCCGAGGCAAAGAGTCTTTTTTTGGGACCTTGAGAAACTGGAGTGCGTTTTAGTTCCAAAGATGTTCAATATTCTTTTCCAAAGTTTCATATTTTCGACTGACTAGGTATTTGCAGAACCTAAATGGTCTTTACAAAGAGACCTGACCTAGTAGGTAGACTCAGGCCACGAGGAAGCGTTAGAGAGAGATCAACTTTCAGTAAGCGAAGCTTTGGACTTCGTACTGTTAAAATTTTAAATTGTTTTCTATCTGTTAAAGTCGTGAACTTCTGATTCAGACTTGGTGGGTCTAGTACTACGTAGTAGTAGTCTGTCTGACTTCGACCCGTCACGTCTAAGCAATGGAACTCAACATACAAGGCAGTGTTTGGTTTTTGAACTAGTTGAACGATCGATAATTTTATTGTACACTGGCCCAGGGCCGGTTTCTGACCATCACAATTATCTACAAAGCCAGACAGGCATCATAAGAACGAAAGAGAAGACTTGTGGGACACGTCCAAAACCACATCCTATTCGCTATTCTATATGTGAATGCAAAAGAGAAAAGGAAGAGATAGAGGCTAGGATGGAACTGTAGAGCCAATTATGGTCCTTAAGATGAGGTATCTTCCTGGGAGGGTGATTTTGTCTCGGCACCATCAGCCTCCTTAGATTCTTCGGCGTCATTAGATGGGATAGCTGCCTCCTCGGGCTTCGATTCAGCATCGGCGTTTGGCTGCGGAGATGATACAGCAGATGGTACAGCAGAGGGTACGGCAGAGGGCGGCTGTGACTTCTCCGCTTCCTTGCCTGCGTCAGGGAAGATTTCACCGAAAAGGTCAGGCAGGAAACGACCGAGGCGCTTGCGGGTCTCATTCCACATTTCCTCTTTGCTGGGATCCTGGTCGGGGGAAACCAAATACCCGCCATCGGCCATGACCAGCAAAATGTTTTTCAAGCTTTCCGGGATAGCCTCTTCTAAGCTGTCCGTTTGACCGCTGTTCATCATGCGGTCGAGAATATCGAGAATCCTCAGCCAGAGAGGAAGCATGCCCTCTCTGTTAGGCAGTTGGTCAAGGAAGCGCAAGAAGATCTTGCAGACCAATGTGGCCGCTTGAACGCGAGTCTCGGTCATTCCAATAGGGTCAGAGTGGTAGACCTCTGGCTTGAGAAGATGCAGAACAAGCGGGAAAAGGACCTCGTCGAAAATGCTGCTCCACTCCTTGCCGTCGCTGGATATTAACTCAGCCGACAAAAGAGATCGCTGCAGTGTAGAAATGGCATGGTGGCGGATGTCGCGGCAAGGGTTGGTGCACTGACTTCTCAAAGACTGAAAGATGGGGGACCAGTAGGCAGCCCAGGCTGATGAATCGGTTAGAATCTGTTCGTTCTGTTGTAGGGTCCTGGAAAGTTCGGGGTTGTTTACCTTCGCGTTCTTCAAGATGAGACTGTTTGATAAGCGTGGGGACTCGGCCAGTCAAGTGATAGATTAAGCCAATAGCTTTGACACCACGGGCAACGATTTGATTCTCACTAATTGACTGTTAGTTTCGACTAGGAAAAAAAAGGAATAAATGGTACCAGCATACCTAGACTTGGGCTTCTTGACACCTTTGATTCGGCGACCCTGGGCATCTTTCTGACGCTCATCACGAGATCCTACATGACCGGCACTGACAAATTCATTGGCGAGGCTGACAGTAAACTCATAGTTATCGGCTGTCACAATATCTGGCATGGAGTTCATGATGCTCTGAAGCAGTTCAAAAACCATGGGACCAGCATCTTCGTGTTGGTGCAATCTTTGCAAAATAGACCAGAAATCTGGAGAGATGGTGATCTCGTTTCTCAGCCGTCCTGGATGCGCAATGCATCGTGAGAGTCCCTTGACAGTCGGTACAGCCACGATCTCGAGGACATCTTGGTCATACCCGGATATAGCATGCAGGACAACAGGAACCCGCATGAAGTGTTGATCCTGAATATGCTGTCAGTTTCTAGATAGGTGAGGTATCATAATGGTATGCAGCTTACATGACTCAGTCGTAGAAGGTTGAGCAAATACGAGACGATTCGGGAAACGGTCAGTGGGTGCAGATTCTTTGCATCGCGAACCAGGGTCTGCAGAGTGGTCGCCAACGTTTCGCCGAGGGCTTCTAGCGTATTCTCATCACGAAGAGTAAGAACTGTCACCAATTCCAAAATGAAGATCATCGCCGGATCGTACTTCGGCTGGTTTGGATCGGCGCGCGTATTCGAGTTTCTTGACACGGGACGGGGCCGCTCTGGCTTAACCACGATTACGGCAGGTGTGTTATCTTCGGGTAGCTGGGACATTAATGCTTCCACAAGGACCTTCAAGGAAGAAATAGGGAGCGATCTTGAAAGCTATTAACACCATGCAGCAGGTCGGGTGTCAGTCAGTACTCACTTGATGTTGGTCAAAATTTCGGGGATCGAGCACGCAGTAACACAATCCACTGTGCAAAGGGTGTTGTCCAATTCTTCGTCAGAAGGCTCAGGAGGGTCATCGGCAGCGTAGCTTGAGAGATAAGATGTAAATGCGGATAGCAAGCCGCTGTCATTACCACGTCCATCCCGGTCGACAACCTGTGACGGGGATTGAAGTGGAATAGGAGAGACATCGAGCTCTGCTGTAAGCTGAGAGTCAAGAGGTGGGATGAGGGAATTGATGAAAAGATTGCTCAGGATGCGAGTGATATGTTCCCACCCTTGTTTGGGAGTTGACTCGTTGCCTGTCAGGATTCGGAACAGGACTACAGTGGCCAACTGTGCGCGGAAATCTCTTCCAAACTTCACAGCCAACTCGCTCACCATAACGCTCTTTTGGCCCGCTTGCACCTCGGTATTTAATGCAGTACTTGGTGGTTTGTGAGTCGCCAATGTACTGATTGATGACAGTGAAGCGACAATGCGGTCAAAAGCGTCAGTCAGGCCGTATCGAGCAGCAATTTGAGCACATTGATCAAAGCCGTTGACGACTCGGCTGTAGACTGCATCATCGGAAGCGGACATAAAGACGTAGGACAGCGTAGCGACAACGGGGCGCCATGTTGCCTCAAACATTTCGGCATCATAAACGTTGGTCTCTCCAACTACCATTTCGCCTGAACTAGACGACTTCAAAAGCATCTCTTTCCATGCATAGTCAAAAGCATGTTTATTCTCATGTTCATCGGGCAGAATGATCTCGTTGGCTTTAATAGAGTCATAGATCTCCTGAAGAAACTCCTCCGTGAAGTCACCACCTCCGTTCACTCCTCGCAAGTTCCTAGCAAACGCAGGGAATGACATGCGGTTCTGGGGCTTGACGTTGGGGTTGTAAGAATCCGTATTTAGCATGATGATAGCATATGTCAGGATATAAACAGCATCCTTATCCGCAATTTCTTCTGGTTTCGCTTTTTCCATGTAGTGCTCCGAGAAAATCGTCACAATTCTTTCAATCAAAGGTGACTCTCCAGGCAGACGGAAAGAACTCAGTAGTTGACGGAGGGCTTCAACCACATTGCTGCCGTAGAAGTCCAAGAGGTCCACAAAGGCGCCCAGTAGTTCTTCGTTACCACGTTTGGAGATGAATTCACCAAGAATCTTCTTCGACAGGCGAGTTGTCCCTTTCAAGAAACTTGCAACCAAGACAGGGTTATTCGGATCTTCGATGATTCCATGCTCAGCAAGATAGGCAATACCAGCCTTCGGGTTTTCATTGAACATCGAAGCACCTTTGATGATCAGTTTCTTGGTTGTCCGCTGCTTGTGGAGAAGTTCCTGTGGAGGGTAATCTCCTTGCACAGCTTCGTCATCCAAACGATCATAAATGAATTGAACGTATCCGAGAAGAGAGTCGAGACAGAGAGGCGGGACATTAGTAGTGCTCCAGGTTGCTGAGTCGGGGAAGGCATTTCGAGAAAGCAGTCCTATCATGTCTTCGCAAAGATCCGCGCGGTCAATCTCACAATCATAATTAACGAAAAGTTCAACCATGAAGCTAGGAATCCGCGATAAAACTCCAATACTTTCGACCATTGCCTCTCTAGCCTCGGGCTTTCGCGCACCACCTTCGAGCCCCAGCTTTTGTCGATCTTTGACAGGGACCGGTGTTGACCTGCCACTGTTTGCTTGTGAAGCTGGCTGCTTCACCAGGCTCGGTGCTTGTGGAACTCCTTCGTAAAGAGACGGATCGATGCCGGCCTCTCGGGGAATTTCCACGCGAGGGTGAAGACATGCCACTAAGTACGAGAGGTAAAGTTCTTGCTGCAGTTTCAGTACAGGTCGACACGTCGATAGCAAGGTACCAGTGACTCTGAGGGAGCCTGTGAGAATGGCCAATTGTTCTGAGCGGACCAGTTGGAAGAGATAACGACAAAGATCGTCCCTCGCCAAAGCCGCGAGGCTGGGATGCCGAGCGATAGACGGACCGGCCACCTCCAAAGCGACATCGATAATACGAAGTGCCATGACTCTCATCGTATCGGTGTGTTGGCCGTTGTGCGGATCAAGCAGATCAATTAATACTCGGAAAAGTTCTCTGATGGACGGCAAGGAGTATGGTTGCACCTCGCCCTCGAAATCATCCTGAGGGGTTGGTGGTGCTGCTGCTGCCGCGCCTCCGTTACTTGATTGTTCAGGTGTGCCCTCTCGGCTTGAGCTATTCCGTTCGCTTGTTGCGGTATCTGCGCTGATAGCAGATCGGTGTTGTGAAGTCACAGTATTTCCATTAACAGAGGGATCCATCTTGATGGTTGAGGTATCTTTATCGAGGGCTGATGCCGCGAAAGGGACCGGCCCTTGCGGTAGTTCGTCCAGATGTGTCAGTCGCATGAATATGACTTGGCACATGTTTACCATGGCCATCTCTGCAGACCGCCGCAGCACCTCAGATAGGCGACCTTGGCAGCACATACTCAAGCCCGTCTCCATCATCTCGCAAACACTTTCATCGCCCAACAATTCTCCCTCGGGGCGAGAAAGCATGCCCTCCATTAACTTCAAGATCCTCAGCAACACAATCTCATCGGCCGAGGAGTCACTGGCTTCAAATCGACAGTGTGTAATTGCAGCTGAGAGAAGCTGCATTGCCATGGAAAGTCGCGGCGAGTCGCGATTGATGATGTTGTAGGAAAAGAATTTGGTAATAGCGAGTAATGCGAGGGAGGTGATCGCGGCTGAGGTCGAGGAGGAACGAACGACTTGAAGGAATGGATGGAGGAGGGCGGGCATATCGAATGTGCGAATGTCCTTGCAACCCTTAAGGTCACTCCGGAGACGAGTGAAGGCCGATATCAACGGGTTGTCTTGCATGCTCTTGCCCTTCTTCCCCGCAGGCCCCATCGGTTGGCCAGGGCGTGATCGTCATCACCGCGAGACGATTGACCACTCTTGCGCGGACTGGGCGGTGCCGAGGTATCCCGATCGTAAACTCGGGTCGTCCCTCCAGTGCCACCAAGAATAGCAGAAACGGAGGAGTGTGCCCAGCGGGCATGCTTCCGCATGGACGAGGTGACAGTGATGCATTCGGTGGTCACCAGGGCCACGGGGTCGATGGCGATGGGCAGAGGGTCCGACATGGTAGAATCGGGCATCTCGAGCAGGAGATGCGCTCGTGGTGTCACCTTGCACGGTGTTGGAATTGAAGAACACCTTGGAGATCCTAGTAGAACAGCTGGTCTCTGGATGGGCTGCAGGTTACCTCATCCGGATTAGCGGGTTTCTGCCCGCTCACCGCCTTGGTCAGGGGTCGGCACACTCCGATACAGGAAGTCCGGTATTTAACAGATTCTATTCGTGGAAATGGATTTCTTACAGTATTGCCATGACTAATACCATAACATGACTGTTGACACTCGATGTGAATGTGTCCATCGACGATATATTTAATAAATAAGCCTGGAAAAATACTATGTTTCTCTTCAGGTGGCACATTGGCATTTCATTGCCTGGAATCAAGGTGAAAATCTAAACTAGTAGTTGGTTGTGCAGCAACTTGAACTCCTTGTTTAGGTATATATTGTGTATTGTGTACTCCGAGTCCGAGTCTGGACTAACTTTAGTATCCGAGACACCTGACTTTCCTCACACTTCAACTTGAACTTGAACGTTGGAACCCGGGCTTAGTACTAGTATAGTGCCCCAGGGCTCGTGTACCTTGATAATTGCATTGTTCATTCTTTTCGAAGGTTTTATAGTTCCAAGGCCAACTTTATATTCCAACCTCGTCAGCTTAGAGCCTGAGATCCACCCTATCCATCCATGGTACCTAGGTAGCCCTGGAGTGTTTACCTTACTCCATAACTATTGGTAGATGGAGATACTACTACTAGTACTACTAGTAAATAGAATCAGACCATATCGTAGTACTAGTACTAATATTACTATGGTACACTCTATATGTAGGGAGCTCAGGCGATGTTACAATAATGCTAACACAATGTGACTCGTCCGATGGACCTTGCAGCTGGTTGGGGGCCAGCAACGCGTTGTCCCGCCAAACATAAACAAGGCGGGCTGCGATCGCCCTGACCTTCAGGCGCTAACGTGCAAATGCCCCAGTTATCGCGCGCTATCGCCGATATGAAGTCGGGGCCACCTTATCCTGGCATTACTTTCCTAAGGTTGTCATCCCCGCGCCAAAACATTCACCTTCCTTACTACTCCCCTCCCCTCCTTCATACTAGTACGCCTGTGGCTCGCCTCCGTGAGGTGCTGCTCAATTCGAATTGTTTCATGGAGGGGGTCCGTTATTCGTGATTAAGGTCTTTCTATTGCGCATCTTCCACTCGCTTCTGTATCGCAACCCACTCGACCTGATGACCACCGCCGCTTCCCCTCCAGCCTCACCCACAGCCTCGCCCTCTCCCTCTTCGTGAACCTCGGCGCCCTCGTCTTCCCCAGTGTCGCTCCTTCTCGCGCAATCTCTCCTTCATATTTTTTCGCCTATCGGGCAAACACATCTCTTATCTTACAACCTTCTTGTCGGAAAGTACAACCCGGACTTGCGATGGCGGTCAGCGCTGTCAACACGGCCAGCACGGCCAGTGCAGCGGCACCCGCCACGACATTTGCAGACCTTCCGCTGGAATATCTCAGTCTTTACCATACTGTGGATACATATCTCTCTTCTATTCTTGTTTTTTATGGCCCGGTGGCCACTGCCAATGCGACTGTGAGCAGTTCGCGCATTCAGGCGCATATCTTCACCCCCGCCGGATTTCAGAGTTATACTCGCATTACGATTTCTCCCGCTGCACCATTATATGCGGCCGTCAACCACCTTCCTCGCGATAAGCAAGGCGATCAAGTCTGTCGAGGACTTGCTGTTAGTATGTTAAAGTACTTCTCTGAGTTATCGGATCCACTCAAGCATCGTTTATCGGAGTCCCCCCAGGATGGCCGTCAAGGTACAAGGCCCCCGAAATTATTCGACGAGATGCATGCGGCGGATCTTGCAAACAGAATGATCAAAGTGGAGGACTCGTCAGAAATTGTGCGCGACCTCCGCAGTGCATTCCAAGAGCGCAGCGTTCCTTGGACCGATATCGATGTTGTACTACCGGCAGGCACCATTAAGCCCCCGCCAAGACGTGAGAGCTCCGACTTTGATACCGATGATGCGGAATCGACCCCATATGGCCCCTACACGCCTCTTATAATGGCATTGGGAGACCCGATGTTCCTGCCGACATCAAGATTGAAGCGCGCCCCCTCCCAGCCAACAAATGTCAGCAAGTCGAGGACTTTTGCACGCAGCCAAAAGGAAGCCCTTCGACTAACTATGTGTGAACTCGTGGATACCGAGGAACGATATGTTGCTAAACTGTACTCGCTTGTGCACGAGGTGGCGGATGAGTTTCGGGAAAAAGCCCAGAGCAGAGGGCCATCAAGTACTAGTCCTAGCGAGAAGCAATTGGCGGAATTGTTTCCCCGTGCCTAAACGAGATTCTAGAAGTCAATCTTGGATTCTTGGATGACGTTCGACAGGTTCTCGACGAGACAGAGAAAGACGCCTTGAGCGATATCAGCCAAGATACAGAACTTCCACACCGCAGCCCCAGAGAAACGAAAGACTCCATTGGAGCCGTTTCGTTCGCAAAGGCATTGCTCAGTTGGCTGCCGCGTTTCTCACAGCCCTATGCCGACTACATGCGAGCGCACACCGGTTTCGCGCAGATCCTAAATTCGTTCATGAAAGACAAGAATTCCAGTTTTTCGAAGCGGGTGTATGAGACTGGCGAACAAAGATTGCGGTCTTTGCTGATGGAGCCCGTACAGAGACTCCCTCGATACAGTCTGTTGATCGATACGATGACAGGAAGTTTGCCGCTAGTTCACCCTGCCGTTCGGCCATTGCTGAAAGCTAGGGACATTGTGAAAGATATATGTGCACTAGACGACACCTCTCCCTCTAGTCACACACAAAGTCTCAAGCGCCTGAAAGAGCTCGTGGATGTGTGGCCAGCGAAGACCTTTCCCGATGGGCGTTTGATCACAGCAGTCGACGTGAATGAAGTCACACCTCCATATCAACTAGATCAACAACCCTCGAATTCTGGAGCTGGGATTTTGCTTGTCTTTAAAAATTGTCTCGTCATTCTATCAAAGCCTGCAGAAAGTCGAACGACCGCGCGTGGACTACTGGCCGACATCGAGAATGCAGCATCGCCTACCAATGACATGGCCATGTCCCTACCATCTGGAGAGCTTAAGGTCGTTCAAATACTGGAACTTCACGTTGTGCGCTGTATGCAGTCGGCATGTGGTCGAATGTTATTCGTTGTCCCCGCAGCGTTAAAATCCCACTCGGGCGCCTCTGACAGCAGTACCGATCTTCTTGCTTTGGAGCTTACTGGGATGTACGAAGGAAGGGCGAGTCGATTAATTGAGGAAATCACGAAAGCAAAGATTGAGGGCCGCTTTTCCGAAAAAGAGCGAGAGGGTAGCAAATGGACCCTGCGCAGTCCTGCCGGAACTGCAGGGTGTACCAGCATCCTGGCCTGTGTTTGTGAAGAAGGAGAAACAGCCGCCCTTGATAACACTCGATCATCCCCCGTTCGAATTGTTTTCGACACGTCGAGGGCTATCTGCTCCCAAATTCTCACCCGTGACAACCTGGATGTTGTATTGTCTCTTTCGCCACCGAATGGCGACCAGTTCCGACTGGATATTGAGACTGTGATAGGCACATCATCCACTGATTCTGTTTCAGCGGATACCTTTGTGCCTACTCTTGCTAGACGATGTAAGCATACCTGACCCGATTTCTAAGGTTCTACTCACTGACTTTCTCGCAGTGCAAAATCTGATATCTCCCTTACATAGCCCCCGGAACCCAAGCTTGATGAAGCCGTTGGTACATTCAAATTTTGCTATCATTCGTTACATTGCCAGCAATTTGATCACCCAAGTCAAGTCTTCAAGGGGATTTCGGCCGCCTTCGCCTACCAAGTTACTCTCGAACCTGTTAGGCGGTAGTCGCGAGAATGTGCCCACATTGAAAGGACCGAGCTCAGCCACTATCCTTGGTGAATTTCCAAGAATGCCTCCACCGCGACCTCAACATTCAAGAGCCAATACTCTTCCATCAGTTTTCCCTGGAAAGGACAAAGACAAACAGAAAGAAGAGACCCCCAGCAAGATCTCAGTAGTTGGCACTTCCGATATCCAAGCACCAGAAAGCCAGCTTGGGTCTCTGGAACAAACATTTGCAGCATATGTGTTGTCATTGCAGTCCCGAAGCGGCAACATCCTGGGACGTATGCTTCGGTCCAGAGACAACGCGGACCGCTCCCCAGTTAACGAACTTTACAACATTCTGTTGGAGAATCCGACCAAACTACAAGCTGCTGCTGAGGTACCAGTCGACACCTTATTTGTTGCCTTCGAGACTTTCATGAAAAATGCGTGGAAAGATAGCATGGGTGCGGTTTTGGATGTTCCATCCTTAGGAAGGCTTCAAAACCAATTTGATAAAATGTTCCCTCGCGATTTTGACGAGGAATTCCGGAAGTTTTTGGCAGAGACAAGCCCACAAAACCGTCGCGCTTTGGCCGCCATTATTCGACTTCTCGCTGAGCTACTTGATGCATCTGGCAACGACGGGGATCGAGGAGCGTTAACAATGGCATTTGCGGAGGTCCTAACCGAAGAAGGCGACCCAGTCCATCATGTATCACTTTTGGACCGCCTGGTTGAAGACTTTGATGGTCTTTTCGAAGAATTTATCCCAGGAGGTGCTTCAGTTGAAGGAACACTAAGCTGCGACCAGACCAAGAACCCTTCGCATGCAAATACTGGCTCAGTGGGTTCCAATAACTCATCATTCCGGAAGCGTTTTG